CTTTTTAATCATGCCTGTATATACAGTATATTGGGGAGTCTTTGAAATATACTGGTACATAGATCTCATATATTCATGTCATACGTTTGATAATTAGCTTGTGTTTGACATTAATTAGTTTTGCTGGTTCTTTTACATGTATGCACCGGTATCATGCATAAATTTGAGTGCCAAGTTGACGCTTGACCTGATTTTCTATTCTCATCAATGAAATTTGCTGGTGGAAGTTTGAACTGGACTTACCTGGTATGAACCTTGGCATGTGCATGTATTTAGGTTGCTATAATTGCCATCTGAAGAAGTTCTAAAGGAAGCCCTTAGCCTTTCTAACCACATGCTCCTTTTCAAATCCAGTTACGTGAGAAATAGGCCCTACCCCTTTTTTCTGTCTAAACCATAAGACACTGAAACAATTCAGCATAGCATCACATTATGGAAACCACATAGAGAGTCCTTAATTAATGTGGGCATATAAACTTGGAAGGTTGCATCTTTAAATAAGTGTGCAGTTTGAAGACATAATGTCTGTTGTTATTTTGTCAAACTAGATCTTGAATCCTTCAATTTCAATACTACTTTTTGGCACAGTGTAGGGGGTTAGGGTTCATTTCTCAAATATCATGCTGATTTTTTTGGTTTGGGTTGGTTTGGGTTTGGTTTGTTTTGTTTCAAAAACAAATCTGCAAGTGAAATTAAGAATTTTTTTACTTCAGAACCCTAAATGATCTTTAGTACTTCTTAATAGCCAACTTCTAAATTAGTGGTTCCCTAGACAATTCTGGTGCAAGCCTGCACCAATATTTGATTGATATACCAAATGTTGTAAATCATAGATGTATTGATTACGGTTGACTGTGAAAGTGCTGTGACCAGCAGAGTTCCTCGAGGTCTGTGTGTATTATTTTTAGATTGAGTGTGTCCGAAAGAAATGTATAATAGTCCATTCATTTCATGTTCATTTCCCAGGATGTTATCATTTGCATTCAACCTTGCTCAGGGCAGGTGCATGAATGGGAGCTGGCCAGTATACACACGTCTGGTGTAGTCCCCTCATTTCATAATGTCTCTCACAATAACATACTGGAAGAGTTTGGACACCTCTGTTGACATGAATACTGCTACCTGTCAACTTAAAGTCAAAACAGGTGCTTCTTACATAAGAAAATGTGGCCCTTGCACTTTGGTCAGAAAGAAATCTGCACGTGCACATTGAACAAGCAACGTTTGTTGGGCTTCTCTTTTTCGCTGACTTCATTGAAAGGCGGAATTCAAAGTGCCGTGGGCGCATTAGCAGCTGACTAATAAGCACCTAGAGACTTTGACTGCCAATTTGTTGAATGGCAGAAAGTCTCTCCTTCTTAGCTATAAGAGTACATTATATGTACATGTAAGACAATCCTTTCTTGGGCTACATCTTTCCCTCTATGATTATAGGTCAGGCTTTCTGGTATATCAGGTTTCCTTTGCATAAAATTGAAAGGATGCAAGCAGGTGAGACCTGTTGCATCTAGATGAATCTTTCGATGAGAGGTCGTTTTGCATTGTTGAGGCCTAGCTACCCTGCACCTCAGGTACATGTAGGTTCCAACATGGATCAAAAAGATTAATGACATTTTAAAGATTTACACCCCATGTTCTTCAAATTATTGTCTGGCAGCCAATTATTCAAATTAAGATTTTTGGATTTGTTTGTTCATGGCCTCATTCAAAGTGAGTACCTTTTATATTGCTAGGGAAATAGCAATTGAAAAAAACAAATCAATTCTTTGAGGTGAAACTTGATAATGACAATAGCACAGGGAATGCATGTTTAAACAGTGACAAAGATTTACAGCAATGGTCCCAACTAGCACATTGTTCAATTTTTGGAGGGGGATGTAACAATTGAAAGCACCTTACCCAAGTTTGTATGCGTGTGTAAATTGAAATGTTTAAGTTTGTGAATACATTGAAAAAAGTAGCATTGATTAATATGGAACAGAATTATAAATTAGAAACAAGATGTCATAAGAGAAGGATGGGATGATTTTGCTTTAACATACATTTGTATATTCCAAAGTCAAGACAGAGACGTATGTGAACCATTTAAGTTCTTTTCGATAGGAATGTCTGGGGGGAAAATAAATGAAATATAATTGATTAAAAGTAAAGAGTGTGCGTTGTTTCTTTTGAGACGACGAAGCTTTGTTGACTTGGTTTGTGAGAACTACAGCTTGGGCACGTAGGCTGTAAATCAAAGCAGGAGAAGTAGTCCTTGTTGACATTTTAGGCAATATCCAAACCCTCCCTTTTCCCTCCTCCCTTCCCTACTGTCATCATCAATTGGATTGTAGTAATCCCCAGGGCCCCTTAGGGACCACGTATACATTCAATGTGACCGGTGTCCCGCTTCCACTTCAACTAGGCACATTTATGTGTCACATCCCGCTGGCAAAAGTGTGTTAACAGCAGTGGCATAGAATCCCGGAATCTGTAATGCCAAGACCCGCCCACAAAATGGCAGCCGACCTTCTTTTGGAGAGTGCAAGGTCATTGACTTGGTTGCGTTGTCTTGTGATGTGTTGTGATTGGCCCACTTAGCATTGGGACTGGTTTCATTCAGTGGTCTCCTGAGTTAGGGGAGCCAGGCAACAGCTTGACACAATAAAAAACTGAAGAAGAAAAAGGGCCCCAAGGGTGAATTACGCATAGGAGGTGCAGCAGGAAACAAGACTGAGCAACATGTATATAAAGAAATCAAGCCACGTCCATACATTCATCCACTGTGTTTTCTGGAACAGTGGTTGTTGATGGTAATGTCTAACCTTGTGGCTGGCATGTTGTACTCCTAATCCTGCCATGGGCAATATGGCCTACTTTCTCTGCTCCAACAGACCACATATCATAGAAATCCAACAAGGGAAAGGTGGGACTGTGCAGAGTGTCAGTCTCAGAGTGAAAAGAGCTCAACGTGTTATGTTGTGCTTTTCTTTTCATAACCATGATTTCAACATCAACTTTCATGTTTCTCTCCCAGAGAGAAAAAAAATCTTCGTCATTCACATTTTCAAAACAGAATTGCTTAATGATATGAATTCCTTGAAAATAATTTAAACTGCTTCAAACTGCTAACAGACTGTATTGGTCTGAAGTATACAAATCAACCAAATAAGCCGGCCTAACATTTCTGTCCTAAGCAGGACCTTTTTGAAAGGCAAAAACATTAATTCCTTGTTATAAAAATGTTGGGTTTTTTTTAAAGGAAAACGTCTTAAAACAAAGTTCCATGAGGTATTTGACTTTTGTGACACCCTGATGAGAAATAATAAGTACTCGTACTCAACATGTTAAAATTGTACTCAATCATCGAGGTACTCATACTCGAATTGCATTACTTGGTGGGGGGGGGGGGGAGAATGTTATAGCTTGACTTACCATGGCCTTATTTTATCGATACTTTCAGTTGGAATGGTTGATTGGCTTGCGGACTAATCGCAGCGTCTGGACAAACACAATTAACAGCTAGCCATGATCATATTGGTCTGACTGGACTTGGGCCAATTATGCACAATGACCCATTTGCCGTATGTGGTGTTCCTCAAAATGAGGTGTTCCTCAAAATGGTCGTTCGATTAACTTGGGTGATTGGAGCAAGGCTGTTTTCTGAACCCTGGTTTAAGCTCCCTATCCAGGCCCAGCCCCATTGCCAACCTGCATGAATGGAGAAAGAGACGGAGCTGATGCCGGGGTTTGGAAAACAGCCCCTAGTCTGGTTCCTGCGTCAGGCGCACAAACATAAACACAGGCAGGAAGCAGACTATATGCATAGTACACGTACGTTACCACGAATCTGCCACGCTGCATATTGTACCGGCCACATTCACTTGTCAAAAATTGTTGGCCTGTGAAGAATATGTGGCACTCGTGCCCAAATTGTAATTTGTTCATGTCGAAAATCACAAAATATGTTGTCTTCACCAAGTGATTAACAGTGCACATAATTTTCGGCTTCAAGCACAATGTACTTGTACTCGTACCCGTATTCGGAAATATAAGTGCTCGTACTCGTACTCGGAATACAAGTAATCGTACTCGGAAGTACTCCTACTTGTACTCGGAAGTACAAGTACTCGTACTCGGAGACCTATACTTGTACTCGAAAGTACAAGTACTCGTGCTTGGAGACCTATACTTGTACTCAAAAGTACATGTACAAGTACTTGTACTACAGCAACCTAAGTACTTGCCAATACTGGGTACTTGGAAAAAAGTACTAGACTACAACACTGCCCAAAACCCTGTATCTTGTGGTTGCCATGTTGTGAGATCGTCACACTATTAAATATAAGTACTCGTACTCATACTCGAAATACAAGTACTCGTACTCGTGCTCAGAAGTACTCTTACTCAGAGTACAAGTACTGGTACTCGGAGACCTGTATTTGTACTCGAAAGTAGTCGTACTCGGCAAACCTAAGTACTCGGCAGTCGGCAGTACTCGGAAAAAAGTACTCGACTGCAACACTGCCCAAAACCCTGTATCTTAATTGTGGCTGCCATTTTATGAGATTGTCACACTACATGTATTATTTAAGTAACATAAGCAGCATGTGGTCAGAAAGTTTCAGCCTTGTATCAGGTCTAGGTTTATTAAGATATCTATGAGTCTAGGCTGATCAAAACGTCCAAAAGAAAATGTACCAGTACTACGAACAAATGTCTGTTTTAATAGAAACTATGAAGGAAAAAAGAGGTCCACACAATATACAATGTGTAGAATTACTAGTGTCTGCACCAGGGTTCTCAACAAGAAGTCTGTTTTCTCAAGGGAAATCCACTTTTTAGAGTGTTTGTGGGGCAAATTGCATTGTTTTATAACAACAAAAGAAAGCTTACTACATGTGGTACACATGTAGCATCTGCTGATTGACATTGTCCATTGCTATGTACATGTATCACTTTGATTATTATCAAGTGACTGATCCATCTGTGCCTATTTTTTTTGCCCCACACCCCACTAGTCTAAGGATGAGATCAAGGAGAGACTAGCCAAGCATATGGCAGACCAATGGGACAAGATAGCTCAGTTTGCTGAATGCATCCCAGGCTTTACTGGCTTCAGCAAAGAAGATCAGGAGATTCTTCTGCAAGTGGGTAAGTGGCCACAATTTGATAATCAGACATATTTTAAAACAAAATTTGACATGATGTTGTTATTGATGTCATATTTTATGTTTTTGCGTGTGGGTCTGTGCCATTTTCTCATCATACATCAACTCAACATCAACTGAAATCAAAGCGATAGATGACATGGCTATCAGATGAAGTTGATTTTTTACTTTTGGGTTTTTTTGGTCTTTTTATGTTATATTTCTTTTGAGGGGGCAGAATCATGAGTTGCATGTTTGCTGAAGTGCAAATTGAGTCCTTTTGTTTCTTCAAATATAATTAATATTTAGATTTAAGCTAACACTAATTTGTAATAAGTTCCAGTTTTAGGCCACCATCTGTTTAAGAAGTTATATGCAGCTAATTACACTGTTTGCTTTGGTCTGCCTTTGACCTGGAGAACTCGTTATTCAATGTTTTTTTTTACAAACTGTTTTGTCCTACGTATGTGTAGTAATCATGCATAATTTCAAATTTCTAAAGTTCTTTCTGTTCTTATCTTTAATTTGATTCAGGGGGTTTGGAGGTGATACTGTTGCAGTTGGCTCAGATGTATGATCATCGGACACACCTATTGCAGATGTGGGAGAATGAGTGGTTATCATCAGAGCAGGCCTGTAAACTAAGTAAGATATGACCACCACATTCACACTGGATTCTAGCAAGGCAACCAAAGAGGGGTAACTGCACAAATTATCCCTCACATGTACACTACATTGATCCTACATCATGTTACCGTGATCCTACCTGGGTCCTACATTGAGACTCTGTTTACAAAGGAAGTTCAGTCATTTCGAAGGTGAAAAGTCATAGGGAAGCTATGGGCAACAACGTTTATTCAGATTTTGCAGTTGTACACCAATTGTAGTTCAAGACTTTAAGTGTCATCCTATTTAACAGACTGTTAAAAAAACCAACCTATGTTTTATCTCGAATATTCCTCCAAGCTTCACGTGGTGGCTCAGAAGAATAGGTCGGATTTCCAGATTTATTGAATATCATTCAACTTAGCGGTATCACAAGTTAAAGGGAATTTACAACATTTGCTTTTGCTGCAATTTTCAGAAATAAATAACTTTGGAGGATTAGTATGTAATAGCAAATATTGTTAAACTGACTTGTTTCACGTTTTGGGCTTGTAGATTCTGGAAAGACCAAAAAAAAAACAATCATGTTCTTGTAGTCTGGTTCCCTGACCCCACTTAAGATGAAACAGAACAATATATAGCCTTTAGAGAATTGTGAGGTCAGAGCATCAGTCTGGCAGGCTTGTACCCCTTCACAGGTGTTTAATCAATTGCAAAGAAAATGCGGAACAACTGTTTTGAAAAATTCGAAGCGGTTTTTGAAAAAAGCCAGTTTTCTCCAATGCTGGTCGGCCGACCAGCGTTGGAAAAATACAAATTTTCTTGACAATGTCAGCACACCAGGAGACATGATTTTACAGGGTGCTTTAGACTGTCATTCCCTTACAATCCAATTAGGTATTTCATGATAATTTGATCATTTCGTTTTTTGATGTTTGCAAATATTGTATTTTCCCTTTAACTGTAACTTTGATCATTATATGGACTAAAATGTTAAGTGCCAAGTGTGGGCCCTTGTCTGGGTCATGGCAGAACTACTTCAAAAACTAAAATTCAGCGACAAAAATATGTACAACACTTGTTTTCATTGGTGTGCAAGGGTCCTAGTTTTTGGGCATTTCACAGCACAATCTACTGATAATTACATGTAAAGCAATGAAGACATATAACAAATTAATTTGAAGAGTTTATTGATAAGCATTTCCCTGGAAGATATCTGCAGATCAAACTAAATGTCCCTCTAACTTCACAAATTAAGTTATAAATATATCTGTATTTTAATTTAAACCATCATGTATGTTGTTGAGGTGTGCACAATACAATAATAAGGTGCATTTCGTGACTAACTTATTCCTGTCTATTTTTGCTTTCAGCAACTGACTTCAACCTGACTGTATTTTTTGAGTTGTTATTTGGACTAGCTGAGAGTCTGAGAAGCATGCATCTGAGAGAGGATGACTTGGCACTGTTTTCAGCACTTCTTCTGTTGGCATCTGGTAAAAGGCTTTTCACAGTTTGCATAGTCCAGTAGAACACAGCTATAATGACAACCACTGTACAGAATAGTTAGCTATATACTTAACATTACCATCTGCCTCCCAAATGTTATGTACATTCGTTTAAAATAAAACTAGTCAATGTTCGCTACATTAATATGACTGATCTTTAAAGACAGAAGGATATAGTATTTTGATTTGCATTTGGTAGAAACTTTGAAAAAAACTGTGATACTTAAAAAGATGTAATACCAAAAAGGTGAAAGAAGTCAGTTAAGGCATAATGGTTGTGTTCATGCGTGGAGGATTGGTCTTACATTTGTGTCTGGAGGGTTGGTCTTTTAATTTCTGCCTGTATTTATAAGTCCACATAATTTTAAACTGGAAGCACTGATTTAACTCTTTCAGAACATTTTAGAAACTTATTTATGCTATGTTTCAATTACGTGTTGACTTTTCTTCCTCAGATCACCAAGGTTTAAGGCATAAGAGACAGGTTGAAGAGGTACAGGAAAAGGTGTTAAACTGCTTTGCTTACATCCTAGCACAGAATCACCTACAAGAACCAGGACTCTTAGCCCAGGTGCTAATGTGCATGCCCACACTACGTACCATTAGCACAAGCTATCTGGAACTGACATCAGTCTCTACACCAACACAACAGTGGAGTAACTGGCCTGTAGAATTGTGACTAGATGTTCATGGCCGAGACTCAATGGATTCAATGGTGAATCATGCCATGACAGCCACTGTTCCTCGGTCAACTTCCCCATCCCATCCTACTCAAGCAGCATGTCTGGCATCAGACTCTACCATGATATGTGAGGAGACTCAAATAGACGCAGTGCGTGCTGCTCCTGCTAATTGCTCAGTACTTCTGGAATTGGTTTGAAAAACAGCACACAGGGAAAGAAGAGCATTTGAGGAAAGGCTGCATGTAGTATACGCCTTCCTGGATTGTGGATGATTGAATGTAGTCAACTCCTGTAATGGCAGTGTGGCTGTTACATGGCTCAAGCTTGCAGAAAGGCAATTCATTTAGGTTAATCCAGGATGGTTCATCACTACAAACAAATCCAGTGTACAGTATATGTGCAAAGTTGACAGTCATCTCTTGTCTGCACATGCAGCAGGCTGTATTGTTCCTGACTATCAGTCTTAAAACGCTCTAACACAAACCTTCACAATGTCATCAGTCCCTTTGAGAACAGATGCAAGTTTTAATCTTGTACTTTGTACATATGGAAGATCTTAGGTAATTCAAGAAATTGGAAACCTGAGAAAGATGAAAGAAGGCACAAAATATGGAGAGGAGAGGAAAGCCATGTGCAGTGCAGATACATGTACCAGGCAATAAGTTGACCACTGAACTCTGCATTGTGGCCTGTAAATTACTGCGTTGAGTGCACCAAGAAGTGACGGATCATCTATGGACTTTGTGCCTACAATACGTCACTTCGTGGTGCAACTATCCATGATGTGTCACTTTGTGGTGCGACCGATGTATGGACTGAACTTCCTCAAATTAATTCCAGCAAAAATGGAGTAACATCGGGAGACTACATGTATGTATGTGTCCAGTTACAACTGTATGCAGCAATACGCAAACTGTGCATAAACATAATGAAAAAAAGAGGCTGCCAACATATGCAAACAACTTTTCAAAAGATGATTTCAATCTTAGCCGTCGCTTGTTTGCACATTCAACCAGTGAAGTGCTTGTGTGATACTGTGAAATACAAATGTGCAAAAATGAAACAAAGATAACTTTAAACATTATGATCGCATGTCGCATGAGCTGTTGTATTTGGCACATGCGCTAAAAATGTTGCATTAAGAAAACGCTACCCCTCCTCACATTTGTACAAAGGTTTACAAAAAAATGATATGTAAAGGTAATTTGTTTTTGCTCATTCACTGCTAAGTCTAGATTTTGTGTTTAATAATGATGTACATTGTAATAAAAACAGTGGTTTTTTTATTTTCTGAGTATGCGCTGAAATTGAGAGGGAATTTATGCTTACCAAAAGAAACAATAGTATGTTTATTGTGATAAACTTCTTGCCTTTGAAGAATGTCAATTTCATTTATAATGAGGCAGGAAGCTCTGCCTGGTCTTAACTTACAAGCTAACACAACCAAAGACAATGTTAAAATTCATTCATTTAATAGAAGTTAATGTTAACTTGAGCTCTATAAATTTCCAAAGCATGTTTTGAGTTGTTTGTAAAGTTCTCATGAAAAAAGCAGGTTTTTGTTTCCATCTTGCTGAACGGCGTCATGCATTACTGTGATACCTAGAGGTCTCTAGTGTGGAATATTGTATACACTTGTCTTCAGCATGTATGCAGGAGCGTCGCTAGAACATTTTCAATGGGGGGGGGGGGGGTTGTTGGACCAAATTTTCCGACAACTTTGCGTAGAAAAAATCTGGAAAAAGGAGGTCCTCAAATTTGCTGACAGAAATATTAATGGGAGGTGTGAAAAGTAAAATTTGCCGACAACCTTGCAACAAAATATTGGACAAGCAAAAAAAAAAGATCCTCAGATTTCAAAATTTGCCAACCATAGTAAAATAATATAAAAAAAACCCTCAATTTTTACAGATTTGCCGACAACAATTATTGATTTGCCGACAGAAATTTTGAATGGGGAGCGTCACACCCCCCCCCCCCTCCAGCGACTGCCCTGCGTGTATGTAAGTTGTCATGTTTTCAATTGAACTGTTTTGATTGGCAGGGGGTGACCTACTTTCATAACTATATTTCAATAGGGGGTGCTGTTCCAATTCTACGATTATTAACACTAGATTACTAAATGGTGTACCGTATTTTGAACATTATACCAGTATAATTTTTTGGGGGGTGTCCCGGGGGGGGGGGGGGGGGGGGTTCGACTTATTTTTTTGGAATTTGTATGATAATATTTTGGGGGGACAGAGCTGGGGGGGGGGTTGATCCGCGCCTGGGTAGCTGATATAACAAACACATCATCCATAACACACAAGAGCTTGCAGACCTTTAAAAACAAAACACAATACCATACAGAAATGCATAAATGTCAAAGATAACTTCTTCATCAGATAAATGTAGAAGTATTTGTCCTGTTTTCATGTTGTACCTAGTGGCTTTCAGTGTGGAGTGCTCAAGCTTGCATTTGCCATTTTGATAATGTAAATTTCATATTTCTTACATTTTTGCATTCTTTGACAAACTGAATCAGGATTTTTCGCACGGAGAAAAGAGGCAGTCTGATCTGTCCTCTAAATTCCTTCCGCTTTATCAGAGTCAACCACATAAGCATTAAATATTATAAAACTAGTATAAGGCATGTTAAAGCATATCTGTTTTAGTTTTGGCTGGCTTTTATCTTAGGAGATGCGAATAGTATGCTTTGATTTGGTTTTTTTTTTTATTGTTGTATCACATGATGGAAATGCTACATGCAAAGACAGATCCGAGAGATATGCTCAAATATAGGCTCTTCACATGTTGATCATTCTAATATGCAAGTTGGTAGACAGCCATGTTTCATGTCTTAATTCTGTAATACATCAAGTTTTCAATTATTACAAGCCCAACTTACACATGCCAGCTTGTTAACTTAATTAGGTTTTTTTTTCAAGGTTGACCAAAGAAATTGACTGCAGCAGGGCTTGAACCTCCGACCTCGGGATTATCATTCCTGTGCTCTACCAACTGAGCTATCCAGCCCTATGTTGGCAGTTCCCCAATTTGTCAATATCCTTGTTCAAGTGTCTCTAGTCAGAAGCCATAAACCCGTATATGCCATGTAGCCAGGGATCACACCCAAAGTCACAATGCTAGCAACATTAGCAATGCTGCAAACCCAGGTAATAGCAAACAGGGATCAGTCAGAGAGGATACAGCTTTTTTTAATATATATAATTGGTTATGTTGACATTTTGTGTTCGTTTGTGGGATTTTTTTTTACGCCTGTACCTTTTGCTGTGGAAAGACAACTCTTAGTAAGCGATCATCGAGCTGAATAAATCTATTGGAAATGTTTAATTTTATTACAAAAACAAGTTAAGAAGTTTGGAATTTAGTGACAAAAGACTCGGCCTGCACATAACATTGATACAGCTTATCTGAAATATGTGTTAATGCTGTTTTTATCATTAACACTTTGGTACTTAAATGTTGTCCTATTTGAAACTATTTTTCTCGCCAAATCTACCAAAAAGCATTGCTATGGAATGTGTTGAAAATAGTCATTTGACTGTACACATTGTAAGGTCTCTGTGTTCCTTTCTCTATGATCAGACTGTCAGAGATTCTAAAAACTTCACAAAAATCTCTCGAAAGACTGCTTTTAGAAACAACTGTTCATGACTAATTAAATGCCACTGTGAAATGTTACAGAGAATATGCTGGTTTGATTTGTGGCCTCTGCCTTCCTAAATGTATGGGAAAGTAGAAGACATGGATACATTCTAGCTTCTACATTTAGGATAAGAATTTGGGATAAATATGCTGAATTTTGTTGTGCATTGAAGGCAAAGCCCGTTTCTTTATGTGTCTCCTTTTGTTTATTAGTGATTGTTTATCGGTTACCCTTGTTCAGCCTGTCAACCTTTGTTTTGGATGTGATCTTTGTTGCGTTTGCTTTACTTACATTCATTGTAATGATCTACAATCATCTAAAGAGGTGATCACTCGTAGACTGTCTGTTAAGTTACATACCTTCAAGATGGTTTCAGGATCCAGGTGATGAAGGATGTAAGATACAAGGTCTCCACCTGTGGCAAATTGTGCCATAGACACGAGGTTTATTTGTTGACTTTGATTTTTTGGTTTTAAGTTTTGTTACAGTTGCTCTCCCCCTGCTTTTATTTCTTAGTTTCACCTCAAAAAAATAACTTTTGTTTTTAAATTGCAAGTTATTCACTTTCTAAGGAGACTTCATGTAAAAAAAACACCTATATTTTATCTTTTGTGTGTTATTGAGCACAAAACCAAGCCAAAGTAAAAACATTATTTCAGAGGGTTTAAAAAGGGGTTTTAATGTTTCATTTTACTTCAGTAAAACATACAAATTGAACATTCGTTAGATACCAAAAAAAAAGATTTATGTTGAAGAGCACGGGTAGAGCAACTTTGAAGAAGAAAAAAAGAAGTGTTGCCATTATGTTTTCAGCTTTATTTTTAATTTTATTTTCTTTAAGTTCAAAGCCTTTCCTTTTATTTATTAAAAAACAATTAACCATCAATACAATTGCTGGATAAATACCATGATGGATTTCATTAGAATATTTTATTAAATAAAAATGCACGGACAATGTATATAACCAAAAAAAAGTAAGCAACCAAATTGTTCAGATTAAAAAACTGTTGCCTGATTGGACAAAGTTTGCTATTATATTCAGCCCACAACTTGGACTATTGCACAGCTGTTATTGTTAGTTTACGTTCATCTTGTGTTAGAGGCTATTGTCTTCGCAATGTGTTTTTTAAACAAAGGCCGCGTGACTATTATGATTTTACATTCATTACATTGAATTATTCAATAGCTCTTGTTAATCAGCACCATTTGATTGTTTCATGGTGATAACGGAAAGCAAATTATGGTTTTAATTTTTACTTTCTAAATGGACTGAATAGTTGTGTAAGGAAATATTGTTATACAGTATAGAACCGTTTGCTGACTGCCCTTAAGTTGAAAAAAGTTGCAGAGTAAATATAAAGACAAGCCCATGCATGGGATTTATCTTCGCCCCAAATAATTTGAAAATTCATTCAAGAAACCCTTGTAAGCCATATGCTGGTGCGTTGCATTGTTAATTGTGAACTGTTTTGTATGCTGTAAAATTCCAGTTTTATTTTCTATATTTCGTTTCAGTGTGGGTAGTGTATCAGTTGGAAAAAAAACAATATCATTAGAAAATGAATTGAAAAAAAAAACCCAATATTGGACAACCTAATTATATGAAATTCTGAATTGGGCCATTCGTAGGACTCTCCATATACGTTTTGCATAATTTTTGTAGCTATAAATATGTGAATTCAAAGCTATATACAAGTTGTAAAGAGCACTTTTATACCAAGGAAAAGTCAAAAGCTGCATAAATTTATGCATTGATTTTTTTCCAACTATCTTTTTTTCAGTAGTATACGCAAAAGTGTTAATGACAATGAGAGCAATGATTTTCAAATATTTCCCGAGAAACCTTATGACAAACACTCTCCACAGTCAGTTCTATTCTAATACTTCTGCGCAAGTTTTTCTTATCAACTTCTATTAAATTCAAATAGATATTGTTTTAATAGAGAAACCATGATTTTGTTTTGTTTCACATAAGATTTGTTGGTTTGCCAAACCAAACCCGAATCGTAAATGATACGGTGTTTGATACTAAAATGGAGACAGTCTTTTTAGTTTAATGAATTTATTACGACAAATGACAATGCCGGGAAATATTTACAGGCAGGTATCAGCTTTTGGTGTTTTTTTGGTGATGATTTGCTTTGATTTGACTTGAGTATTTTGTTTATTTACTTGTGAAAGATTGTGTTGCTTGGCAGTAAAAAATAATCCAAAGTGCGAGATAGAAGGCGTAAACAGGGTAAACTAAAGGGGTGAGCGGCTACTTTGTGACTTCATATAAAGAGGCTCTTGTCACTGAGCACATATTGTGCTGATATTGTTGGGCGTGATATTTAGAGAGAAAACAAAATCCCTTTTCAGTTTTAATAAATATTGAAGAAATCAGCATTGTTTTTGAGCACATTCTGGTGTATGAGATTCCGTTATAGCATTGTCAAGTTTGATTATTCTGTTTTTGTTTGTTTGGGGAATTGTCTTTCTTGTTGTTTGATGTTAAGCTCAAGGGGTACCGTAGAGCCTATTAGATACCCAGTTCAATTTCAGCCAGTTCACGTCAGAATCCATCTCCCGTCATTAATCAGAAACAGTATTCAGAAAACTGCCCTCTATTTACTTTATTTCACTTTTCCGCTTTGCCAATTTTAAAGGTGTACTTTTTCCCGTCATATTTCAAAGGTTGGGGTCACAATAAAGCCACTAAAGTCTTACATTTACCGAGAAAATGTTGAAGGTGTTTAGATCTGGAGCGGTAGCGATTTCTTGCCTTGTTCATACGTTTTCCGTCTGTGAATAAAGCCATCGATTTTTTGAGTCAATATGGTCACGAGATTGGCGTCGCATAATAAAATGCATTATCACGGATGTAATTTTACAAATCACTGTTTTCAGGTTTCATGCTCCTTCAGTCTTACAACACACATGGCGACCACACCAGTCATTTCCTTTCTTCTCGTGTACCAAAATTTCCGAGTTTGAAAGTGTTCTTTCAAATTGAAAATGCTCCTATTTCAACCAGAATTAATTTCCTGGGCTGAAATTCGGACTTAATATCCCTTACATAAAATATACATCAATTTGCGACGGATCAACAAGTCTTTAAAATTCCTAGTTTTGAGTAAAATCCATATATCTATCTCCTTGTGGAGACGTATTCACCTATAGAAATTGCTATGTGAAGACGTAAACAAGGTACCGTGTACCAGATCACGAGAACAAAGAAATGACTTGTGTGACTCGCCATGCACTAGCACATTTGTATAAAGCAATTTTGTTTTTATAGATGTGTTCCCAGCACTATTTTAGAGTTTCACCTCGAAAAAATTGACTTTTGTTTTTTGTTTCAATTGGTATTTTCCTAGCAATATAAAAATGATTCACTGTCTAATTGAATTGAGAATATGAGACATCGAACGATTTCGAGGTTTTTTCGTTACAACAAAGCATACAGTTTTGAATTCCTTACGAGAAAAACAAAATCAATATTTTTTAAAAGCACGGGGTATATGTTTAAAAGAAACGTGGGCCAGGAATGGCTACTAGCGTGGTCTAGGGGCTGGACGTTGTTGGTTTGAAATTAAGACTCGATAACCCGCGGCCGCGATTACCCGCCGCCGCGAGAGGGCGTTATCACGACCAACATATCGCCCAGGAACCTGAGAAACAACGTCTTGGCATTTCCCTCCGAAAAATGGGGAAACTAATGCGCATGCGCTACTTCTGCAGACAATTACGGTCCATTCTCAGTCTCACGCAGACTTCACACCACAAAAGAGCTGACCAGTGAAGTTGCACAAAAGTCTTGCTGCATCTGGTGTGCTACTGGAGGAAATTAGTTTGGTTCAGAATAACTATGAAATGTTTTGAATGCGCGCCGCATATATTAGGCCAAACAGGTGCGCGCGCATTACACAAGCCATACGAATCGGCCTAGACGTTTCGCTCGTACCCCCCGCCCTGCAAACAGGACGAGCGAATCTAGACGTTGTCTATCAAAGCTTACGGGTTCGTGGGCGATATTAGTTGTGGATCCAGGGATTTTTGCAAAGGGGAATTTCATCAGCAAAACATCGCTGAACAACCCTTGGTCTCCGTAAAATCAATAGGTGTGTGGGGGGGGGGGGGGGGTTATCAAACAAACAACGACCAGCCCCTTGACTACGACTAGCGCCGAAAAAGCACGATTTCTGAGGATTAAAAGGGTAGTTGCTTGAACATTAATATCATGGGCGTAAATCCCAGGCGGTGGGTGGTTATAATTACACGCCCATTTTTGACCAGGTTTGCCCATTTTCAATTAAGTGATTGAGCAGCAGTTTCGTTTATGTCCATTCAGATTCGTTTTCAAGACTTCTTTTTCGCTTTTAGAGGGCGATTTCAACCATTCACCATTCTATTTCACTATACGTTTAATGCAATAGGCACCAGATACAATTAGGGGTTTCTTTTTCATTAACCGTCAATCAAATTAGCTGTACCTGAAATTAATTTAGAAAAGGTATGCTTGCGTAAATAAATGCACATGTAATTGGCCGTCTGTTCTATCTCAAAACCGAGTGCGCAGGGCCACAGACAATGAAAACTATTGAACTTCCGTTGAATTGAAATGGGATTAAAGACGTGCATTCACATTCAGACAAGAAGGAGTAGGCCTAACCGATTTTCAGAAGTGAATGAACATTTCAGGAAATTGACTGGGAAAACCTATATTCTCGGAAACTGCGGCACGGTGTTAGTGGTTGTATAGGCCTGTGTACAAACTGTACATGTATTTACAGACTAGTTCGCAAGTAAAAGGCAATATAGGTTTTCCCGGCCAATTTTGCAAAAATAGCATTCGAATTCATCCTGATAGTGGCCAATTTGATGCGAAGTAGCGCCCTGGTGTCATTGCCGCGGTTCGTATCAGATTTCAGGCGTTCAAATTCGTTTTAAGACTGGACATTTTCATGTTAAACACATCCTAAATTGAAGTTATGTCATTCGGTTTTAGTGATCATTCAATTTAGCAGTCGGTTTGGTTGAGGGTTATTTGCATGAGATTCTTGTTTTCGTTTTCATTTCCGCGCATTCTATTTAGCACTTTTTGCATTCAAAATAAAAGAAAACGAAGGTATACGATGCGAGTCTTTTCATTTCTTTCACCTTTTCGTAATTTCTGCTTCTTGTCGTCGTCCATTCTGTGTGTGTTTCTGGGCCTTCCTCTTGGCAGGTTTTTCCGTCTGTCATCTGAGATACGTTGTCACAATCAGGGGCGTCAATCGCTTTTCAAAAGTGGGGGGGGGGGGCATACCTTGATCAGAAATAATGCAAGCGCGAAGAGCGAAGCCCTTACAGCGTGGGGTTCGGGGCCCGCTTCTAGATGCTCATGTGGTGTGTTCTGAGGCAATTTCGGACCACTTTAACCAATATTTTCTGAGCAAAAGATAATGATTTAAACATCATTTTCGAGGTTGAAGTCATTAAATATAAAATAAAGCTATTATATTCTCGGCTAAAGGCGTGGGGTTCGGGGCCCACTTAAGGGCCCTGAAAAAAATTGATTCTACATGCTCTGTGGTGCGATCTGGGGCAATTTCTGACCACTTTAACCAATATTTTCCCAGCAAAAGCTAATAAGTTGAAAATCATTTTCGAGGTTGAAATCATTGAATAAGCTATTATATTCTAAGCTAAAGGCGTGGGGTTCGGGGCCTGAGGGCCCCGAAAAATGTTGGATATTAAATGCTCTGTGGTGCGATCTGAGGCAATATCTGACCACTTTAACCAATATTTTCTTAGCAAAAGATACATTGTAGTACATAATAGGGCCCTGTAAATGAGGCACGAGTTCAAAAATCTGGGGGGGGGGGGGACATTTGATATTTGTCCCCCACCCTTCAAAAAGGGGGGGGGGGGGGGGGGACATGTGCCCCTGTCCCCCCAGGATTAACGCCCATGGTCACAATAATGACCTGGCAGTTGATCTGTTTATGCCAAGACTGTCTGCAAGTTCAAGATAGACTTGGGCATTGCCATCGAAAGCTTCGATCAAACGACCACTGTCTACATTTGAAATTCTTATGTAACGCCCATGAGCAGCAGTCATATTTCTAGTGCTTCAATCTAACAGTTTGCATGGTGATCAGAGTAGTGGCAGAGTCTGTGGGAGACAGGTTTTATCCATATTCCCAAATTGGAACAAAAGCACATCATCTTATTCTAACAAACAACGGGACGACATGGACCTTACTGCTTGATGGTGAATTCGAATGACCAAACTTACACAGCTGGAAGCTCCGGCGAATTTGGATGCTCGTTTGTGCAATTTTAATTTGAATGCCTTGTTGTTAAAATTGCATGATTACAATGTGAAATCGCCTGCTTCTAATGTAAAATTGATTGGTATTTTCAGGTAATTGAATGTTGATCTCAACGTGCATTCAATTTCGTGCAAAAATGGGTTATTGGTCGCCAATTTGGCCGCCAAATCTGCTAACGTGGCCGGGAAAACCTATATTATAACTCAGCGCGGTGTATATTTTATAAGATGTGGCCCTCTAGCTTCCGTAACAATGAATTAACATTGTCCTCTGATATCTATGGTATGGAATACATGTACACACCAGTTTCGAGACGAACGCGGAAATACTAAATATAGTGGTTGCTAAGGCAAAGCGTCTGGTGTTGTTAGGCAAAGCTAATCCGATTACGTGCTTTGACGCTATAATAGAGCAGTGAAATCCATGCACCCAAAAAACATGGCCTTTTGAACCTCAATTATTAGGAATCTCTCCAAGTTGTTAATTCACGAGTAGTTTTATACCTTCTAAGAATATTCCGAATTTCTAATCTGTTGTTGCAAACGCTAGTGTTCCAACTAGAACTATCTCCATGGAAAATTTAGACGAGGATTTTCCGCTGACACAACCGACGTGCATTGTTCAGCAAAAAAAAAGCGCCGTAGGCGCTTGTGCCGCGCTACGGTTGACCGATTCCGGCCAAGCGACACAATAACGTATAATATAGACTCATATTCATTAGCGTCACTCGGCGTGTTTTGGCATGGGTCTCGGTATCGACCAATGGAAGCCGGCAAAAAGGGTGATATTAATTTGATCAATTAATAACTCGTGAAGGAGGTGTTTCTCCAAATTTATACTGCATACCACAATGAATAGGAACCTTATTAATATTTGTGAGTTTTGAACAGATTGACAGATAGTTGGTGTTCCAACTTTCAAAAGTTCACGTAGCCAGGCCTTTTTTCCAATTTCAACGAAAAGTAATGAACACATCACAACGATTTTTAGCACATACTTGGATCATTATGAGAGAAGTAAACCCTGAAAGTTGCATGAAGATACGGTCTTCCAAACGGGAGAAATTAAGTTTCAAAGATTTCGCCCGCCAACGTGAACATGTCTGTGCACGTGTAGTTTCATTCAAAATGAAGTGTTACGTATCGTAACTTTATAAATCGCCCTTCGCAACCACATGGCTGTTATGCCGTACACAATTTGTCGCTTTCTACACGTTTGTGAACACGTTTGACGGATGTGGGCGCTGTTCTCTCAATATAATAATGCTCATCCATCGTGACGATGACGACGAGGCTACATCGATGTTGAGGCATTTCACGGTGACTGTTAGTGAGTGGTTGAACTATAAAAGCGTTTTTCTCCTGTCCTATACACAGAACGCTTGCGCTTGCCCTCACATAGCTCACCATTAAGCAGTTGCTTCTGCAGGCGTTTTTCATCCATGCGGACGATGTGTCCTGCCCATCTGACCTGAGCCTTTGCAGCGATGTGTAGATGCTTGGGATGCTGGCCCTTGTGAGGTCTTCAGTATCGTGAATTTCGTGAATCACCTAATCCTCAGTATCCTACGAATATCATTTGAATTGTTCCTTCAGATTGAATGTTTGAACATATCGACTGTTCAGTCAAATATGTATTTTGCATGGTAGTGTAAACTTCAATTTCGCCTTCGTTTGACCCGGCTATGGATTCTGTATAGGAGTTGGCCGGACATTCAATCTAATCATTTTGGTATTGCTTGGATTTTGCTGATCAAGTCTGGCAAACATTACAAATTAGCAACATTAAAGCAACTACAAGTATTTTAAAACAGACAAAAAAAACCCAATCTTTAGAATTTAAAGGATCGGTCGTGCGGAATGTGCCCATTTTTGGGCTAACACGTTTTCCACGGAATTGTTATACAATGTAGTGGGAATGATCATTAAAAGAAAGAGGAACAAAACATTTGTCTTAAAAATTGGGCCGCCTTGGAGCTTTAGATGTCGTTCCAGTCATACTGTTGCTTTTCAAAACGTGAATTATTTCACACGCGTGTGCTAGGATCGCCAGATTATGTAATAGTTTGAAAACAAGCGTGCGACCTGCATTCTTCATATAGCGAATGGTTGCCAAGGTGGTACGAATTAATGCGGCGACAATTTTTATGCTGACACAATTCGATGGGTTTATTCACAGCAAGGCGAAAAAATCACTGCCGCGTCAGGAGCAAACACACGGGGTTTTTCAACATTTTCTCGGTCAGTGTATGACATTTTGTGGGTTTTCTGTGACCAGACCTTTGAAATAATTATGGCTTAATGGTGTGAAACACTGTGGGCGATCTCCGGACAAAGTGTACGTTACGATGGAGTTCGGTGATGCTGTTTTTCCAAACACCATTCGTCTTGGTTGCATGTTTTCGTCTTCGTTGTATACACCTGACACAATCAACACTGGGAAAACACCTAGGACCTCAGAAAACCGTACATCTCACGATTTGATTCGTTTTCCTGATCAAGTGGGCTTCGATCATTCGTCATGGTGCATCATTTTAATAAACTTCAACGAATATCTATAACATGTAAGAATGATGAGTTACAAATCCAACTAAAAATAATCTAGTAACTAGTTTAGAACATTTATATGGAAATTCGAATAAAATCTGTGAGAAAGTAGATTTGTAACACAAAGACTGAAAGTGCATTTCACGTACAACGTGTAGTTCATACTTGGGTCAATTAACGTTTTTCAAGGTCAACCAAGGGTTGCCAACATCCCTTGCTTTATCTATTGTACTCGATATAATTATTCGGCAGAGAAACGTCTTCATTATTAACATTTTAACAGCAAATCGCTTACTACTGTAATCATTGGATTAAACTACGGAGGCCTTTTTTAAGAGGAAATATTTTCTTCCTGGAAAAATGTTCTTGAGATGATTGACATGTTAATTAGTTCCGAGTCAAAAACTCAAATCACAAAAGTTACCGGTAAACGGCTTCGTTTTTAAGTTCTCGTCAGGAGAACTTGTTGTTGTTCTGTTCATTATTTTCTTGGGAGCTAAATGTTACTGGTTTTACGGCGTTGGAAAGCGATGACGTTTACAAAACGGTGAAGTCCACGCCGAGGGTAATTGTGAGCACATCTTAGGAATCGAAATCGTCACCATGGTTACTGTTCTAGTAAGAGACTGGCTGTGGTCGCTCACAGATGAAGGGCTGTCTATCGGTGCAGTGGATGTCATTCCAGTAGCCAGAGTGAGTGACTACTTCAATGCAATCTTCGTTGTGCCCGGCGTTGTCTGGCTGCCTGGTATTCCAATTGCTGTAGGTCATCGGTTTGTTGATACCGACCCATTTGTAGTTACCCTCCGAGTCGATGTCGCTCAGGCCCGTCCAGTAATGAGTGTACAGGCCTCCTCCTTTCTCTTTGAACAGATGATGAACGAACTCTGCCTCTCCTTCTGTATTGAGTGACACCAAGTTGGCCTTGTGATCCAAACCATTGCAGTAACTTTGAGCGCCGTGCCAATCCAGGGTCTTGCCAATGAATCGGTAGCAGCGGTTACCTCGTAGGGTCCAGAAATGTGGACAGCAGTACCGATTCAGTGGCTTTCTGGGGGGAGCTGCCTCTATCAGCGACAGACTCACAGCTGAACAAAGAATCAGCACCAACAGCCAACGTCCCATTTTAAAGGCAGGAACCGCAAAAAATACAGTGCTGACTTCAGAAAGACGAAAAGTGTGTCTGGCGATCCTTTTTGAAGTTCACGACTTATGAATAGGATATGTACCGCCAGTGTCGAACTATTCAATGTTTGCACATTTTCAACGAATCACTATTGGGTGCGGCAAAGCTAATATAATTCGAGTCAAGTACATAGTGACTTTTTTGGGGACCTATTTTCAAAATAATGGCGTCTATACAACCCAACCTAAGCGCAAATAGCAACGTTCAAGTGTTCAAGCCTAGCTTCTTCAGAGCTGCAAAGAGACCGACTTTTTGAAGTTTACTGGAACTAAAAGTACTTAAACATGCATTCCACGTTTTCATTTCAAGCCGAACAAAAATTACAAATATTCATATCTTCAAATTCACACTGTTAATAAAAATGGACAATATTTTGCTTCAAATCCCCCTGCCAGCGGCGTATGGTTCTTATATGGCGAGATTGGGGGGAGGTTGGATGTTTAAGTGGGAGGGGGGGGGTAGTTTCTGTAAACCCGTTAACTGTGGTCACTTGACTGGAGGGGGGAACGATTTTATGGGGGGGGGGGGGGGTGTGCCTCCTCTACCAAAGTGTTTTAATCAATCCCTTCGATAAACACACGCTAATGTTATGCCTGTTCAGAAGACTAATGTACTGAACTTAGTGAACAATCGGCCAGTTTCCTTGATCTCTATTGTGTGTAAGATTTTGCCAACAACCTCTTAGACTTGATGACAAGTCGTTAGATTTTCGTATTTTGTCCGTGAACTTCAGTCGAACTCCATCGGCGCGGCTGGTTTAAGACTTGTACGCAGCAATCGGCCGGGTTGCGACATATCTAACAACATCATAGTCAGCATTATTTGGTCTGGTAACCAATTTACGCACATTGCAGCGATATAGGGCGTGCGTGGAGCCAGTAACCGCGGTTTTATTATGTTTATACCGGTACCGTAGGCAATTTTTCAAAGTAATTTATCATGGGACATGCAGGTTCAGGAGACTGTTTCTAAATGCAACCATGTTACAGGACTCACTCGTCTTATTTTACATCATGTGACTATACGGTTTCAGATGTAGCTGTTCATTTATGTAAGACCTTGATGCTATACCAAAGCTCGTACGACGCGTACAGATACTGTGGGGCAGTTCGTTCTCCCATAGCTTGATTGGGGGGGGGGGGGGGGGGGTGGTTCGTATAACAGTCTTGTGGAGGAGTCTTTTAAAGTATTCAGAGCTCGGTTGTTGAATCAAGCATGAATCAAGTAAGGTGTCGTAGAATATAACACGACGTCAATCGTTTTCAGACTGTTTGTGTCTCGCTATTGTCATCACCCTGCTCGAGGCACTTGAAGGTAACCAACTGGCCAACCCAACCCTGTGGACTTAGCCCTACCTTCATGCTGCATGCATACAGATCTATTGTGACACGAACTTTTAAACAAATAAATGTATAGGCCAGTCCCGCTTAGGGGTTGTTTTTAGCTGTAAAAGCAGGATGAAAATACACAAACTACATTTGTTTGTAGCAGAGCTGTACATTACGTTTATTATGTTGTGCTGCTTATCCAAGAATAATTATAATGCTTCAACCCAATCGGCTCCCAACAATAACAAACGACTGGAGGGCTAGTCTGTTTGCGATCACCCTTTCTTTAATCAAAAGACAAAATAAAGCCGACTCATAAAATGTTTCAAAGAAAGTAATGACGCCAATCAACGCGTCAATGATCACTCAGAAACCGGCTTCGCCAGGATTTTATTTTCTGGAGGCGGCAAAGCACTCATCAGAGGCGTTAAAAAAGTCACCGATTGCGGAAAAATCGAAAAGCGCGGGGGGGGGGCATGATTTGACATTTGAGGCGCTGTTCATATAAACGTTTATAAACGTATTTATGAAAAAAACGCGTTTTAGGGTCCTTTCGCCAGTTCCTAGTGCTAAATATACATTGAATTAACAGTAACATATCTACTTCGAATCTCTCCTATTCTTTTTCCTTTTCCTTTTCCCCCTTCCCCCTTCTGTTTGGCATGACCATACTCCCGCATTCTGAAGGCACGGTTGACACCCACTTCCGGCTCTCTGCGTTTCCGAAGTATCGAGGTAGTGCCTCTTGGTTATCTCATTCGTCCGTTGGTTTAGTCCCTTGCAGCTAACCTTGTCTTTGGCCCCGAAGCAGTTGTACGTTTTGCTACTAGGATACGATACCATCCCCCTCGCACTCAACCTTGAAGAGGCCGGCGTGCGCTTGTCGAAGGCGCGGGGGCTGGAGTGTCTTCGCGCAGGAACCAGGACGACTTTGCTCGTTGGTACGCCTCTCAGACATGTGGTTTAACGAGGTCGTACAGACTCCCTGCAGATATGGCCAAGTACGCAGAGTACGTATCCATCTTGCATAGTTGGAAATCCGATGGGTCGATAAATCTCAATAAAAATCGTAGCAGAATTGCAGCCTGCACATTTTTGCATACTGATGCACGAAAAAGCCTATCTTTAGAGGAAGGCCGAGCTTGACAGTCCGTTTGGTCATCTCCGCCTCATCGAGCTCTTCATCGAGAGTGTGCAACGCCCGGAAGTTAGGGTGGTTGATGAGGCTTGCTGCTTCTACGCTGCCGTGGTATATTTCAACCTTGAGATGTTTTTCTAGATTCGTTACCGTTTTTCCGTAAGCTGAGTTGCCTAGCAACTTCATCGTGTCGGCGATGATGGCTTTGGACGGATCAACGTCTCCGTCGCGTCTTGCGTTGCTGACCGCCTCTCCAAAAAGGTTGGAAACACGCTAACGGTATGTATTAAACGAACTGATACACGCGGGTTGTACCAGTGGGGTGGCCAAACAAACATGCTGGCGCTCATGGAGACTGCGACGTGGTGTTTTCATGAGCCCCCTACCCCCCCCCCGCTCTTTCTCCCCTTCTGGCCCCCCTTGGCGAGCACTTGGCCCCAAACGGCAAAAGCCATACATATGTATGTGGTATATTTTATGGTAGTGGGCAGCCCTAGTTGATACTATGGCCCCATTGATGCTCAGGGCCGGCTGGCGACGGGCCTGAGTAGGCCGTATATCAGCTACTCTAACAATGATTCTTGGTTGTATAAAACAAAAAAAAATCGGCAACATAAAAAACAAGTCAGGTGTGTTTACAAACACAAATGCCCCGCAACCGTGACTGTTCCCATGACATAACACCACTCTTTTAACATCAACTTACACGTACCGTACCTTGGTCACATGGAACGTTCATTGACAGCATTAGTGTCTTCTGTAGGTTTTATATGAATTAATCCCTAATCCCTATGATCTCAGAATAAATACAAGATTTTTATTGTTTTAGCCACTGTGACCTTGACCCTTGACCTTTCGACCCCCAATGCGATAGGCCTATTTGGATTACCAAGAACGATCCACAAACCAAATCTGAAGTTCACATGTGAAGAATTTCTCAAGTTATCGCGCCGACAAAATTTCTTTTGTTTTAGCCACTATGACCTTGACCCTTGACCTTTTGGCCCCAAATGCAAAAGGCTTCTTAGGATTGCCAAGGACAAACCAAATTTGAAGTTCATATGTAAAGTATTTCTCAAGTTAATCGCGCTGACAAAATTTCTATTGTTTCAGCCACTGTGACCTTGACCCTTGACCTTTCAGCCCCAAATGCAATAGGCTTCTTAGGATTACCAAGAACAATACACAAACCAAATTTGAAGTTCATATGTAAAGTATTTCTCAAGTTATCGCGCTGACAAAATTTCTTTTGTTTTAGTCACTGTGACCTTGACCCTTCGGCCCCAAATGCAAAAGGGTTCTTAGGATTACCAAGAACAATACACAAACCAAATTTGAAGTTCATATGTAAAGTATTTCTCAAGTTATCGCGCTGACAAAATTTCTTTTGTTTTAGTCACTGTGACCTTGACGCTTGACCTTTCGGCCCCAAATGCAAAAGGGTTGTTAGGATTACCAAGAACAATACACAAACCAAATTTGAAGTTCATATGTAAAGTATTTCTCAAGTTATCGTGCTGACAAAATTTCTTTTGTTTTAGTCACTGTGACCTTGGCCTTTGACCTTTCGGCCCCAAATGCAAAAGGGTTGTTAGGATTACCAAGAACAATACACAAACCAAATTTGAAGTTCATATCTTAAGTATTTCTCAAGTTATCGCGCTGACAAGATTTGTCCGGACCCCCCCCCCCCACCCCCCCCCCCCCCCCACACCCACCCACGGAAGGACAAGGCGGAAACAGTATGCCCCTTCGGCTTCGCCGCGGGGCATAAACATTTATGGCGGCGCTGATGAAAGACCAAATGGAAGTAAGCCTACAGTGCTTTCAAATATCGACCACCATTACATGGCATCACCGTTTGAGGTAACTAATGGCGAACCCAAACCTGGTCGACTCTTTGATCGCGGAGCGGTTGGGGACTACCCTCCAGCCTTCCCTTGATTCACAACAGGAATTCAGCAAGAATAAAAAAAATGGAAGAATCCGTCCGCCATCTTGCAGGCGCGTGCGAAGCCATGTTTACAGTTTTTGTTTGCCGTAGAATTTACTCCTGTAAGTTTTGCCCTGTTTATGTTTCGTCCCGATTTTGCTTTTAAAATCTCTAGTCCGTTGCACTCTGCTACGCACTGTAATCTTGGGAAAACTCAAAACTCGCCATCTTAAGGAAAAAAAGGCCACCGCCTCAATTAAAAAAAAAAAAAAAAGCCCCAAGGCCAAAAAAAAAAAAGTCTCCGGTTTCTGGTATGGAGCTTGCCCAAAAAGTGGTGCGGCGACGCGGCTTTTTTTTTTTTTTTTACCTGTTTTTTTTTGCTTCAAATGTCGGCTGAGGACTGCAATTGGTGCCCGACTAAACTTAGTAGAAATATATGGGAGTCCAGAGAGGCCACATAAAGCTTACTCTCGATCATAACCCCATCTAAAAACACGTTAAAATTGTGCAGCAGCAGAATTCCAGTCAAACCAGTGAGTTTGGCAGTTTTGAGACATCATCTTTTATTGAAAAAAAAACTTTTTCATTTTGCCGACGCGCATGGCTACGGCGACGCGCGCGCATACCAGAAACCGGAGACTTATTTTTTTTGGCATAACAAGAAACAATTTTTTTTACTTGTTCTTTTGACAGACATAACATCTAATAGGAGAATAGGAGAGTGCCATTCGGATTGAGTAAATTGGAGAGATTACACGTGTGCCCATATTTCCGAGATAACTATCAGGTAACATTGAATTCTATATTTCAAACAATCAATTATTTTTGAAATCCGTGTTATCAGATGTGCGTTTATGTGTTTCCACAATAAATTCTCTCAGTAACGCGGTAACTTGGATGATCATTCCTGTTAGGATTCAAAAAGGATATCGGCTACGCCGTACGTACGGAAACCAACATGACCAATACATGTACATGTACATGGCTAGTCACTACAAACACCGAGTAGCACTGTCTCGGGATCTTCGCATTCAAATCGTCATCCTCGAGAAAGTTTAATCTTTCATTTACATGTACCTCTAAATTCTAAATAAAATGACAAAAAAAATATTATAATAATCCAACCGAATAAATTTAACCCTAAACCATACTTTACAAACTTCTACACGGACTTCACAGTTTCAGCACTCAAAGTACGTTGGTGTTAATTACAATCTAAATTACACACAACCGAGCGCAACTGTCTTTACAAAATGTATATATTTAAACATTGCTTAACGAAAAGTCAAAATATATAACATGCCTAACGCACACAAAACAAAAACAGTTTTAAAAAGCAAAATACCAAACAAACACAACAGAAATTTAATAAAAAAACCCATCATTCTTAAATTATTATGGTTCTTAAAAACTTAATAAACCAGAGTCAACTTAGCTTACTACAGAACATTCAGTCTGGCCCAGTCTTGTCATAGTCAGAATAAATGAGGTATTAAATAATGGGGAGAAGGTGGTAGCCTCATGTGGATAACCTTTGGGAATTGGTTCCTTTGCTCTTCTTCTTTAGATATTTTAAGCACTTTGCTGAGGCTAAATGAAATGTCGCGAATATTATAAAAACTGCATTCAATTTATAGCATTTCCTAGATCACATGGAATTCAAAATGTGTAATCAGTTTGCCAAGTAGCATTAAAACTCTTGATTGATATTCCAGATTCTTACTCCATAGTTCACAGAAATAAATTCAAAAGCGAAAAATAAAATTTAAAAGGGAAAACGAACCCTTCTTAATTTTTTTTTCACGTTTTATTTGGTCCTCAGAATTAACATTCTTTATACAGTGTTACAATCTAATACGTTTTTAAGTCCCACAAGTATCCTGGAATATAACGTAACTAGAGGGAATTGTGACTGCAGAATTAGATGGTTTGATCTGACAACATGGGCTTTTAGGTATTACCCAGGAATAAGAACTGAAGGATAGGAATTCAAGTACATGTTTATGGAAATAAAACTATTTAAAAAAACATAGCCCAGTATTTGCAAAAGGAATCGGACTTGAAACATTGCAGTGATCTTATTGCTTACCTTTCGGGGCAGTGTGTGAAAGCAGTTTTGGTAAGCTTCATCCCTATGTAACACATCAAATCTCAGTATATTTGGAAGCTCAGAAAAGAACTGGATAGTTGATGAAACTCTAAATGCTTCTGGGAGTTTAATTATGATGCTTCATACATGTACATGTAATTCCTAAATATCTTTTAAATCCTGAGTATCTGCAGTCAAGCTAAGCAGAGGCAACAAAAAGTCAGACAGGAATAATACATGTGTGCATATTTGCACTATCTAGTTGTCTGGGTTATTAATCCCTGACGATCCAGGATAGAGGCAGCTACAATGGAACAAACTTTTAACGTTAATTCCACAATCTGAAATGTAATCTTTTCCATCACGGATATTACATGTAACATGTCATTCTTGTTTCACATCCAACTAGTGAACCACTTTGACTGTGTGGATGTTGGGTGATTCAGCCAACATTGCACGTCCACTTTGCCCTGGTATCTTTCTCTTGGCCACACCCGCTGATTGTTGACTTATTTGTCCAGAAAGCTGCTGCTTATTAGAGTGGGAATTACCTAGGAGGGGCTGACGAGCACCAGTACTTCCATGGGATGTTTCTCCTGTTGCTTGGGGGTACTTGGATGCTAATGCATGGCCAATGGTTTGCTGTAAAAAATTATATTTATGGAATGAATAAAGTAAATAACTGGTGTGCAATGGAGACCATGCACAGTAGATGGTGCTTTAAAAGTGACCACTTTGGAGAGTTCCATCATTGGGAGGGACACTCTGTATACTGAATGTGCACAAACCATGTAACATCTTGATGTGAGCATCGGGCACCATCTGTCATGCCATTTGAATGTCCCTCCCAGTGCCATCTTCCCCAACCTCGTTCCCAGGGTGTCGAGCAATATGCTCCCAACACTACCTGCTCTCATTTGCTTATCCAAAAACTATTTGGATATGTATGCAAATGAGGAATAGCCTGGTGCCGTCCTGTGCTTTACATCAGCATTTGTTTTTGTACGTGGTATCTGGGGTAAAACGGAATCAATTCTTCCCGGTGTGACTTATGAAAAAAACGTTAAAATGTTACAATCTTATGCAGTAAATATGCAGTATCACATTTCATATTAATATGAGCAAATTGGAAAGGAAAGGATTAATTTTGAGGTGTGACATGGACGTAATAATTACAATGAACGTGAAAACACATAATACATGTTGGAAATAACAACACCGAGTACACAATATATTTGCATTTCTTGCTAGTTGCTGTGTTGAATCAGGATAAGAAGCAAGTTCCCATCCCAGGGCTTACTATGTGAAACGAGGTTGAAAATAAAGTAAGCTCTGGGGATGAGGTTGCGTCTTCCCAGACTCTCCTTTGTTACCATTGTTGCATAGAGTTCATAGGACATGTGACCAAATAACTGTGAAACAAAAAAGCAAAACAAAAACTGAAATTCTTCTTTCCAAAGCTTTCTCTTTGATTTCCCCTTAACAGTGCACTCCCTCAAGTTTACTCAAGTGAATTAAATATTATGATATTAAATGCAGGCAAATGTATTAAAGCCGCAGGGTTAAGGGATTTAAGGGGATTAGAATCAAGTACAAAATAGTCATTTGCATTACTTATTGGGAGGAAGCAAGGACTGACCTGTATAATAGGATGATGTCGTTCTACCATGACAGAACTCATAGGCGGGGCTAAGGTAGCTTCAGTCTGCTGTCCCATCTTACCACTGTCTGGGCGTGTTGAGATCCTGGCTGTGATGGTCTTGGGGGGTTTGTACCTATGGGTTGTCCTTGTGGTAGTAACCTATATTATAAACAACAGACAAATTAATTCGCTTAAAAAAGAAACAAACTTGGCAAACCATCCAATCTTATCAATTTTATCATAAAACTTGAGGTTCGTGTTCTTGAGTTACAAACGCAGAGTGGTCGGGCAGACAACTATGTCACTGAACACAGCCCAGTACTTTTTAAGTTATAAATATTTTTACGTCAGAACAAAGGATCACAAAATTTAGCCTTCCAGTATAACCAATTATTATTTTGTTTAAAAAAGGTAATGATAAATTTCAGTACACATTTTTATGTACACGTACATGTAATTTCTGGTTTGTGCTTTCCTGTGGGAGCCAGGTTAGGATGAGAGCCATCAGCTCTCATTGGGCACATGTAAATAAAGTGTGATGCCATTATGTATCAAGTCTGTTACCCTGTTCATTGATCCTCCAACACTTTGAGTGAGTGTGCCTGGAGTTGTTGCACTTTGACTTGTCACTGTGCGTGGCTGGGATGTTGTCTTGGTATTTGTCACTGTCTGGGTAGGTGTTGGTATGCTCAAGGTGGCTGAGGAAGGCTGGTGGGTAGCAGCATTATCGGAGTCACACCTACCACCGTCATTTTCTAAAAAATAGATAAGTATTCCATTATTTTTTTTTTAAGGGCGATAATGCAAAGGACAACATTGACTCCCAATATATATAGTGTATTGAGAGTGCAGGTTGATTATAAATTGACTGAAGCAAAAGATACATATTGTTGCGTTCCCTAATATTTATTTCATGTTTCATATCAGAGTTAACAATTATTTTTTAATTAAGTTGGCAGGAAACAGGAATTGGGGTGACTGTCACACAGTCACAATACTGGTTTATTTAATCTCTTCTTCGCTTCACGGCAACTTTGTGGGGGTTCTTTCAACCCGAGTCTTTTCTTTTGTAGTATTCATGTGGGCTTAATTTAATCAGGTTGGTCATGTTTCACAACGTCTTATACTAGTCACTACACTAAAGTAACCGGAGGAACTAAATCAACAAATAGCACTAGCTTTAGTGGGGACAGTGTGGGCTATCATTTCACAGCAAGGGCGGATCCAGGGGGGGGGGGCCAAAGGGGGCCATGGCCCCCCCCCCAAAAAAACGAAACCAATTGGTTTTTTTTTATGTGACGTTGCAATAAAGGCAGGCAATGAGTACACCACCATCTTTTCCTCCAAAAACATTGGCTAAAGTGGTCAGAAATTGCCTCAGATCGCACCACAGAGCATCGAGAATCCAAACAGTTTTAGGGGTCCTTAAGAGGGACCCCGAACCCCACGCCGTAATGTTTTGACCCACTTTTTGGGAGACACACATTTTTTTTTGGCCCCCGAAGAGATTTCTGGACCCAAGCAGGAGCAGACCGCTATGGTGACGGGGAGACAACAGCTAGACGGGGCCAGCGAGTGTACCAAACCACATTGCAGTTCGAGCCAGGGTGTGCATGTCGCGTAACCAAGGTCAACCGGGGCACTGTGCACCCATGGATAAATGGGGTCGTTCAGACACCGTTTTAAATTCCCTTAAAACACCGGTTGAACTCGATTCAGTGTAACTTTCTTGCTAAAACGATGTCTGAACGCTTTTTATTTAGACCGAATCGAGTTGAACTTGAAGATAAAACGGCAACTTAAACCCCCTCGAAGGGAGGGTTTAGCGAATAACCAGAACGAGTTTATCTCCTAGTACGATGTCTGAACGGTTTTAGCTAAAACGCTCCCCGTTTTAGCCAGCGCAGTGACCCGGAGTTACGTAACGCCTTCTCCGTGGTGCACTTTTGTATTAAGCAAACAATGTCCTAATTCTCCTACCGTTAAAAAAATCCAACTTCAAGTCCAATTTCCACAAGTTTTCTGACCACATGGTCCGAGTAACACGATGTGATGACAAACATGTAGATGCCAACGCAACAACCGCTAACCGGAGCATAATTATCATAATACACTAATATATTCAACTACCAGGAAAATCTTGGCGTTGATTGGTCAATATTGCAACGTTAATATAACGTGTATTTTCACGTGACTGACATGTTGCGCGGGCAATTTGATGTATTATAAACCTTGAGTGAAATCTATTCAATGACGTCTTGTTTCGAACACTGGTTTCTCGAACAACTTTTCAGAACATTTTTATGTCTTTTTGCACCACGAAAGGTACAGCCTGAAAATAGCCCCTAAAATGTAAACACAATTGGTATATATGTAAAGCCGATGTACGATACTTCCAAAAAATGGGGAAATTGCCGCAGTGGACAAGTGACTGTCGTCATGTTTACCGGCGTGCCACGCTACATGACTGGCCGAGGCTGCGATGTCAAACACGGCATGATGGCAACACAGAGGGGCTCAGACCACGTGCAGCGAACTGTAAAAATGGAAGAGTGAAGGCTCTTTTTAGCGAGCAGTTTTTACGGAGGCGGCTGTTCTACGTGACCTTAGAAACTGAGATAAACTGCTTCGAGTTGAACTTCCTATACTTAAAACGATGTCTGGACACTCGGTAGTTTTATTTTTACGACAGGCCCCCCGTGGTGAGCGACCGTGGCAGGACTGTGGCTGCTAGCTTAGCTGAACCGATACGGGTTATGGTTATCGGGTGCCAGGCAGGCCGTTGCGGGGTACTAACTCTGAACGGGGCTAGCACACCAGGCAACCGCACTACAGATTCAGGCTAAGACAAGCAGGAAATTCAATTGTCAATTGAGGCTGCACCGCACCATTAGAAAGACCAAGTGAGTGTATTCTACTTCCCCGGGCCTACAACCTCCTTGGAGGGAGTGCAGCGTCATATTAGCAATGCACTTAGGGGGTCGACTCGCACAACAATTGGTCCTCAGTAACACATTTGGATTCGTTGCACATCATTGGAGTTTGCCGCACACATTGGAGTTTGCCGCACACATTGGAGTTTGCCGCACACATTGGAGTTTGCCGCACACATTGGAGTTTGCCGCTCACATTGGAGTTTGCCGCTCACATTCGAGTTTGCCGCACACATTCAAGTTTGCCGCACACATTCAAGTTTGCCGCACAACATTGGTTTATTATCTCGCCGCACTGCCAAACACGAGGGAGCTGAAGGTTTGGGGTTAATAGAATATGAGTGTTGATTCAGGAATGAACCAACAGTAAACCTCCTTGTCGAAGGGTCACATGACTTGTCACATGACTGAATGAGAGTTCCTTGTGCAAAGAGGCTGGGAACGTGTGCAAATACAAAGAGGGAAAAATAGAGAGAGAGAGAAGTTTGCAAATACATAGAAAGAGATGAGTGCAATAGTTAGATCTGGGTGCAAACTTGCTTACACAATCATCGTAAACAACATTCATGGATTGAGTGACAGCCTAAAGGGTCACAGTGTCACTGGTCATTTACACTGGAGATTCAACCCACGCTGTGTTTTTAAACAGCTTGGCGTGTCAAATCAAGGGCGTGGGGTGCTGTGGTCCAATGGTTACGGTGTTCCACTCGTGTGCCGTTGTACATTGGTTCATATCCTGACGGGGAACATGGTGCTTGTGCGCTTGGGCAAGGCACTTTACTACGATTGCCTTTCTCCACCCATGTGTAGTAAATGTCTGGTACTTAAGTGGAGGGATTTGTGTTTTGCAGTGTTTATATGCTTGGCGACATCGTTCCTCCCTGCATGCCTGATGCTGAAGTCAAACTTGCAAAGAACGCAGAATGCATGGAAACTGTCAAACTTAGATCACACAATAACAGGCTACTCAGCTGTAAACTCCGGAAGGTATTCTGTTCAGAAAGTCTCCTGCTTTTCTCAGGAGTCTCTATTATTCCGGCCTTCTTTAAGCTCATATGTACCCACAAGCTAGCTAGCTTCATTGATTCAGGCTGTGAGCTCAGAGCAGCTGTGTGGCAACCTTGTTTCCAACTCATACGCCACTGTACTGCGCACGCTTGAAACTAGACTTAGTTTTTGTGAGGGCTCCTTTGGAAAGCACTTTTTTTAAACTGAAATGGACAACCCTCGGTAAAGATTACAATGAAATAAAAAAATAATAATAAAAGTCTGTGATCATTTTTTTTCCTACATAGAATAGCCTGACATAGCGCCCTGTTGTGGTACTACGACGTGATAGCAAATAGAAGCAAGTGAAGTTTTGGAAAATGTTGTGTGGCTAATTTTGTGCGGCTGATGCAGACAAAATAACCGCGATCTCAGATTTGAAATCAAGTCTAGCGTGAAGCTAGCTTCAGGCATTTGTAGCAGCATGGGTGTGCATTCCCAAACAAGCGCTTAAGTGTACGTGTGTTAATTCACTGCTATCATCACATTTAACTACCACGGTGGTCTACATTTATACAATTTTATTTTTTATTTCTTATCATTTTAATATCCACTTCATACCGGGAGTTCATAGATAAGATTGTTCGTTTGTAACAATTATACAATTATACTGGGGCGACTTATACTGGGGCAACTAGTATTTAGTGTAGTCGTATTCACGGTTCAAATTCACATATCCTAGCCCAAATCATGTATGCTGACATCTCTGATTCTAGCAACATGCCAAATTTCTTGCTTCTATCATCAAACTTTAGGCACAATTCATTCACAAACCTGCTGAACTGTTTATTTTGTAGACACCTACCTTCATTTTCATGAAACATGGTCATAGCCTCCAGATTGAGGGCACAAACTCCTCGCATGAATGCCTTTTTCATTGTTTCTTCATACATTTCACGTTCAGAATGTAGACGTGTAACTTCAGCCCTTGAGGACTCTAAGGCTTCATTCAACTGATATGAAAAGGAAAAAAAACCAAGAAAAGTTGTGTTATATAAACTTAAATGGCCCTCAACCATGACTGTTCCCACCCTTATAACAACAAGTTTGAAATGAACGAAAAAGTCACGATAAACTGTGGCTACAAATACATGTATACAGGTTAAGTGTTGTTTATAACTTTTGGGAAATATGAGCAGACTTCTCGTTTCCACTGCAGGTGGTTTAAATGACCCAGAACATCTGAAACACACAAGAACATGTAAGTTATGTTTCCTAATATTGAGAAAACCTTAAATTTTCCAAGGGTTCCATAAAATACTGGCAAATGCATATCTATTTCATTGTGAGCCTCTTCATTATTGCAAAACTGGTTGGTTTATAGTTATCACAGAACAGCTCAAAATTATTTAAATATTTATTGAATAATTATTGCATTTCAGCTGGATATCACACATACATGACGGGTTGATAACATTAGGGGTCGCAATACCTAATGTGGCTTTTGCATGCGTACTAACCGAGGCAAGTCTGGTCTCATAGTCATTGGTGAGTGACATGCACACTTCTTGTGCTTTGGACTGGCAGGCTTTCTCCACACGCTGTTTCCATTTAGCTTCAATTACACTGTGCCAGGCACCCCACACTTTAGTCATTAAATGGCGTTCTCGCTGTCTTACTGCTAACTTGCTGGTGAAGGCCTAGTACATAGCATAACAAGAGAAAAGTAATTTGTTTCAATTTTTCCTGTTACAAATATGAGAAATATCTGATAGAATTATTCCTCATTTAGCAATTAAATTGAGTAGATTACAATGCATCTTTTCTTGCCAGAAAGAACTGTTTGTCAGACATATAACTTTCTATATTCCTCCAATAATTGGTCAAATAAAGATGAGAGCAGGGTTGTTTGGTTAGTTCATTAAATAAAAAAATGTTTGAAAAAAAAAATCTGATTTGAAATTGATTTTTTTTGTTTAAAATTTAAAGCAAATACATGAATTGGTATTTAATCTATATTTGTATTAAATCTAAATTAGTTGTTTGTAGTGTAAAATGTTTGTAGAGCAAAAAAAAAAAGCGTTTTTAAGCATGTAAATATAGTACTACATAGAGAGACACAAGTTGATTGGTTGATTCTTTTCACAACTTGAATTTTGTAAATAACTGGTCTAGAAGAGATAGAATTTTTTATTAATCATGTGTTTACACTATTGTTTTTTATAGTGTCCCACTGAATTATTCAGTAGGAATGGGGTGAAATAATGGAGAATTGCCGTCTCCATTGCTCCATTCATGTAAAATAATGGAGTAGTGGAACAACAGCATGATGTCACAGGTGAGGTTAAAGTTGTGTTTCCTGTGCCTTTCATGCAAGTTCATTTTTTCCTTTCTATTAATCAATTCTTAAATTGCATTTTTTTATTGCAACAAAAAAAACCTTCCTTTTTCCATTTCTGGACAACTGCAACCCTCTGAAAAAAGGTTTTTGTTTGGGCATAAATGGATCCGCTTTGCGAGCAGATCTGCTTTGCGAGGAATTATTGTCTGGCATCCAATAATTCAAAATTGTAAAGTTATAATTCCATAACTAAACATGGGCCAATTGTTTTGGTAGATGTATCATTCACAAGCGAATAACTTTTGTAAATTGCTAGAAAGTAGCAATTTAGAAAAAGAATCCATATCTTGGGATAAAATCAAAGGGAACCCAAATTAAATTCAGAAGAACATTTTTTTTTCATGTAATGATTTTGGATTTCGTCAGTTTTGATCATAAGATGAATTTCTTAAGCCAGCCCTGTTTTAATTTCTATACCTCTCTACGATCCTCTGTATGCCGGAGCTTCCACGCCTGAAATCGCTTCAACATTTCAAAACGCTCCTTTTGTCTCTGAAGTGCCCTTGTCAGGTTAGAAACTACACCATCCTTACGCTCAATGGAAACCTCGTAAGTGTGCAAAAGCTCTTTCAGGTTCTCAATCTCATTCTGGAGTTGATTGACTTCTTTGTTATGCCTGTTAAAAAGAACATGTTTAAGAGAGATTTTAACATTCTAGTTCATACTTTATTTGTCAAGATTTCAGATGGCTTTGACCAATGTTGTTTAATTACCTACAATATGCCATAGCCATCTGACCAGCTCATATGCCAAATACTAAACTAGTATATATCAATCACACATCAGACAGGTTTGCCTCTGTTTTTTGTGTGAGTGCGAAGTGGTACCACAAATTGACCTTGAACTGTGCACGCTCACTTGCACATTTTTTTATGTACTTATGCAAACATGTACATGCACCTCTATGAACAGTAAACAGCTTTATACATGTACATACTACGTAGATCTGCCCATGGGGAATGGTTTGTGACATTCGGATATAATTTGTAGATTAATTATAAAGGGTCGCTCGAAGTAAAACAAAAGTTACAAATAACATTTGTTTTGACTCCTCTAGTTGTTCAAGACAGTTTCTCAGCTTTGGGATGCTATTCAGCATGATATTTCAAACTAAAACAATTGAACCACGTAACATGGACACCATTTTTACCCTATTCAGTTAGTATTGACAGTTTTAAGCACAACTCTCCCCAACTAGCTGAGCACATAATATACAAAAATAACATGGTTTGAGGGTGGACAGTCGATATTCGCTCCCCGAGGTAGTGGAAGTTGACAAACTAGTTCCCGAGGGGAAGCCGAGGGAACTAGTTTGTCAACTTCCACTACCGAGGGGAGCTAATATCGACTGTCCACCCGAAATAAACCATGTTATATTTGTTTTACTATACCTCATACATATTCAGTTGCCGAATTTTGTTTTATTATTATGCACCTAAAACAAAATTTGGGGAAACTTGTAAAGCTCACCAAAAGATTCAACTTCAATTACTAGTTCGGTTCGTTTGCAATATAATACAGTTACTACAGTTGTAAATACAGTTGTTTGCAATGTGTACAACTTTCTTTTGTACAGGAGACATCTTTACACGGTCTATACATTTTCTCCAGTACGGCATCATTGAGCTCTGTAAATTAACATTTACGCGAACCGTGCAACCATGCATCTCTCCTGTGCGATGTTCGCGCGTGCGTACTGCACCCGTGCGACAGTTCCTCGATTGCTCTGTAAAGCGCATGCGTAGTAGACTGTCGCACGGGTAACCCATGCGACAGTCTACTACGCATGCGTATTTACAATGTGTGTGAATCCTCGCGCGCGCGTTTGGTAAACAGCAAGAATAACATCTGGCACGTGATGGTGAATTGACCAGTGAACGTTCGGCTCTCGATCATGAATATGTATGAGGTATAGTAAAAGATCATTCCAAACTTGTATTATGGACATTTAAGTTTAAAATTCAGTACTATTCCACGAAATCTTTAATCGATGCATTCATGACACGATATCAATCAGGGTCACCAATAGTGGTTTAATTTGTGTTCCTTCAACATGTACCATTAACGCAAAATAGAGAAATCTATTGCAGTGTTTATTTATTCTTGTAAAACCCCCTTTTTTAATTTGGCCTTATTCAGGCAAAAAATCCCTGCATGGGACATATTTTGGAAGCAATATCAAGGCTTTATGTCAATCGTAGAAATCTTCCACAATCATTGGTTAGTTCTGATTGTGATACAAACCAGTTCCCTTTTCAGGACCAAGCAGGTCTAACATTGTGCAACAAATCACTATGTCAAAATACCTTTATTTTATTCTCGACATGTACTTTTCATGTCTAAACATTCGGTTGGGCCCCCTTTACACAGGGCTGCGACCTTTGTACCACCTATGAGCGACCAAAAAATGGCCAGGACACTCAATGGTTGCCTAAACCCAGAAAAGTCATGTTTCTATGTAACTGCTCCAGCGATCCCTGGCCTCCCTTTCGGGCATTTTCATGTCGAGCTACGAGCGACCTGTGCATCCACTGAGCCAATTGCCTGCCTCCCCTGTGCTTCCCCTGTGCAACCTACGGCCATGGTGGCTCAACTGAGGGTTGCCGTGGTCGCCGAATGGAGGCACAGCGGTCGCCACAGTCATCGTTCAATGCACGCTATTGGTCGGCCAAAGGAGGCACAAGGGAGGTAGAAGCATTGCCCAGATTGACGGTAAAATTTGCAAAAGAACGGATCTATTATGTGGCGACCATTGTGCATCCATTCTGCAACCACAGCAATGCTTGTGCCTCCCTTAAAGTTCTGCCTCATTTGAGCCAACTTTGAGCAACTAACCTCCTCGGTGACCTTTGTGTGATTGTTTTGAACATGTTCAAAAATGTACGGCAACCATGGTGTCCATGGCGACGTCTGAACATCCTGTGTATCACCTTTGAACGACATACATGTAATGATGTAAGCAACCATTCGGCCTCCTTTGAGCCTCCAACGGCGACATGGCCAGTTTTATGGTCGCACAAGGGAGGCCCAAAGGTTGCAGCCCTGTGTAAAGGGGGTCTTACTCATCATTCATTGAAAAAAAAATCTTTTTGAAGCATACATAATAAAAAAAAAAAAAAATTTAAAACATAAAACCATACTTGCATTTATAAAAGAAACGTATTTATTCCCAATTTTGAAACATGGAACGTTCCATTGAACGCACACCTCTAGACTCAATCTGCTGTGTGCAGGTGTATATTACAAATATTAGTTAAGGGCAGTACTTATAGTCCATGACTTAGTCAGTCAGTGGAAAATACACTGGTCCAGCAAGAACCTGCTTGTCTGTGGATATGCGATTATGCCAAATGGTGCAATCAAATGAGTCATAATCGTCAAGTATTTCCCTACCTGTCTTTGATTGCCCTGATCTCTTGGCGATGACGTTCAATCAAAGATATCTTTGATTGACTCATTTCAGCCTATAAGTAAAAATGTCATAAATTATTGCCAAGGCAAATTCAAGAAACGTTGTTATCACTTCTATTCCTTTGCTGCATATACGTTTGTGGGTTGAAAAATATCAGCGTTACGGCAACAAATGCTACCGTCTGGCAATGATAAACCTGGTTTCAATACCTGCTGGTTAGCTATTAAAAGTGGGATGCTGCCTTCTTGGACCTCTGTGTAATAATAATACTGGAGTCTTAGATAGCGCACGTATCTACCAACAAGTAGGTACTCAAGGCACTGGTAATTGTGTCTATTTTTAAAGACAGGTAAATGTATTTTATGAGAAATATGAGACCCAGTCACCATACCAGAAACACCGGGGCAAACCCCTTCTCTTAGCGATAACATAAAAAAACTTAAAATATTTTAGTTTTCATTCAGTACCGGTACCTTGTTGGAGAAGCAAATTCAAGTTAATTTTTTTCTGTGTCCATATCTGGGAACGAGGGATGAAGAAATTCCACATGGCAGTTTGGACAACACAATTCAATAAATAAACTCAAAAACAATGTTGAGTTGAGAATGCTTATCATACACTCAAAGATTTCATACACTGTGCGTATCCAGAGTATCCTTGCTGTGTGCATGCAATATTGTGATTGATGATTGTGATTGATATGGATGGCTCTAACCAATCATGGACAGATGTTCGTCTTTTGTGCTATGTCTGAAATACATGTATTGTGTGAAAAGTTAGTGAAAAAACTAGGACAGACAAGAAAAGGAAACAGGAGGGAAAATTCTGTTTTTGGGGGTTTGAAACAACCTCCAACACCAGTGTTGGAGTACTCGTACTCCTGTACAACTAGAGTACACACAAGTACTCGGCCCGTACTCGACTATCAGTACTGGAAAAACGTTTGGACTTGGCCTGTACTCGATTCTTCGTACTCAAATTTTGCATGGACTCGACGGTTTGGTACTCGGTACTCGACCCCAGTACTCGGGAGTACACATCGAGTACATTTCTTTTAAATCGATGCCATTGCTCAACCTGGCGCATAATGGCGCCATTGCAGTCTGTATTACGGCTTAATCCAGTTCCCGCCTCCCCAATGTTACTTACACTGAGGATTCGTGAATCAGGAGCCAGCCAAGCTCACGCTTCATATGTTCGCTCGTGGCTTCATGGTTTTTCAATATGTTTCAATACAAACAACCAGCAATTAAAATCTCGCTTTTTGGTTGGTTTTGTTAAATTTTTATTAACAAAATTTTCTTGTGTACTTAATTGAGTTTGTTGTCTGGAAAGGGTTTCCAATACTTCAGGTGTCTACCCAACTATCCATGATTTCTCTTCTTTTTTGTTTTCAGAAATGATGAAAAGTGCCAGTGCATTCACCAACTTGAAGAAGTTTGTTTCATTTTTACATTGTTTACACAAATAAAAGTTGTTTAGTGTTAACCAGTTGGTAAAGAAGAGTGGAATGCATGTTGTGTTAGTTTTTTGTTTCATTTATTTTATTTATTTATTTTTTAAATTAATTTTTGTACTTTTTTGGTATTGTACTCGAACTCGAACTCAGACCGTCCCAATCCAAGTGCTGCATTGTGCACGTACGTACGTACGTACGTTATGCATAGTACATGCAGTCTGTACTACATTATGGTTTAATTCCCCAGCCGGGTCGTACACATCATGTTTGCTGGTGCTGGCCTGGCCGCTACTTTTTATTCCCATGTTCAAAGTCCCCATCGTGTTTTCACTGCCTCCACACCCCCCATGCACGTCGTAGCCAAACCCAAAAGACTGGTATACCGGGCCGTGTGGCACCCTGATTATTCAAGTACGTCTATTACAAAACGGAACACGCATTAGGATTTTAATAATACATAAGTGAATTCCTATTAGTTTTTTAATTGTCAATCAATAGAAACAAAAATTAAAAAGGGGATCACGCTGCACTTTTAATGTGCATGCTTCATGTAAATACCCAGATGCCAACTGAGGGCGTCTGTCAATTTTCACTGCACCGATGGGTACCGATCTTTGGTAAATGATATTTGCATGCAATAGTAAAGGGAACTTGGCCGTTTTCCTGACATCGGAACACAATCGATAAAATACATCAAGCGTAGGTCTTACCTGACATGCCTGATTGCTGCTTCGTGGTAATACAAATAGCCTAGGCCTATATGCAAATAACGTTACAGGTTCGTTTCTGTCTATAAAATGATCACTGTTCTATGTACCAATTCTTTTACTACGAAAATCGGTGAGATTTTTAGTGGTACGTGTCCATCATGAGACAATTCTGTCATGACCCACTCATGTCGTTACATGCCCGTCATGAATTGAAGTGGGACGTGGGTTCATTCCTTGCACGGCCCCGGTTCCAATGACTTCTGGGTATGAAAAAAAATGGTGAAAAATTTGCTTTAAAAATAATGTTCTATTATTTTTTTTGGACTGGTTTGCACATGTGTCTTGAAGTTGAGGGTTTTCAGTTCAGGTTTCCTACTGACACTAAAGTAAATAAATGCTGTCAGGCGATTGACAGAGAGGATAAGACTTCACTTGGTATATTGTTTTATTTAACCATATTTTGAAAATCATCTTTTGATTTTTGTTGTAATATATATCGTGATATGTATCGTATTGTTTGGCATGTATCGTGATACGTATCGTATCGTGACCCAGGTGTATCGTTTCAGCCCTACATTCAACTCTGTCAGCCGAAAGGGCTTGTGCAAGCTACTACTACATGTAGGCTATCACAGACGCTTATGGGGAGTTGGAACTCATCTGTGCAGAGAATGGAGTAAAGTCAGGCTGTATCTTTGTGCCGATGCTGTTTGGAATTGTCATCACAGCCATGATCCATGACAGGTACAACTGCAACAGCCGAATTTCCATCAAGTTCCGGTGCAAGGGCGGAATATTCAACCAGCGTCGCAGTAAGCCAAGCCCAAGGTATTGCCCATGCTGAGCAGAGAACTGCTGTTTGCAGACAACTGCACTCTAGAGGCCCATGTGGAAGAGGATGCCCAGCCTCTGATGGACAGCTTTGCGAGGTCAGCTGAAGGCTACGGGCTGACTGTCAGCTTAAAACAAAAAACAGAACTGGCCAAGGCTGCCCACCTAGAGCTTTCAAAATAGGCCTTGTTCTACACGCCACATTTTCTCATACCGCTGATAACATTGCATGGGTCTGTTTCCATTATTATTGTAACGATGTGGAACCTTTTAAATGTCCAAAAATCTAAAAGACCCACGACCACTCCCCCAGAAGGGAAGGAAAAAAGATAATAAATGGATTCACTGTAAGGATGGATGGTTGACTTCTTTTCCTTTTGAAAATACTTTTTATAGTGAGTTTAAAATGGCTAGGTTTTGATTGCTCGCCGCTCACTGCACCACGATATATGTCAGATACCGCACACCGTCCGATGGTATGTGTTACAGTGTAGCATAGCACTTACATGAAGGGATGGTTTGTACATCCTTGACCCAAATATGCGTGTACGTCGACTCCTATTACTGACTTGAATATTTGTGATGCGATCAAGCTAAATGAGTCGTTTGTCTGTTTCATGAAATCGGGTGCTGGGCTCAGCAAAATTTCACAGAGTTTTAATAAATAACCTCTCCCTGACTCCTCAAGCGAGGTACTCTGGCAATTGACAAAAGTTGCACAGGCTATAGACATAATTGCAGCATGAAAGACCAACAAATAGCAAAGATATTCGAAAATAATTTAGCCAGTAAATGTCATGAATGTCCAGCATGCAACGGCCTAGCCAACAAGATTGTGCCCATCCAAGTGAGAGATATGGTTACTGCACAAATTGTACTACAGGTTGTGTGCACTATATACGATCTTTGTTAAGATGAAAAAAGTCTACAACCCAACATTGCTTTTGAGTTTGTTATCCTGAATTGTGATGTTTAACGGAGCATGTGGAATATATCTTAACCATCCAGTCCCAAAGACAACACAAAGAGTAACTGACATGAAATTGGCTTCTCAAATGTTGTAAAAATAATAAAAAAACAAATCTGTTGTAATTCAGGGGTTTTTGTATGTACTGTTCCTTACCAGGATATTGCGTTTCATATCCAAGCACCAATTGTCTAGGTTTGCCTCCATCTTTGCTAAGTCCTGGTCAATGGAAGGTGACATGACACTGCTCCTAGACGTATATGTGTCTGATACTGATGATTCATCCGTTTCAGGTGTCTCAGGAGTTGCTGCTGCAAGCAAACTGGGTCGAACTGGAGTAATTTCATCTGCTTTCAAACAAAACAAAAACAATAGACTTTATGTGGATTAAAATAAAGACTTTTAACCCTAACCCTCCAGGGTATTTTTGGCAAGAAACCCTGCCAAACTCAGCAACATGCAACTTTTGTCTATAAAATGACAATCCAGCCCAGTGTAGCAAGATCCATCAGGTAAAAAGTCTCTAGGCCACACTGCCTCAGAGTCTGTGATCACCGAATGCAGCAGGATACAACTGTGGCATTGTTTAATGGGATTAGCTCTCATTGTTTAATTTGTTTCAGAACTGGCCGTTGATATGCACTGATGTTGACAGCTGAATGCATCAAAGTGCATCAGACTTTTCCACCTGCACTGCGTTGCGTCTGGCAGGGTTAGGGTTTTAATTAAGGTATGATTTGATTGATTACACATGTAAGTGTGCATATGGACACTTCTACATGAAAGTGGACATGGCTGAAAAAAGAAGAAAATTTATGAAATCTTTAGAACTACGAGCATCACAACCTCAAATGAAAAGGGCCGGGACAACAAGACCTTTTATTTGAGTGGAGTGCCACTGAGATGGAATGTGGTAAAATGTGGTGTTTTGGGGTCAAAAACTGGTTTGGGGGCTAAAAGTATGGATTTTAGGTAGTCATTTTGGAATGTAGATGCTCTGTGGTGCATTTTACAGCCTCCTGGTTAAACTATTAAGTCAAAAATATTTTGCAATTATGCACGTTTTTAAGTTCTTTCCCTTCATATTGGCTTGAAACTGCCTAAATAAACAACTTGTATATGAAAACTGTGTTAAAATTGAGGTTTGAAGTGTGAGTCAGCCATTGCAAATTTGGACCACGTGTCCCATATTTCAATTCCTTGCTGCAAAGAATGCACATCGCATGTCCAGGCTTTTGGATTTTTCTGATCATGTCGCCTAATTTCTGCCCATGACTGGTGTGTTCCATCCACGTCCATTTCCACGGATTTGTCTTGTCAATGTCCGTATCAAATTATGAATCTCTATGGGCAATTATGCACTTGTGTTGCACTGACATCTTGCAGAATTAATATCAAAAGTAGTTTGAAAATACATACAAAACGACACACTAACGTTAGCAGCAATAGTGCGGAATGCATGATGCAATGCATGCATGAATGATGCCCCGCATCATGAAGCCCTCTATCGGCGCGGCGACAATTTACTAGTCTTATTTCAAGGCTTTATATTTGCAATGAGACGTGTGCAAAGTGATCTTTTCGAGGTTTACAGCAAGTTATTGTGGAAATCATTGTGTGTCACTAATTACACAGACACAGGAACGGCTGCAAAGAGTCCCAACGCACTTCATGGCGCATTTGTGAATATTGATATTTATCTGCAGCCAATCACAGCGCAATGACTGTTGGTTCCCCGGATGCTGTTTACATTGCATGCATATCGTATACGGCACATGTACAGTACATGTACATGAGTGATTGTATTCGCTTAAATACTTGCACCAAAGCTCTTTGATTATTACGCGTGGTAGAAAAAGAGGGGGAAAATCTGGACCATCGGTAGAAAAAAAAGCGGAAAACAAAATCTGGTACGCTCAACAAAAAAGCAGAAATCCGCTAAAAATGAGATATTTCACACCCCTGTTGTTGTGAAAGCTGTCTCACCTCCAGTCTGTTCCAGCCTATAGTCTGACTCAACCTCTGAGTTTGATCCTTGTAATGCCTGCTCACTCTCCTTGTCTCTCGATGTGTCTGCACTAGCACTCTTCTCTGGTGTTGAGGTAACTGTGTAAATCAAAAGGAAGAAATGATAGATCTACATGTGTACAATGTATAATGAGAGCTTCTGTCTTCATATTTGTGATGGGTATCATGAAGTAGAATGACATTCAAACAACTTGATGTGATGCAATCAAGCTAAATGGGTAGTTTGTCAGGAATATTTATTTGGAGATTCAAAGCCAAAATAGGGCCACTTCATCACATCACTTCATCACATCTGTTGGTGTTCCGACTTCCATAATTTTTCAACTAAAAATGGTACCAGCATGCGGTTTCCACAGCAGTATAGGCACCGTCGATATCGTACTTTGGCCGATACCGATCGGTTTTTTTATATCGATATTATCGATATATCGATATTTTATTCATTTTAAGTTTCAAGGTATTATAACAGGCGTGAATTGCATGGGATCTACTCTTTCGTTCGCTTAAAAAACATAGCTTGACACCGAATCTGCGTGGGGAGGTATTAAGTCGTGAACCCCAAACACGACGGGTGATGTGGTCAATGACAACACCAGACCCTTAACTTACAGATCTCATGGCATCTGAGAGTGATTTCGGAATCTATATCATACAGTACACATTTCCAATCACAGTAACACAAAGTGAAATTCATTTATTGCACCAAAATGTCCAGGATAAGGCCAAAAAAAAGAATAGTTCTGCTTCCGGTTACCCGACCGACCCTATTTTTAGGCTGCGACCCTAAACATTTTATCGGCAATTCCAAAAAAAAAAAAAAAAAAAAGATTGAATAAATAAAAATAAAATTATTAGTGAATATTAGTAAACCAAATTTCACGTCTTTCGGGAAGTCCAACCTCACAATAAAGGATCATGTTTCCATATTGTCCAACTATTATCACCTTGTGTTGCTGATGAGAATGTTGGGGAAATGTCAAACAAACAACTCAAAGAAAACCAATTAATTTTCTAACTCTTTAATTCCAATTTTGGATTTCTTTTATTTCAACCAATCACAGCACTGGGAAAAAGCGGCGAGTAAAGCCGTGTCCGCACTGGACTTTTTTTTTTGGAAGGTTTTACCAAGACGATGGTAAAATGAGAAATGGTCAAATGTGACCACTGTCCGCACTTGGACTTTCGACACGGGAAATTTTACCCAGACCGCGTGGGAGAATTTAACCGAGCTGTCACTGTGTCAGTATAATGACTCACCATACGCAGAAAACAAACTGCCGATCACATTTTCAGCCGCCGATACGCACATTCATATACCCACACGCCATTTGCATGCACAACATAATCGTTAATACGATATTATTTCATCTTCACACGCTAAATCTTGACGGAAAACCCTAGTATTTCTGACGCATTGTGATGCACGACATCGAAGCCATGCCGCTGTACGATGTTCCGTGCGGCAGCAGTGCCATCGGTATTCGTTGGTTCCCATCGCATGCTAACAGAATCAAAGCTATGATGTAGGACCGGAACCAGTGAATACGGCCTACGTATGGTACCGGACCATGATGCGCCGTGCATGACTACAGTAGCGTAACAGCCTAACAGGAAGAATTTGGATCGTAGAAAATACCTAACAAACATCGGTGGAGAAAGAGAATTTCTGCAAATTAATGCCCACAATGTGATCTCTCTTTTTTGTGTATGTATTTCTCCGTTGAAATATATTTGTAACGAGATTTTACCGCTCGGACTTGATGATACACCGCAGCGTGTTTCTACAAAATTTTTGGCCACTGCACGTGCAGGTTCGTGCGGTCTTTGTATGCATAACAGGGCGCTAGGGCCGGATGAACGCTTTCCTGAGCTGCTTTTACCGACTCGCACTGTCCGCACTGGACTTATCATCTCGGGAAAAGTGACCTGGTCAGTTTTCCTGGGCACCCGGTCAGTTTTCCTGGGCAGCAGTTGGCCAGTAAAAGTAACCGCTGGACTCAGGAAAAGTAACTGAGAGGAAAACGTCCCAGGCTGTCCGCACTGGACTTAAAATGGGAAAAGTACCCATAGTCTCGGTTAGTTTGACCAAAAAAAGTCCAGTGCGGACAGGGCTTAAGACAAACACCGAAAATTATCTAGGCCAAGCAATTCCCATGCCAGTCTCTGTATTTTTCTTGACCCGCTTTTAGTTTCAACAGCCAAAAATTACTGACATGAGAAAACAGAAAAATACATGTGTATAACAACTTCACAATTTGAGATAAGTGACTGAATTTATTCTTCAAATGTCGCCGTATACGCCGCCCGGAATATAAGCTACTGGGACATTTTTCACTCAGCGTGAGAACCAACGTAAGCCGTGGCTTATCGAAAATTAGGGTAATGTGACCGATGCACTTTCGTATTTTTTAATAAAGTTTGTTCTCAGTAGCGATATTTTTGATATTTTTTCAATATCGATATTTTCGATATTTCTCCCAAATCCGATTTTTTCGATATTTCGATATTACCAAATAACTAACATCGGCGATATCGATATCAAACTAATATCGATAAAATCGATATATCAACGGTGCTTACAGCAATAATACTGAGATTGTGCTCTTTTCAAATCTGTAATAAATTGTTTTGACCAGGGTTGACAAACAACTCATTTAGCTTGATCGCATCACATATGTGCTCAAACAGTATAATTATGCAGAAATATTCATTTGCATGATTTCTTGCCAAAGGTAAATTGTGAAATATTGTTTTTGACAGAAAATGCACTCGTTTCACTGTGTAATCTATTCAGTCTTCCCAAACGTTGTTTTCTTTATATAACATTGTTTCCTTCATTTACCATTCTTGCCTACACCTATATTTTTATTACAAACCTGAGGAGTCTTCAAATATGAGCTCATCCCTCCTAGGTCTGTTGGAGAAGGCATGGACAGCTTGAGCCAGAGACTGTGGCAAGTTAGTGGGGTCATAATTTGGTGCTACCACTGCATATTTCAGCAACTCCTGGTACTCATCCTGACAAGAAAACAAAATTTGTACACAGACATGTACATGTAGTATTCCATAAAACTGAAAAACACACATGTACATTTCATAATTTCAACGAGTTCGTTCAGTAGTTAGGTAGAATTTGGATCACTCCATGTCAATTCAAGAAGACCTGTGCCCAATTTCACGGTGCTGAGCTGCCATAATTTGAAACCATAAGCAGTAAGCACAGCAAAAGCATGCTTAACCCCACAGAAAAAAGTTGTTCAAATCGGTAAAGTAACATTAGGAATTTCCATGCATGCAACCTTTAGCGTATCCACACCATGAAAAAGTAATCAAGGTTATCCCCAAAATGTGATGTCTACAGTACAGAATGTTGAAAATGAGGAAATAATAGGAAATGAAAGCAGAAAAAAAATGGGAACTCCTATAAAATAGGAAAACTATCATGCCTGCATTGCGTGCACGCTATTTCTCAGGTACAGTGTAGACATGTGTACTCCATTTTCGACTTGTAACAACACCCTGCGGAGGTTATTAAGGCTCATCATAACATGAACATGGCAGATTCTTGGATTGTGTGGTGTGTTATTGAACAATGACTGGCATTACTGACTCTGTGCAGGAATAGTACATGGCACTTTTTACCACTTTCTAAAGCTCCAGCGGGGACTATGATGTGAAGTACATACAATTGATTTGATTGAGCATCAGGTGTCGTCAGCAATGCATTCAAGTGATCCTCCCAGTTGTCTCCCCAACTCTCCTTTTGTAACCATTGAGGGGGTACTTGTATACTGAGTCCATGTTGGCACTAGTGCATATGTCAATGCCCACCTTTGGCCTGTGACCGACTACAAGAGGGTCCTACATGTACATTGGCTAACCAGAGTCCCTCAATGTTCGTAGTATACACACACAGACTGGCAATGAGGTCACTAGTGCATGGCCTGTGAGTGACCAGAAGAGGGTCCTTTTGGCCTCGGGAAACAGGACCCTGTTCTGGTCACTCACAGGCCCGAGGGGGGCATAGATGTGCACTAGTGACCAAATCAGGCAAGTTCATATGTTGAATAACACACCTCTATCCAAAATAATATCCAATATCATAATAGAAACTTTTCAGGGTTTTAATGGACTGTTTTAATTCAACAATTAAGTCATAAGCTATTCAACTACAGGCAATTCAACAATTAGGCCTACAGGAACAATCTTAGTTTCCCTAGATTCAGTTTTAGAGTTGAGTTTTTGAGACTTGTTTTTTGTTGTTGAGTACTGCCCGATCAGGCACTTTATGCCAGAAATCACATGCACGTCTTGACGCGCGTCTTGTTTACGCTGATGCAAATTTCATGCTCTAGCCTACATTAGTGAACCCCACGTGACCGTGTTTCAGCCAACTAGAATAAAGAACCAGCAAGAGGTGTCTTCTAAACTGCACAAGTGACCTCAATTGCCAGTCAGTGTGTGTGTATAGTAGTACTTGGGTGATTCCATAAATTTAGGGTCCAATTTTGGTGTCCGAGTTACATCTGACTTGTGTAAGATTTTGTAATTCAGGACACATGTCTCTGATTCTAAGAGTGATTATGTAAAGCAAACTACCTGGTAAACAAATGAAAAATAGTGTGAAGTCATTTTTATTGACACTTGAATGGCAAATTAACAAGTCCGGTGTAACACCAAAAATGTCACACTTTTGGACCCCTTATTTATGGACATACCCACTTACTCACCTGCAACGTTGTTGAGACAGAACTCCCTGGTGAGTCAGATGGCAGAATGGGCACACTACTGTCATCTTCAGTTGAAGACATTATACAACACTGTGTGGGAAAAGGGTGGTATTTAAAGATATTCATTATACATACATGGTCTGAAAAACACTGAGAATAAACACTTCAGGGATCATAAGTATACAAATCTATTGGGGTGAGAGCGATAAGCAAATCTGAAATTTACCATGTTTCATGCAAGGCTACACTTTGACATGATATCTTCATTTTATACTCAGAAAGGATGTAGTTTCCCAATGCCACTTTAGTGGTTGTGTACTAAGTCTACATGTAAACAGAGTCATGAAATGTACATTGAACAACAAAACTGGAAAAGTTTCTTAGTCCAAAATGAATGTTTTTCAAATTATGAAGTTCTGTACTTCAATGATTAAATTGATTATGAAAGAACTAGACTTAGAAACTATGAAAGTTGTGCGAAGTGATGCACAGTGATTATTTGTTTGTCTCTTCCTATTTGTTTCGGATGGCCACCATCTTGACGATTGTTTTGGCAATCTTTACAGTTTGACACTGGTCCGCCGACCATCGTTGGAGAAAACTGGCTTTTTTCAAAAACTGCTTCTAGTTTTTCATATTTAGTCATTAAGCATTTTCTTTGCAATTGATTACACATCTTTGAAGGGGTTCAAGCCTGCTAGACTGATTTTCTTACCTTACAATCCCCAAAGTCTATAAAATGCAACGTCATCTTAAGTGGGGTCAGGGTACCAGACTACAAGAACATTGTTGGGGTTTCTTAGATTAGAACCCAAAACATGAAACAAGCTAGTTTATCAATATTTTCTATAGCACACTAATCCTCCAAATCCATTTATTTCAGAAAATTGCAGCGAAACCAAATATTCCCTTTAAAAAGGCGGTAAGTTGGGTACAGACTTAGTTACTCGGACCATGTCAAGAGTGTTTTTTAATACTCAAAAAATGACCTTTTCAACCTAATGGCAAGATACAGATGACACCTTTTCTGTAATTTTGAACAGTTTCTTGTGGTAGAAATCACAATTTTCCTATGCGGTTTACTGTTGGTGCCGTGCGATTCACGCCTTGCACGTTCGCATACGTAGCTTGAGTAACATCCAGCTAGCTGACGTGCTCATCAGGAATCCACATGTAGGCGTACATGTAGACCCGTGGCCGTGAACGTGGCATTGTATACAACGCCACGGGCCTTCCTGGCGGCTATTACCAGTTTACCCATTTACCACTTTGCCAATTTACCACTTCGCCCACCCCCTTGTTCGTATGTACGTACATGGGTGCACTGAACTAATTCAAGTGCTGGAGAATTTCTACATGAGTCATTAGCATAGAAAGTGCTCCCCCCCCCCCCCCCCCCCACAATTTCTTTTGAAAACGGAGACCGTTTGGCCTTAAAAACGGTGGAATTGTGTAAATAGACCCAATGATAACTCCCTGGTCACGTTTGTAAACACAAGTGCATTTCGAACAATAAAAGGGAGTCGGGAACTAGCTTGAACTGGTTTCCACCCACAAAAGCTGCCCTAGTTCCCGACTCCCTGATATCGTTCGAAATGTACTTGTGTTTACAAACGTGATCCAGTCTACTCATTATCATAATCGATGCATCGCGCGCGCTCAGTAATGGAATCGCACTCGGGATACAGGGACCATCGAATGTACGCTGGGCATGAAGACCACATCGCATCGTTCAAACATTAACACGAGTCGGAAATTTAACGTGTTCATAATCGCGAGGGGAGCTCTCGGAATTGAACGGGAAATTTCACTTTTCATCCGGATCGTAAGTAAACTTCAGTACAACCATCTTAATTATCGATGTCTACTTGTACCTCAGGTGGCGTATCTAGTAATTTGGAGGCCGTTTTGAGGGTGAAATCTGATGTTTTTGTTGGGCAATGTTGGGTTTTTGGGTCAAGGACAAAATTGTGTTGCTCGGCATATATACGGATTAGCTTGGACCCTACTACCGCCAGACCATGTCCGAATGTTTAAATGGCGATTAAGTTGGGTCCAAGTTACTCGGACTAACGTTTTGGTATCTAGTCATTACGGCAATAATTTACTCTCTCTTTTATTTCTTTCAATGTACTTCTCAGAAAAGCGTTTGATTCTCGCATAACTACATTAAGAAGAAAGGCGATGTGACGATGTACTTCTAGAATTAGAAGGTTTCTCTCCATCAGCTGACGGAGAGAAGCCTTCTAATTCTAAGAAGTAGTGACGATGGATCATCGACGGTGATTTGACGTCGGTCCGTGTTGTCATGGTTGTGTAAAAAAAGATACGAGCCGAGAAAGTACTGCTAGAACTATGAGCGGAGCCTCATAGACAGCTTACCCCGCAAAATTGTTTGCTTCAACACCAACTAAGTACAAAAATGTCCATCAAACCAAGCAATTTCCCACAGAACCACTGCACAGTTTGCTCCTAAACTCCGTACTATAACTCTTGACATACTCACGTTAAGTGCACCCAACAAACATCCAACAATTGTGTGGTTTGTTCCGTGTACGATGCCTGTGAAAATAGACATGCTCGGAGTGTGCGAACGGAGGTGGACTCCCTATTATCGCGGTATGCAGAAAGTGGTTTTTATGATGATCTCAACTTTTTTATTCATAGTTAATGTTTGACCAAAACATCCCCTGAATAAAGTCTGATATTTTCCTACTCCTAGAACTATGAGGCTCAAAGAGCGCTCCGCGAGCCTCATAGTTCTAGGAGTAATATTTTCCCTGTAACGTTCGAGTTGATTAACTCTTTCAGTGCCCGCGACATTTCAAAAGTTTAACCCTAAAGTGCCCGACTTCGAGCTTTTTTTCTAATTATTCAAAATTCTGTAAAAAAAAGAGTAAATAAGTTGTAATCACCAAACTTGTTGTATCTTGCTCTCTGGTATATTCTTGTTACCTTCAAAAGTCAATAGTAGTCACGCACCTAGTGATATACCCTGAAACACTCTCCTGAACACAGGGGAATTCCGCACTTTTTGTAGAATATACGTGTGTCGCGTCTGATACCCCTCCTCATACAAACTCTGTTCATTAGCATCAATATCGTCTTGATTGTCACTATTGACACTAACGTAAGCACCATCATTATCATTTGTATCGGTATCCCCATTTTCGTCTTCTGACTCACCATCCTGTTCTGAAATATCCATAGATGATTCTGAATCAGAAAAGTAATCCCTTTCGCTGTCCGAATCATTGCTTTCCTCTGGAGATAACACGCGAGCTCGTTTTCTGGGCGCCGCCATTTTGTCAACAAGTCTAAACTCAGAGACGGGCTGTCAGTGTTACGCCCTCTCGCAAGAACTCTCACTTTACACGGTGGGCCGTTTTATTTTTGTTAAAACGCCTTGTGCTTATTTTGATCCCGTTAAAGTTTTTACGATTTCGCGGTGCAAATATCGTCCTTCGACTTCATTTTACATTTGCAGCTGAAGAATGGGAACCAGACAATGGAACTTTAATGGACAGAGCACCATTAAAGATTTATGTTAAAATATAGACGGTACCTTTTAGCAGACACGGTGAGGGAAAATTTGCAAGTTTTGGAAAACGTTAATATTTATTGAAAATCATTAAAAGTCCCGAAAGACACAACATTTTTTAATCGTCCTTTTTATACAACTCGGCAAAAAGTCCTTAAATGACTGGTGAACTGGATAAAAATCGCCACTTGAAGTAGTTTTGGCAACGCAAAAAGAGAAATTTCTCATGCCGCGATTAATAGGGATGCAGCGATAATAGGGAGTCTGACTATACTTAGTTCGTGATTTGTAGAAGCAAATAATTTTGCGGGGTAAGCTGTCTATGATATGAGGCCCTGCTCCGCCAAGCATCATAGTTCTAGGTCGACTAGGAGTACCGAGAAAGTTGGTTGCGCGAATATTGGGCAGCGTGAATATGGGCAGCGCGAATTTGGGGCACCGCACGATAGCTCTATGCCGCCACCCGATCATGCCGATTGAATATGTTGAAGCGTAGCCCCATAAATGTGGCCAATTTACTGGACTACCTCCGTAAATACGAAGTGGCTATCGTTACGGCAGCCGTTGTTTAGCGCCCTCTACGATACTTTTTTGATACGCACGCAGGTATATAATTATTTGTTTCCCCACGTTTTAGCGAGCAGTGCGACAGCTCAGTCGATAGCGGGTAGAATTTTGCACCGCGAGGTTGCGGGTTCGCATCTCAGTTTTGCACTCAAATTTTTTTCCTTTTCTAACCTGAGGCTTTGGAGGATTTTTTTTAAAAGGGAAATAAAGTCGGAATTTCATAACGTTCAAATTCACTTTTTTTCCTTCTAATTTTATATTTTCTTCTCATGTTTTTATAAAAGTTGCAGTACCGTAACGATAGAAAATGGGAAATGCGTTACGGCTGCCGTAACGATAGCCACTGCGCCGTAAATAAAGGCCACACGTCCACCATGTACAAAAACATGTCGAACTTTGTCAAATTTTGATTTTCACATTTAGGCATAGGCCTATAGGCCTAGTTTGTAGTTTATTTTTGCTTTAGAAGCATACTCACCCTCTTTATAGGCTAATCAGAAAGTGCTGCCTTTTTCAGATGTCTATTTTTCGTGAAATTTCCAGATTCGTTTGCACACCTTTGCCGTTTGCGTATCAAAATTTCAACATGAAATTTCACGAAAATTTGACATCTGAAAAAGGCAGCACTTTCTGATTAACCTATATTATAACGCAGTGGCTATTGTTACGGCAGCCGTAACGCATTTCCCATTTTCTATCGTTACGGTAGACTGCAACCTGGCAACTTTTATAAAAAAACATGACAAGAAAATATAAAATTAGAAGGAAAAAAGTGAATTTGAACTTTATGAAATTCGGACTTTATTTCCCTTTTAAAAAAAATCCTCCAAAGCCTCAGGTTAGAAAAGGAAAAAAATTTGAGTGCAAAACTGAGATTCGAACCCGCAACCTCGCGGTGCAAAATCCTACCCTCTATCGGCTGAGCTGGCGCACTGCTCGATAAAACGTGTGGAAACAATAATTATATACCTGCGTGCGTATCAAAAAAATATCGTAGAGGGCGCTAAACAACGAGTGCCGTAACGATAGCCACTTCGATATTATAAAGAGGGTGAGTATGCTTCTAAAGCCAAAAAACCCTACAAACTAAGCCTAAATGTGAAAATCAAAATTTGACAAAGTTCGATTCGATTTCGACATGTTTTTGTACATGGTGAAAGTGTGGCCTTTAATTTACGGAGGTAGGCCTAAGGCTAAGCCCTAGTTCTAGTTGAATTTCCCTAAATTCTACCTACCGTTGCTATCCCCTTTATAAAATTCCTCCTTGCTATCCCATCCCCTATTTTGAAGTAAATTCCCAATTATCTTTAAAAACAAAACAAAAACAATACGCTCACCCATTAAGTCTTGAAAATAGTGAACAGAATTAGCAACGCCAAAGGAGTGAAGGAGTACCAAACACGACCTGACATTGACAACGTCAAATCAGCATTCGTTCGATTTATTTTACCTGCCAAGTTAGGAGTACAATGAAACGACGTTTTTGATTGGTTACGATTTTATGAAACCCTCATATTATTGGTTAATCACCATAACTGATTTCCAGCCGTTTTATATTAATGATTTCTGCAAAAATAAGAATTATTGTTACAAAGTAGGTGAATAGTGAACGTTAACATACATAAAAATGCATATGCTTCTTTATTTTGTTGTGTGTTATAAACATGCTTTGAGCAATATGAAACAATAACAAAACATCTAAAAATGAACACCCGAAAAAAGGCTCAGCAGCCGCTTTTTATTAGTCTTGGTCCAAGACGTTACTATCTGGTGCTTGTTACGCATGAACGTTAACAAATAATTTATCAACAGAGGGCGCAATTTACAGGGCGAGATCTCAGCTCAGCTCAGCAGCCTCGACTCCCGATTCCCTGGCTATATACGCTATCGTGCGCGTTCGTCCCTTCATTTATTCATCAATATACATGTATATTCAGCCTGAAAGTTGACCCCTGGTGGCGCGCTTCGGAATTCCTCGAATAGGAAAATTAGTGTGTAAAAGTCGGAGTTTTTAAACTTACTAGCAATTTATGGAAACTGAAAAATCGCATGACGTGAAAAAAAAAATCGTGCCAAAAATTGGAAAATCTAAAATAATTGAAAAATCTACATGTGGACTAGTGGAAATAGGAACACTCGTACAAAGCTTAAGATGAAAATTTAAGAAATAATTTTGTGCGGTCATTCGGTAAAAAATGAAACTTGAACTCTAAAATGTTTTTGGGACGTGACAGACAATGTTTTTGAATAAACTTGAAGACTAGTGTTCATTTACAAACAAATCTAAAATGACCGTTAATAAGAACTGTATTCAAGCAAGCCCGACTAAATCTGGAATTAGTCGGATGCAGGTAGGCAAATATTCGCGTCGTTATCAGTTTCGTTCTAACGCAAGTACGCGATGTGAAAACAAACGCGATCGAACAAGAAGACCATGTTACAAAAAACCGGACGTGAAAGGTTAGAAGTAAAATTCGTTTTGACCCATCTATGGAGGTTCAAAAGGGGACATCTGCTTTTCTGCTAACAGAATATAAGCAGAAAAGCAGATTGAACGTTTTGTTCAAATGCATTTTTCTACTTTTCTGCTTTTCTGCTACCAGAAGCAGATTGAACGTTTTGCTTAAATGCATTTGTCTACTTTTCTTATTTTCTGCTACCAGAAAAGGAGGTTTTACTTCTTGCCCTTCACTGACGGTTCGAAAAGGGACATCTGCTTTTCTGCTACCAGAAAAGCAGATTGAACGTTTTGTCACGGTGGTTCAAAAGTGGACATCTGCTTATCTACTACAGAAACTGAGCAGATTGAACGTTTCCGAATATAAGCCTCTCCAGTACAATTAGGCCTATACCCACCAAAAAAAGGACGGCTCCAAGTGACTCCGCCTCCGTCCTTACGTCATCACAGCTTTTACCCGAATCTCTGTCCAATCAATATACCATTTTCTAGCGTAGCCAGGCAAGAATGAAAACTTCACACGCTTCACACTGGTGATTGACACCATTCTAGCCTGGGATACGGAACTCGGCAGAAAAAAAGTCGGCTCACACAATGAACCAAATTGGAGGAACATTTCTTTTTCGATTATGCATATGCCGACTGCTGTTTCCAGGGGCGGCGGAACCGCCCCCCCCCCCCGATTTACCCAAGTGCCCCTTTTGCGGACATAAATGTGCCCCCTCGAGCATAAGATGTGCCCCCTCGAGATGAAAAAAAAACATGCCCTAAAAGTTTCTGACAATTTGTTTGAAGTAACCATTTCCCAAAATGGTATAGATAGTTAAGTTTTGACATGAACGACGAGTATGAAAAACCAAGCCCCAAAAGCGTCACAATGTGCCCTAAAAATGGGCAGATAATGCGTAGTTTGCTGCATAATGGCCGGTTTTGAAGAGCGCCCTCTATTTGAAAGATCCCCCCCCCCCCCCATTTGATCTTACGGGGGCCAAGTGTCCGGTTGAAAATACGTGTCGACCTTTTCAGCACGGATGTGCAAAAAAAAAACTTAGCAAGTGATGCCCCCCAGTCGCCGCCGCTGGCTGTTTCTAACACTTCTCTTTGATTAGAAATGCAGAAAACCAATTCCTGGCGAAGGAACACCTTCCACGACCCAAACTCCGAGGGTTGTGGAATGCCTTCCAACGTGAATGTAATATCATGGGGGTGATTACCTTTTGGAATTATTGTGTCGAACATTATAGCAAGAGAAATGGCAACCCCGTGTAAAATGCCCATAGAAGGGTCGCGGAGGAATCTGGAATTTTGTTTTTGCGTACTTTTTTCCATAATAATTTAATCGGGAATGTTGCATTTTCGTTTCTTTTAATGAAATTCTGAAACGTCTTCTTGTTAATTTTTCTCAAACTTTATACATGTAGTTAATGTGCATCTTGACCACCCAACTCCCCAATCTTAAGAAATTACCGCAAATAATAAGAACGCCTACTCGATGCTCATTGATAGCTTCACCCATGGCAGAAGAGCTACCCTTCTACAGACCGCAGCCTCATGTAATTTCCGGACGTGTACGGGTATTATTTGCACGTCGCTTCGTCTATACCATCGTGGTCATTGTATTTTATCGATGGGATTTTCATGCTTGCTCGATGACGAGCTAGCTGTGCGGGCGAAAATATCCCGTCTGCTACAATGATTTCTATTGATGACAATCTTATGAGCAGGTGTTGCGGTCTATCGAAATGTGTCCAGAGGCCTTTTTGGGGGGGGGGGGGGGGGGAGACTTACTGACGTCCACCTATTGTGGTCGTACTGCATACCAAAAGTGCTTCAAAGTTATTCAGCCTCCCATATTACTCCTATAATATACTCCGTTATTGCCAACATAGTCGGAAACAGAGTACAAAATAACTCTTTTCGAGTGAAAATTCACTCCCTGACTGAAACTAGAAGTTTTAGTGTGAAATTCATTCAATCGAATAGATCAATTCAAAAGATGGATATTGAGTCGGGTGATGTAAATTCAGTATAAGATTTTGCCCTAGTATACATACGAAAATCTGGACTACTGTTACCTAACACATCTCCTTAGATATCTCAAAAGAATTCCTGAGATTCTGGTAACACAATGACCAATACAAAGAAGGGGGGGGGGGGGGCTCTCTCCGTCCCGTATCGCGCTACATATGGTGGGGCACGAACCCACGACCTCCCGCTGTCTGGTTCAGACGCTTACCAATCGCATATGGGTCGGTTGGCCGGGTTGGTTAGAATCTGATGTAGCATCGGGTACCGAAACGAACAATTCATAAGATGGAAGTTGCATCATGGTACGGCCGATGTAAATTCAGTTTTGCCCTCCACCGACGCAGATCGAGTTGTCACTCTAGTTTCCATTAGACCGAATAAATCTAAACTTAGAGTGATTTTCACTCAAAAGCATCTAGTCCTTAGTTCCAGCCTGTGGAAATTAGAGAGAATCTGTTTCATGAACTTTGTATCGAGCAAAGGATCGATCGACCAACGGCCGAAGTACGATAGGGCTCGTATACCTATACGAGCCCTATCGGCCTGATTAAATGTCACTGGCAATTTTGTGTTTCCTTATATTAGGGACTACTCTATGTAATAGACCAATAGACCACGGCGAATGCCGTGGTCTATTAGGCCAAAAAAAAAATAAGTCGGTCTCTGGTCAGCGCGCGCGTCGATTTTAATCATGCGCGTCAATCTTTTTTTTCTTCCAAAATGTTCCGCGGTAGCTCCAACAGCGCCCTCTATTGCCGCACCTCCTCAATTTTGTTTACTAAAGAGCACCAAGGAATGGGAAATTGCACCAAGGCAAATGATCGGGAGCACCAAGGCAAATTATGGAGGACACCAATGTACATGAGGACACCAAGTAGCAAAATAGTACCCCACCTTGTCTGTACAATCCAAGCTTGAAGAAAGAAAAAAAAGCCAAAAAAAAAAAAAAAAGCCGCGTCCCCGCGTCAATTCCGGAACTTTGGTCTGACCAGAGACCGAATATTTTTTTTTTTTGGCCTTACACGTGAACAGATTTGCTGATTAATTAGGCAAGACCCCGCCTCTTGACCTCCGAGATTTTGACCAATCAGCGGGCGCTTTATATATCGAGTCTTCGGTCATTCAACCGTTGCGCGTCACATAGACAATGGATAAAAAAGTGTCACGCGCTCTGTATCATGTTACGCGATATGGCGGGGGCTGGTTGTTGTTGTATTACAAAACACTGCATTCGAATTGACCAATCAAACCATTTAGTCCTGATTTGGGAATGAAATGACGTCACGATTTAGTAAAGTCGACTCCGATTGGCTGGCGCGCGGCTTGCATACATTTGCATGTCAGGAGATGTCAGACGTTATACAGGGTTTGGCTCCGTGGATAACGGGTGATACTCAGACTAGGCAGACCGGAGCAACGCCCCGAACCCAACCAACCCAGCCAACCCCGCCCCGCCCCCAGCCCAGACCAACTCCCAGCCCAGTAAGTCCAGCCCAGCCATAGAGCTATATTAAATTATAGCTCTATAGCCTAGCTCAATCCAGCCCAGCCCAGCCCAGCCAAGTCCAGCCCAGCCCAACCTAACCTAACCCTCTAGGAACCAGACGATCTAGAGTGAAAATCATTTCAGATTAAAATACTTCACTTGAGATTCGAGTGAAAACTCAATCAAACTGAGTGAATAAATTTCAATCAAGTATTGAATTTTCACTCGAATACATAAGAGAACCACACCCAACCCAACACAACCCAATCCAACCTAAACCACCCAACCCACCCCACCCCACCACCCCAAGCCAATCCAACCCAACCCTACTCACATGAAGTCAACTCAACCAACCCTACACGACCCGTACCCTACCCCAACCTATCCCAAAACCCACCCTTGCCCAACCCAGCCCGAGGAGATTTCGCGAGGATAGTCACAGGCACCTATAGGGACAATTATTGATGAGCGTATACGTGATACTTGTTATTATTAAATCACCCAGCAGTTTGCATTGTCTTTTCATCATGTTCATGGTTGGTGGGTGGGGGGTCGGGTGAGTTCGATTCTGCATTCAATAGGGGTCGTTGAACAATAGAAGACAATAGGGTCCCCAATTCCCAAAGGGTCCCCCAATTTGGCAATGTGTACAAAACATATGGGAGGTCTTCCTAAAAAGTTTTAAGTACAAACAAAAGAGGGACAGTAGGGGGTCCCCGATTGCAAGCAAATACACACTTGTGTGTTTATTCGAGTACTGAAAATCGAGTTCAGGCCAAATACTCACTGGTACTCGAGTACGAGTACGGGTCCGAGTACTCCAATGGTCGGGCTCGGACTCAGACTCGGACTTCAGTCGGACTTTACTTCGACTTTTGCAGTGTAGTGGCGAGATAAAAGGATTATAAGGATTACTTATTGAGCAAAATAGGTATAAAATGGCTGCCATTTTTAAATCCAAGATGGCCTCCACACAGAAGGTCTACATTCAAATGTTACAATGGAATTCCTGCCTAGGAACTTCAAATCTATCTAAAAGTTCACAAAAATTCAGTCTTTAGTCAAAAAAATATAAAAAAATTGTCTTTTTTTAATAACATCGGGATAGTTGCTAGCACTGGTTACAAATGTAATGATATATAAAATATGATCTGATATATAAAAAAAAATACCACTGAACCGGCAAAAAATGAACCTGCAGAGTTGAGGTAGGCCTATATGTTTTAGCTTTTCACTATAGGTCTTATCCGAGTATTTGCAACTACTGTATCTGTGTTAAACACAAGAATGTCACTTTTATATGGCATTGGTATCGCCGCCTGTGACAGCTCTATTATATTCGTCACAGAAATTCCAGAGGCGTGGTTAGTGCCGCGATGTATGCCTATTATTACTACTGTACGTGATGTACATACGGACATCACGTTTAAATTTGCTTGCAACCAGTGGCGGTGTGTGTAACGAGTCAAACCTTGTGGGTCGAATACATGCTACGACGGCTTGCTTGCTCCCTGCGGTAAATGTGGTAGTTATAGCTACATTGGATATCATGGGTCAGTTTTTATCAGCCAAATTGAATGGGAATACCACTGCAAACAGTGCTGTTGTTTGGCTGTGAACAAGCAGCAAACCACGCCTTTTCTTCAGTGTTAAACTTTGGATCGTTGTTTGTCTTTCACTGGAAACCTGGACCACTGTCAATACAGAAAGCTAACCTGAGCTATCTGTAGCCATGGATGTGCAGGAGTATCAACAAAGGGGTAAGCAAATTCAACTTATGTTGGCCTCGACTGTTGTATCTGTACCTATGGCCTTTTTTTCTATTTTCGTGTGTTCATCATTAATAACATACAATGCGATTCTCGGTAAAATGACATTATGGTTCATAGATAGAACACTTTGTGACGTTATTCATTGAAAAGATAGGTAAGAAACCAGCGGGTGTGTCGTGTGCAGTATGCATGAGCGTTCATAGCCCCATAAATGTGGCTAATTTACTGGACTAGGCTTAGCTTCATAAATGTGGCCAACAGTTTACTGGACTACCTCCGTAAATAAAGGCCACACTTGATGTACAAAAACATGTCAGAAAGTGCTGCCTTTTTCAGATGTCTATTTCTCGTGAAATTTCATGTTGAAATTTTGATACGCAAACGTGTGCAAACAATTCTGGAAATTTCACGAAAAATAGACATCTGAACAAGGCAGCACCTTCTGATTAGCCTATAAAGAGGGTGAGTATGCTTCTAAAGCAAAAATAAACTACAAAGTAAGCCTAAGCCTTTGTTTTTGTACATGTTCCAAGTGTGGCCTTTATTTACGGAGGTAGTCCAGTAAATTGGCCACATTTATGGGGATAGACTAGGCTCCGTAAATATAAAGGCCACACTTGGACCATGTACTCGAACATGTAGAACTTTGTCAAGTTTTTATTTTCACATTCAGACTTTATTTGTAGTTTATTTAATTACGCTTGAGAAGCACACCCTCTTTAAAGCAATAGAAAATTAGTCCCCCCTTTTTCAGACTATGTAATTTCCAGGTTCGTGTGCACACGTTGGTATGGCCTATCTAAATTCCAACACGAAATTCGGAAAAATAAACGTCTGAAAAAGGGGGACTAATTTTCTATCGCTTTAAAGAGGGTGAGTGTGCTTCTCAAGCGTAAATAAACTACAGATAAAGTCTAATGTGAAAATAAAAACTTGACAACGTTCTACATATTCGGGTACATGGTCCAAGTGTGGCCTTTATTTACGGAGGTACCGTAGTCCAGTAAATTGGCCACATTTACGGGGACAGACCGCTCACTGCATAGAGTAACTTATTTTCATGCCTACTTTTCACACTTTTCTGATGTCTTAGAAAGAGGTTGTGTCATGCGGTTTGTTTTCTAGTTTTTTTGGTTCCCTGCAGCCTGTTGGTTGAACGTTTAAATTTTCCTTTGAACATTTCCAAAGATACAACGCCCTGAATCATATCTTACCATTTACAGTGTAATTGGACCAATGGACAAGTGTGACGCCATGCGGCTGATTCTCAAAATCTCTACCAATTTTCCACTCAGTCTATCGTTTTAGAAAATGTATAGGCCTACCTGTTTGGAACCGGTTGGTATTTAGTGAACATCTTGGGTTTAGGTATGGGTACATTGTGCCTGTGTTTAGTTGTTATTCAGCGTAACCAGCAGGCATACCGTAGGTCTATGTGGAAGCCGGGATGGTACAATGGGATATAAAGGGGTGAATAGAATTTCCTTGAGGCAGGGCGTGAACCTGTTGGAAAGATTCCCATATCTGCATGGCCTTAACTAATTTTTCCCTTCAGTGACCTATCAGCCATCAGAAATGGATAATTAGGCATAAAAAAGGTCAAATTTAGTATGGAAAATATTGATATATTTACTGAGAAATTTCCAGACCAGTCTCATACGGTTTGTGCACGGGTTGACAAGTGATTGCCAGATATTGGAATCTTTCCAACCTGTTTTTAAAGGCAAACAAAATCATTTGCTTTTCGTGCATTTTGTTCGTTTCCAAAAATAAAACCATTCAAAATCCAAAAAAATATGTTCAAAACCTAACCAGTTGAAGTGTCAGATCAGCCTTTTCAAGATAACAGTGAAAAACCATGCACAACCTTTTGTTCACGAAACACGATTTCGTCTACTCCAAAAATCAGTCAATTGACTGATCGTTGGAAATCGCATAATAATTTCTCGGGGTGTTTAAGCACCAGTATACGATTCAGGTTTCAGGATTATTTCCATACTATTAATTTGATAAGGCCAGTAAAATACAAGGACAAAACTACAACGGAACTTGAAATTTAATTGTGGGCAGGTCAGACAAGAAGCCGAAGCTTGTACTGTAGGTCTACCCCCTTCACAAAGAATACATCATAGCTATAATACGATCTTTAATCCCAGTTACACTTAGAGTCAATGTCAGATTAAAAAAAAACCGCTAAAAAAAAATAATATCGCTCATATATGTTTCTTGTCTGGAGTATCGTGGTTCAATAAGCATCCAATCACATCCTCACATTGGAATTTTGTATTTGTATTGAGTTTTTCCGTTTATCTCTGCGTAGGCCTAGTGTTCCAAATATATATTCATTCCGCAAATTCTAAATCAACGATGTTACCAGACCGGGAGTTGTGTGTTTTCCAAAACTCTATCCAATCCAAATGACTTAATCTGATGTTGTAATGGAAAAAGTAAAACTGTTTTGTTTTAAGTTTTTTTTTCTAACAATGACGTATTCATATTTCAACAAGGCAACGCATATGACAGCGCCTGACCCACTCTACGTTTGTAACTGGAACATGAACGCAAAGCCATAATTCATATGAATTTGTTGTGTTCACTTAAGCTCAAACCTCTGTGCGGGCCCGTTTCCGGGCGAGAATCCCGGTAAAAAAGGCCCCTTTTTTCGATGTTTCGAGTCATAGTTTGATAACCATGCGGTCTTTTTCAATGGGGGTAAACGGTTCTGTACAATTTAACTCTTTCTCTTTCTCATGGTATATGTTATTTTTTTTATCTTGAAAAAATCCACCGTACTTTCGGCTTTGAAAATGTGAACTTTTCATCATATTCCTGTGTAAACGCACCGATTGAGCGCCCTCGCGTCGACTCTTTTGACTGTAACTCCTGACTAGAGTATCGAATTGTGTGGGGGTAAACGGAATCGAATAGCTTAGCTCCTCCTCTTTCCTTATATGTTAAACTTGTTATGATTGGTTGAAAAAAACCACCGTACTTTTCACAAAGAAAAAAAGTGGCCAATGACAACTTTCGATCGATAAGGCATCGTTGGAGACTTACATCGATGTACCATTGCTTACCACGTGTTTCGTGATCTTGGACTCTGCTCATCACCTGTTTTTCAAGACACGTTTTCTCCAATTCTACTTTAGATAAGACATTTAAAAACTATCCATTTGTAAATCAGTTATCTGGCATTAAACTGTGGTCTTTTTAGGAGTTAATTTCATTTTAAAATAATGTAATTTTGGATCTGAATACTGTTCACTTCAAGGCAGTTATAGAAATTTGTGATGGAAAGTTCGCGCACTTGTTTATTGGGCTGTACCATTTTGTTTGTGGGGAGGATATCTATATGCATATACACGTTAGTGTATACGTCAGATTTCTTGAAGAATTCAAAAAATGAAATAAGATGTTTATATCAAGTTTGACAAAATCGGACAAGAAGTTGTACTATTAGGCATACCTTCACATCGATATGTGCACAAATCCTATATGTACATTGTCATGTATAGGTTTGTTTTAACCATTTTATGAATGGAATGTGCCGGGCCACATTTTAGGGTTGAACGCACAGCCACACAGGGCCAGCGTTAATCCGATTATGTAGCCCTGGACCTCTGTGTGGTACTCTGCGCGCCAGATTTAAACTGTAAAATTAAGTGAACAAAAGTGGGGGTAACAAATTCATATGGGTATTAAGGCACTTCAGTCACGCATAGAAAATCGAACGTTTTGGACTCCTGAATTTCATAATACTCCTCCCTGTACTAGCTTCATTTTCTGCTGATAATAATAAAGAAAAAACAATTACACAGCAAATTCCTCAACAATTTGATCGCTATAATAATTGTCATTCACGCCAAAAATGTGGTAGCATTTTGTTTTTAAATTTCAAAGGCCTCTTAAACTCTCCTGCTTTGTCGATGTACGGCAGAACAGACGCAATGTAGAACAGAACAGTCTCCTGACGATGACTAGAGCAGGCTAGTCGAAACGTTGAGACCAAAGACAAGTTCTTTTAGAACTTAAAGCAGGACTGTTCTTATCAGAACAAAAACTACTTAGCGAACGTTGATAATAAGCAGAACAAGTTCTTTTCAGAACTAAATATCTTCTAAGCAGTATGATGTGCATCGGGTCGGGTTGACCAGGCCAAACCGACCCGAAACATTAGAGATATAAACCGAATCCGAACCGAAACCGATCTTAACTCCCTCAAACCGATCCGACCCGACCCGACAAAAAATAAGGTAAAACCGAACCGACCCGACCCGAAAAAACCCCCGAATACCTTGCTTGGACAAAGTGATCACTTTATGATGGATTCTTTTGCAAAACCTTCGTCTCTCTTTCTGTCATACTAGTGGAGCTGCTAAGCGAAAAATCGTGCACTTTGTGGTAAAAGCATGAAATTTGGCATGTGGGGTCAAAATGGGCTAAAAATCATGTTAAGATCGGGACCCATCCTGGATCTTGCCCATTTTGGAGGCGGAGCTTGATTTTTCAAAAAAGGGGGTGCAAACAATACAAACTCATGAAAACTGTATTTAACATCAAATTTCCTTGCTTTTTTACACTTTGAAATAAACTTAAACATGAATTCTAGCATTCTAACACCTGTTATTTTCCTTCCATTTTGTGGGCGTGGTCTAAATGGTAAAAGAGGCGGTATATATTAGCAGTTTGGTTCTAATATGGAAAACATCATTCAGTTTTGTGGTAAAATTCTGAAAATTGGCATGTCCAATTGAAATGGGCTAAACATAATTTTTAGAGGTGAACGCATCTTGGATCTTGCCCATTTGGCGGACGGAGCTTGATTTTTCAAAAAGGGGAGTGCAAAAAAAAAAGAAAACTCAGAAAACTGTATTTTATTTTACGTCATCGTGACGTCAATTCGGACTTTGCATACTAGTACCATTATCTACCTACCCAAGTTTTTAGAAAAATGTTGTGCAAATACCTATTACCTAACAAACCAAATACAAAAAGAATTTTTAACTTTGCATGTTGCGTTCGTGAGATATGGCTAAACGGTCCAAAAATTCAAATATTCATATAAAATCTCAGGATGTCGTCATCATGACGCCACTTCATTTTTTTTTTACCTATAACACATCCCGGTCTGGCCACATACCAAGTTTCAACCCAATCGGACTAACAGTTCTGTAGATAAAGGACTTCAGAAATATGACAAGTAAATATTTGAAATCTGAAGCATTTACTTCTATTATATTCATACTAGTAAACGCTTATAGTGTAGCCAAACCTAAAAGGTAAAAACTAATTATTTTCAGATTTCAGCAAATGGTTTTTAGTAAAAGTGTTTGCTTAATTTTCATTAATACAGATGCGAGTAAATGCTTTAAAATTGGAAGTCAAAGCAAATGCCATGTTTTATTCATACGAACATGGTATCATTTGTACTCTATGAACTTTGTTAATATTAATTTTTCGCGATTAACATATAATAAATGCTGTAACTTTTTATTCATACGAAACGAAGTATAAACGATAAATATTTTTTTCTGGTAATGAAACCAAGGATTCCTCAAAAGTGCATGCCCCAGGCACTGTAGCTCGCAAACCCCGAAAAAAAAGTATAGAGAAGACAATGAGAAGAAATAACAGTTTTAGAGGTGGGAGGAAAATCCCAGAAGAATAGTCTGGGGAAAACCCACGGAATCGGGTAGGGACTGAAAACCCAATCCACATGTAAACCATGGGTGCCGATGCACAGCGCATTGTGCGCGTAAACGGCATTGCGTTCGTCACGTTTGGCGCTTTTTTTTATCTGTCCTCCAGCACGTGACCCTCCCCAGTGCCGCTTTCCGTTTCGGTTACGATAACTTTATTTTCTGCAAACCTATAAATGGTAAAGCTTACGTTTTACTGTAGCTCGCAAACCCCGACCAAACCGTAGAGAGAAGACAATGAGAAGAAATTACAGTTTTAGAGGTGGGAGGAAAACCCCAGAAGAATATTCTGGGGAAAACCCACGGAATCAGGTAGGGACTGAAAACCCAATCCACATGTAGACCATGGGTGCCGATGCACTGCGCATTGTGCACGTAAACGGCATTGCGTTCGTCACGTGTGATGCGCTTTTTTTTTGTATCTGTCCTCCAGCACGTGACCCTCCCCGGTGCCGCTTTCCGTTTCGGTTACGATAGTTTCTGCAAACTTATAAACGTGTGAAGCTTAACATTTTGCAGGCCATTTACTCAAGAGCAAATGGTTTTTAGTAAAAGCCTTTGCTTAATTTTCATTCATTCAGATGCGAGTAAATGCTTCGAAAGTGGTAGAAAAAGCAAATGCCATGCTTTATTCATACAAACATATGGTATCATTTGTACGCAGAATTATTTTGCTTTATAATTTCAAGGTTGCCCCAACCCAGCCTTGTAAATGACAAGTGCATATTTGAAATCTGAAGCATTTCCTCCTTTTTATTCATACGAAACGAAGTGAACGATTATTGGCCAAAAAAGACTCTGGTTTCTGGTATGCGCGCGTTGCCATAGCCATGCGCGACGGCAATGTAAGATGATGTCTTTCAACATAAGATAATGTCTCAAACCACCAAACTCACTGGTTCGACTGGAATCCTGCTGCTGCACAATTTTTACGTGTTATTTCTTATAAAGTTATTTCTCATGTCTAAGTTTATTTCAAGCATGAAGAACAAAGGAAAATGGATGTAAAATACAGTTTTTCTGAGTTTTTTATTTTTTGCACTCCCCTTTTTGAAAAATCAAGCTCCGCCCCCCAAATGTGCAAGATCCAAGATGTGTTCACCTCTTAAAATTATGTTTAGCCCATTTCAATTGGACATGCCAATTTTCAGAATTTTACCACCAAACTGAATGATGTTTTCCATTTAGAACCAAATTGCTAATATATACCGCCTCTTTTGTACATTTAGGCCACGCCCACAAAATGGGTGGAAATTAACTGGTGTTAGAATGCTAGAATGTTATATTTTATGTTTAAGTTTATTTCAAACCATAGAAAAACAAGGAAAATGGATGTTAAATACAGTTTTCATGAGTTTGTATTGTTTGCACCCCCTTTAAAAAAAATCAAGCTCCGCCCCCAAAATGGGCAAGATCCAGGATGGGTCCTGATCTTAAAATGATTTCTAGCCCATTTTGACCCCACCTGCCAAATTTCATGCTTTTACCACAAAGTGCACGATTTGGGCCAAAAATGGACCTAAGCAGCTCCACTATACTCAGTGGGTTGATCGAGAGTAACTCCGCTTATTGAACAAACGCATTGTATCATCACGCGGTATCATGAAAACTGTTACAATGTATCTATTTCACTGTCAGTGCAATCCGACTGGCGAAATTAATACCGTGGGAACTTGATAGCGCGCTCGGTGGCCACATCACACTAGGGCTGCGGTCACAGTGACTGTCAATAATATTGCATCACCTAAATTTCTCAACTGTTTCGGTTTATTTCGGTTTATTTTGGTTTATTTCGGTTTTTTCAATAGATGGCTGAACCGACCCGACCCGACCTGAGAATGAAAATGCAAAACCGAAACCGACCCGACCCGACTTAAAAGATAGACAAACCGACCCGACCCGACCCGAAGTCGGTTTCGAGTCGGTTTCGGTTTCGGGTCGGGTTTGCACATCATTACGGCGCTAACCGAAACGATACCGATACTCCACCGTGCAAAGCCTCAAATCTTATAACAGACACAATATAATTAGGCTTGTATATATTTCTCACTTTTGAAGCTTCCAAGTACCAAAGTACCGAAAAATGACCGAGTAGTATATGGGTAATTGTTATTGAACCTTAGTATATGGGTTATTGTTATTGAACCTCAATATTTCTCGATACAGTGTACCAAAAACTAAGGCTATAGGATCTGCCATAATTATAAACATCGAAGATGCGTGCAGGGATGATATACTCGTGAATGGGGGCATTGCGGTGGAAACTATATCCAATGTACTTGACATTCTAGTGCGTATAGCTACAGTTTGGGTGGCCACTTGGATATGATAAAATCCTCGGTTTTCGTTGTTTCCATGTCAAAATATTACTTTAATATATCAATTTTTCAGGTAAAGAAGTTGTGGATTTCATTGTGGAGTATTTAACCACCATAAGGACACGACGTACATTCCCCGATGTCCAACCAGGCTACATGAAGAGTCTAGTACCAGATGAGGCACCAGAGGAAGGTGAAAAGTGGGAGGATATTTTCAAAGACGTGGAGCGAGTTATCCTCCCGGGGGTGAGTTTGTACTCATATAATAAACGTTTCTGTAACATTCACATAATTTGTTTTCGAGACATGGAGTTTTTACTTGTGTTTATTCTTTGTTTAATGAACTGAAATATTAACTAGTTTTAATTTCCAGGCTTTTCTTTTAATTTTTTTGTTGATGTAAGCATTGTATTACCTTGGAGTTGTGATGTTAAGTAATTATGATTGGCATCTGAGTCGCACTATAATAATAATATCGAAGTCTTTTATAGCGCACGTATCTACCAACAATTAGGTACTCAGGGCGCTGGTTAATATGTCTATTATTAAAGACAGGTAAATGAAGTTTATGAGAAATGAGATGTTGTCTGCAAGTTTTACGTTTTTGAGTGCTTACCATTAAACGTCTTAAATACGTTTTATTAAAATCACTAAAAAAGTTGGGCAAATAGTTTGATAGTTTGTCGAGTGTTGGTGAACATATCAAAGACCAACAGTTTTTGGCAAATGGCGTCCCCTAATTTGGTCAATAATACAAATTACCCCACATTTGAGGTATTTCAGGCTAATATTGGGCAAATAACAATACCGAACGGTGTTTTACCGAAATTGTTTTTAAAGTGAGGGCTGGATCTTACACAGCGAGTACAAAAAATTGCGTCTATTTGTTTTTGTTTAAATATATTACAAAGTAAAAAGAAAAACTCCCGGACGCCATTACTATCACTTAAAATATCGTTTGGCTAAAAAAGAAAAGAAAAGAAAGACATTCTAGTGACATATTAAAAGCATTATGGGTGCCAGCGATGGAAGGTGTGGGAAAATGTTCAGTTGCTAAGAAAATTTCGACCAAGTTGTGGGGACTTCCGTCTGTCCCCACAACGTCTTTGGTCCCCACAATAACTATCATTCATTAGGTATATGATTCCCACAACTATACTGAACAGGTCTGGGCTTGTATATGCGTTTGTTTGGGGGAATTAAAGTTAGAATATTCCGCAGTAGATGTAATACTCTCTTCTACGGTGGCTTACAACAGTCACGACAAAAACAAATTCTTCGCGGCAAAAGCAAATTCTCCGCGGCAAAAACAAATTCCCCACGGCAAAAGCAAATTCTTGGCGGCAAAAGCAAAATTCCCCACGGCAAAACAAAATTCGCCGCGGCAAAACAAAATTCGCCGCGGCAAAAGCAAATTCACCACGGCAAAAGCAAATTCGGCGCGGTTTGAAAAGCAAATGACTGGGGGCCAGTCTATGATTCAGCACGTGCGCAGATTTCTGCGATGTCGCACATTAATTTATCGCATATTTCTGCGCCGATTGTGTGGCATTTCTTTGCCTTAAGCCCGGTTCATACTCGGCGCGAAAGCGAAAGCGAACGCGAATTTGTGACGTCGTGGCAAGTATTCGCGCTGCGAATTCGTAAAAGTTGAATATATTTCAACTCGGGCGAATTTCGCAGCGAATGCTTCATGACGTCAAATTCGTTTCGCATTCGCATTAGAGTGAAGTATGAACCGGGCTTTAACCATGCAGGTATAATCTACCTCCATGCTTTAACACGCTCTTATTTACGGAAGCGTAGAAGGGCCAAAAGAAATTAAGAAAAAATTAGCTCCTCGAGTTACTATCTCGCCGCGGCGAGTTACTATCTCGCCGCGGCGAGTAACTATCTCGCCGCGGCGAGTTACTATCTCGCCGCGGCAAGTTACTATCTCGCTCAATGACTTTCTATCTCGCCGCGGCGACTTACTATCTTGCATCGGCAAGCGTCAGGCACGACGAATAGCGATACTCCTTGGGTTCTATGGAACGCCAAAGAGGCATTTAATGTGATCAACGAATCGGCGATGCACTTTATCGATAGGCAGTGGGGTTTTGCAATCGATGATTGACTGTCACAATCGGTGAAGGATTTTTGCGAGTGGTGATGGATTTTTGCGATCTTTGATCAACATTGGCAAAACTAACACCCTAATCACCCATACAGGGCTGGATTCTATAATAACTCCTCTAGTACGTCCGATAAATGAATTGTAATAATAAAGTTGTCCTTTCTTGTTTGTTAAGAATAAATTAAGAAAGAAAACGAAGTTCAGTGGGCGGCAACAGGTGATTTATCCACTTGCAATGCCAGGTCCATTAGCGTACGGGATGAGGATGACCCAGCCAACTATTCAATATTATAATTGCATCTCTCAGAGGGCAGAAAAGTAATTACTGTAATGTTCGGCCTTGCGATTGTTACGACCGATTTTGAATGAAACAAGCTCAAATTACCGTTACACAGACATTTTGATGTTCGCGGGCTAAAATCTTTTAACATCAATTTCTCCCGTTTCGAAGGCCGTATCTCAGAGACACTTTTGGAGTTTCTTTCCCTATCATGATCCTACTATTCAGTGTTTTTCATTACAATAGAAAAATAGGCTTTGAGTTCGTCATTTTTCAATATTTTTAAGCGTCACGAATATTAATAAGGTTCTATCCATATGGAATGCAGTTACAAAGTTTACGACTCCCTCCTTCACGAGTTCTCTACCAATACAATATTAAATTTTTTTGGTTGGTTTACATTGGTCTATACAGAGGCCCACGCGAAGTCACGCAGAGTCACGCTAATTAATATGCTAATAATGCGCATGTCATATACACGTCAACGTAGCGGCAAAATCGGCCACTGACCATGTTTTTTTGCTCGGCAAAATCCGAGCTGGACCTCGGTGATAGGAGATGTAACACAAGCGTCTGCAACATATTAAGCTTAAATTCGGAATATTATAAGTGTTCAACTACTCGTAAAATAACAACTTGTGAGGATTCCTAAAAAAAAAAAAGATTGGGGAATTACCTTATTTCAACACCGATTTCAAAAGTCTATCACGCCCCGCCCCATAAAAAGTTCGCACGCCCAGTCGCCCCCCCCCCCCACTGAAAATTTGGCATCCGTAGAAAAACACCTCAATATGAGTTACCATGGCTACCTGGAAGAATATAGGCCTAGGTCAATTTTTTTCCAGCGATTTTCTGCGGTTTTTTTTTCGCGAGTGGCTGTTTATTACGGTCCCTTGGAAATTGAATAGTGGTAGTTAGTTATCCCGCGAGCGCGAGTGGAACACTGATTAATGTAGTGCATCTATAGTGGCCCGGCCGAGTGGTATGTGGGACACTAGACTAGGGCGGGTATTGGGCGGATATCCGGTGAAGGAACCCTGTCTCACGGCCTTTCAGCTCGGATGAAATTTTGGGGCGCCCCTCCATTGTAACCTCAAGCCCCCCCCCCCTCCAAGTCCCCTAGGATGAAAACCCTGGCTACGCCGATGCCTCTTTGGCGTTCCATAGGACCCCATATAGTTGTGCCCGACGCTCACCTATACAAAATAGTAATTTGCCGCGGCGACATAGTAACTCGCCGCGGCGAGATAGTAACTCGCCGCGGCGAGATAGTAATTCGCCGCGGCGAGATAGGAGCTATTTTTTTCTTAATTTCTTTTGGCCCTTCTACGCTTCCGTACTTATTTATTTGTACCTGGATATTTTTTTTTACTAAGCTACGGGGTCTGACACAATGGTCATGTTTGGTTTCCAGCCTTCATGTCATTACTACATGCATATAGGAGAGTAGTCGGGTACCGAAGGATTTTTCGCGCGTTTGGGATCCACTGATCTCTTTTACATGACAGTTGAGGGATCAAAAGTTTCACTGTCACTCACTGACTGTCTGTACCGTATTTAACGTTCTGTTTTAATATACTGAAGTCGCCAAAGACACGAGTGCAAGTTCGCTCGTACCCCCGCCCTGCAAACAGGACGCTGGGATACTCTGATTTCGCTCGTACCCCCGCCCTGCAAAACATCTTAAATAAGGAGTAGTTTTGCTTACAGTTTTATGAATATTTCCGTTTTAGATGTCATGTGAAAACCCAACACAATGGTACACCTGGAAAATTCGCGATTACAAGCCAACGGGTATTAAAGAGGTTGTGGAATGCTCGAAGACATTTCCGTCATTTTTTCGGGTATATGTAGCCTAAGGTGTGATGAAATAAAAACGACTATTGTGTCTGTCATGAAATGAGTACAAAAGGTACTTTTGAGAGCTGTTTTCAGGTCCTGTTTCGACCCGAACGTGCAATTTGTGTAAATTCGTCGTTGGGGGCAGCAAACAAAACATAGTAAATCGTGACGTAATAAACAGGACTCGTTTATACTAAGCTGCATCGGGAGTCCTGTTTATTACGTCACGATTTACTGTGTTTTGTTTGCTGCCCCAACGACGACTTTTACACAAATTGCACGTTCGGGTCGAAACAGGACCTGCATGAAAAACAGCTCTCAAAAGTACCTTTGTACCCATTTCATGACAGACACAATAGTTGTTGTTATTTCATCACACCTTAGGCTACTTATACTCGAAAAATGACGGAAATGTCTTCGAGCATTCCACAACCTCTTTAAGGCAAGTCCACTGAGTGCATTTTGTACTAGAGCTCAGAACAGTCGTTTATCCTGGTGTCTAGGATCCGTGGCTAAACCCACACTTCTCTACGGTCTTCTTATAAGTTTATAAGTCTCAATACGATGCGGTACCCAACGAGGTTATTCGTGGCACTTCTTGTCCCATGCAATGTAATTTTTTTGTATTGCAATCCTTGACAATGCGCCTTTGTGTCCATAGGGCCTAACCTGATTTTCAATTTTCGGTTTGCCATTTTCAAGGATATTTTGGTGCCTCATTATGGTTTTATGCTGATACAAATTTCCATCTTCTTAAGCAAAATTGTGATGTCATTCCCGGGGCATAAACCTCAATGTTACAGCTATTTCAGAACACGAAGTTGCTAGAATTTTGAATATTTTGCAGTCGTAAATTTTCTTTGCTTTGGTGATTCGTTGTTGTATCAATATATCGCAGTAAGCCAATGAGCAAACCTTTCTCACAAACGTTTTCAATGAGCAAATTTTGGGTTCACAATTTGAACAGAAAACCCCCAAACTGAACGGTGTCTTCCTAATGATAAGAAGGGATGTCAAATAGTTTTCATATACTTAAGAGGAGTAGACAGATGCACAACATGACATGTGTTCCTAAGAAAAGTCATCACATGACCCCTTAATTTAAGCATCTCCCGTATTATATTTATTTGGACACTGAAAGACTTGGCACTCCTGTAGTGCAGTGATTTGCATTACATGTACTTTGCTTTTGGCACTGTAATTACGCGGAAATTTCGAGAACATGGGCTTCACTAATGAATTTCACACAATGTCATTTGTGTGTATGCGGTACAAGACATTTTGCGTGAAACTGATTAAACGGAGGCATCTGGACAGATGTTTCACACCTCCACAGAGTAGGCTTTTCTGTCGATTTCAGTTTAATTAACCGTCTTACAATATAAGCGCAGATAATGTGTAGGCAGATAATATGGAGTAGGGGAACAGGGCTATTTATCATACAAGGCTTAAAGTTGATATATGCGTGCTTTCAAAATTTCGATTTTCTTTTCCGAACGACATTATAACGAAAGTAATGTCCTATAACAAATAATTTTGCTGCTTTATTTTTGCAGGCCTGTCTATAGTTTTAAAAATTGGTTTTAAATGGCCTGTTCCAAGCAGTTCAGAAATTGCGCACACTCAATATTCAGAACGAAAAAGGAGCGTCCCGCTCTTAATTCAAAGGTTGAAATAAATTATTTGATTACTTGTCATGAGCAGATTTTTTTCGTGCGATATCTTATTGGAAAGCTCATAACTAATGTAATGCTAGAAAATTATCAATTCAATTTGAAAATCGATTTTTCAAGGTCCCACACCCAAACAGCACGAACACACCAACTTTAAAATAGAGACAAGAAAACACCAAATTCTGTCAATTGAATCCAAGCCACTGAGTCGCCGTGCTACGCAGTATAATTAAAGAATTACACAATAAATAACTCTTGTTTTCCCCCAGGTAACCCATTGGCAAAGCCCTCACATGCATGCTTACTTCCCTGCATTGAATAGTTTCCCTTCCTTGCTTGGAGATATGGTGGCAGATGCAATCAGTTGTTTGGGCTTCACCTGGGTAAGTGTGGATTGATACTGTCATTGGTTCGCGTCAGCCGTTGTGTAGATAATCTTAAAGCCTTTGATGCTTCCCACGGATGAACGTGCTATTTTTTAAATTAAATTTATAACAAGACGATATACGTATCAGAGCACTTTAAACTCCAATTACAAGAATTACTCTGGGTCCCATATCGTCAGCGACACCACGAAGTAACACCAAGTGGACTTGAGTTCGCGTTACGCGCGCCTTTCACAGAACCGAGTGATTTTCATTTTCAAGAAGTAATACTCATGTAGGCCTACACACTGTGCGCTGAATCGGTCATTTCGTTTTCATGGAGTACCGGTAACACTCATCTTTATTTCACCGGTTTGAAAGCTTTATAATACAATTTTCTGTAATCCTACAAAAATACGGATTAATCACATTTCTGTCAAACGTTTAAAACGTTTTTATCCAAATCGTATTTTCGTAACAGTGTTGTAACTTTGTGAAAACGAAAATCGTTCGCGCCAGTGTCCGATGTGCGCGCGCACACTTCAGGGGTACTTCGTGAAATCAACATTTGTCATTTAGCAGTTTTCATGAAGAAACTCTGGAGTGGACTTGGGTGTTTAATATAGGGTTCCCGGCCAATTTCCTAAAATGTTCATTCACTTATAAAAACAAGTCTTTCATTTTTGTCTGAATATGAATGCACTTCTTTAATCCTTTTTCAATTCAACGAAAGTTAAATCGTTTTCATTGTCCGTGCATTCGGTTTTGAGAAACAGACGGCCAATTCCGTTACCTGTGCATTCATTTACGCAAACACACCTTTTCGCGCAGAGTTCTGGAATACAATTTCGTGAATGTGCAATCAGAAGTACATTTTTGTCATTCAAAATAGCAGATCGCATCACATAACATTAAACTAAAATTGAAATAGAATGGCCAATGTTTGAAATCGCCCTCTAAAAGCGAAAAGGAAGTCTTGTAAACGAATCTGAATGAGCATAAACGAAAGGTGCTGCTCAATCACTTAATTGATTGAACTGAAATGTAATCGAATGCTCTGGTAGCGAAAATGAAACGCGTGTTCAGAGCGATTCTCAAATTCAGACGAAAATGAATGACCGATTTTCAGAAGTGAATGAACGTTTTAGGAAATTGGCCGGGAAAACATATACTTCGTGGTTACGGTGACTATATAATAATGGTTCCATTTATTTAAAACAACAAATGGTTATTTGAAATTTGTAAGGCAAAGAAAATTACGAACCAGCGGTTTTGTTTGGTTTTGCTCGTTTTCATCATTGCATATATTTGTACTTTCCACATAGGCATCGAGTCCAGCATGTACTGAACTGGAAATCATTGTGATGGACTGGCTCGGTAAGGTTATACAACGTAATGCAGCTTATACTTTACTAAAAAAAAGACCTTTAATACATGCACTGTAAATCCTGCCCGTATTAATATGCAAAGCTTAACATTTAAAATTCTCTTCGTTAAATCGTTCTCGTCACAATTGTCGTCATTTTCTTCTCTCATTTTCATCTTTTAAAAGGCCGTGAAGAGGCAGCAGCGTAACTAGGTCTTAAAAAAAATCATTGCTTATAACATGTTCTTTGGCTTTTTTTATTTTAATGAATTCTATTTTCACAATTATGTCATTTCCTCAATGTATTTTTAAAATACTTTTTCATCTTATGTTTTTTAATGATGGCCCATTGAAAATCATCCTCGACGTGACCTGGAATAACGTCAATAAATAAAGTTGGTATTGTTACAAGGTCAAACTTCTGGGGGAATGGGGGAGGGGCACTAAAGGCAAATGAGATACCATTTCAACGTTTCAGTATATGTGTATATATTTTTCAATTCAAGTTTTCAAATGGAGACACATACGTTCGCTGGAGGTAGCGTGAAGCGTGCATAATGCACACTATTGTCCAAAGCAATTGCCCCGTGACGGATTATCTGAACAATGGCTAGCATAGTGCTTTCGCCATTGAAGGGGGCCTTCATGATAGAATTGACGTGCCCGGGTTGATCTTGAAATCAAAGCTTTGGGCTTTGTACAAGACTTGGATTCAAGTCCGTAACTGTCCGTCGCGCATCATCGGCATAATGTACCGCCCTCTGGCATTGATAGACCTAATGCGTTAAGGCGGAGTCCAATGGCAATGGTATTGCATCGCTGGGTTAGGTATGGGTGTATATGGAGATATCTGGCAAACATTTAAGAGGGACGCTATGTTTACCTTGGAGGAATTGAAAGAAAAAGAAACAGGTTTAGTGAGTCACTTGAAATGTCACAGCTTTACCTGACGTGGTTACGCAATACTAACCTGTTTTGTTGACTTTGCTCTACAGGTGCAATGATTGGTCTTCCAGCAAGTTTCATGCATCGGAATGAAAATGGCAAGGGAGGTGGCGTTCTCCAGGTCAGTTGTTAAATTTATGCAAGACTAGAGTTTTAAATTGGGAAAACAGGCCTCTACAGATAACACAATAAAAGGGAGAAAAATCCAACCGCAAAATCTTATAAAATTGTTATAACTTATTTTGCTATTAAATTCTCCCATTCGGAGTCTATTTTGATAATTCCGATGGGCATTCTTCTTACGTTAAATTTTCTTCTTTAATTATTGTGGCGCAACTGAAACGATTTCTATACGTCTCGTTGTTGAATGAGTAATGTTTTATTCTCTATATAGTCAGGGGGCTTATGGTCTATATAGGAAAATATCATCCCCATGTGGGTATTCGGATACGTGCTTTGAAAACTAATTAAATAAACACTAGAGGACACAAATCAACCCGATGCCATTTTCCGATTCCAGAAGAATGTTTTGGGGAGTTTGATTTGAATGTCTAATTATATTACCTTTTTCACAGGCGGGGAGTTTGTTTTAAAAAGCTAGAGGAATATGTCCAAAGAAAGAGTCTAAAAATGAGAAATGTTGCAATGAAATGAAAAATGGCGTAAGGAAAATAGCGTCAAGTGGTTTTGAACTTGTTGAGGTATACCAATATAGGTGATCCTGAGTTTCAAAAATTGTGTAGGTTACCATATTGGCCCGACTGACCACTAACCACTGAAGGTAATTTTTGTTCTCGGTCAACATACTGAAATTGGTCATTGAGGTATATCAGAATGATTTAATAAAAAAAAATCATGTTCAATAGATCAAGTCAGTGGCGGAAGCAAAGACTTCATAAGATGCATGGATGAGGCGTTGCATTATGGTTAAGTACATAAAAAAAGAACTGAAGCAACGGCAAATTAAGATTGGCAAAATTGAGTGATGACTTTTTAATAATATTTGTAATACATGTTTTTGTAATGCTTTTTGATTTACATTTACTTTCTCTGCAGTTTGGTAATTGTATACGTAGATAAACGGCGCCGGAAAATGTCACAGATCTGAACAAATAGTCTTTTTAAATTTTTTTGTACAAGTTTTTAGAAAACGTTCTTGTCAGAGGCGCGACCCTGTAGCGCAATATACGGTATAGTACCTTCGAGTAAAACATAATTTATTCGCTAAGCATTTATAAATTTGAAAATGTTTTTCAAAATTTGAAATATCACGGATGTGTTGGTCAAAATCGAAAGTTCGAACAAAGATTATGTCCTTCACTAGAGGCGGCCAATACGAGTTGATAATAACCACAGCGCCCTCTGCTGTTCCCACGTGGAGTCATAATTTATTTCGAGATCAAGATCTCTTCGTTGCGTTTTTCAAAGAATGTTTTGAAAGAAAGAAAAAAAATATCTTCATGATGATAAAAAAGCCAGAATTACGTCACTCGGCTAAAGGCGTATTACCATAGCCCAACAATTCCCTCAGAGGTGTTCATGCACTTAGCGTTGTTCCACATAACGGAAATAACAACAGCCAACGGTAGGCCCTCCGATCGTGCCGAAATAATCAACTCATCACGCTTAATATCCCGTCTTGCACCTGGTCCTCCTTCCTGCTTAATCGAATGGAAATAACATTTCATTCAACATAATCTTGTTTTGTACGGACACTCCTGCCTTCCTTTCTGTCTACGTAGACTACGCCTTCGCTGCCGCGCCACCCAACACAGTGCTCAAGGTGTCGACGTAATACCACAAGGCTAGTTTACAATCGCCCTTTTTAAAGCGATGATTAACTGCCATCTAAAAATACGCACTGATCAATAAGCTTGTCAAGTTGTGGAAATGAAACTGTTTGAGTGATATCTGGCAATCAGACGGCATGCTGCAAAGTATCTATCCTTCATGGACAACTGGAAATTGGCAGGTGCATATGTAGCTGCAGGAAATAAGAAAATAAATCAATGGACACGTTTGTATGATGTAATTTTGACGGTAAACATGTTAAAGATGCATTCCCGTGCTATTTTCGAGTTTCATCCCAAAATACATTCCTTTTCCTAGTAATACAAAACTTTAAAAATTCACTTTTTCGCGCCATTTTCATTAATTGAATTATTACTTTATTTCGAATTATATAGGCTGCCAGACAATAACTCTGTCCTTGGGGTAGGATGGTTCCCGCCCCACAATCAGTAATGATAATGTACAGACCGGAAGCCAGTCTGCTCGCAAAGTGGATCTGTTTGTTCCCAAAACAAAAAGGACAAAAAAACCAAAAAATGTTTTGTTTGGAATACAACATACAAGTAGAAAATGTATTAATAGAAAAAAGTGTCGAATTTGTTGAAGAGAACGCTGAACTGACGGAACTAAGTCTAGCTCTTGCGTATGCTTAAAAAATATAAGATATAGTTCAAAGAAATGTTTTGTTATTCTCTTTAACATGCGTCTTTGTGACGCGGATTCGATTCGACAACTTGTTTGAATACAGCAGGTAGTGGCATTCAGTATGGCGTCATTACGAATGCAGCAGGCCAGCCTCGACTCCAGGGGCGCGTGCTCGTTCCTTACACTAACCCCTGGCTGTGATGATGACGTAAATGACACTGAATGGCTATTCACAGCGTACTGCGCGGGCATTTCGAAGATTACACGCCGGGCGCGCCCATAATGCGCTCGCGCTCGCGTGCTTAGCTTTGCACGTAACGTCACGTACGAAAAAAAATGATTCAAAAGTCGCGAAGCCTGTACGATATGGATTATGTCAGCCACGTTTTTTGCAAAAAAAAACCCCTGTATCTGTGGTTGTAAAGGCACGTACATTTAATACAAATCTTTGCTACTTAACACAACGTTCTTCAAAATCACAACTTTTAACATTTTAAAGATGGCGTCGGCACGTAAAACGGATAAACTGCAGCCCTAATTATAATGTACCGTATTTTGGTATATTTGAATTACACAATTCCAGGGGTTACGATCGCGCAAGGCATGATGGGAAACAACATGACACTGCAAGATCGTACCCATGGGGCACGAGGTTGGCAGCAGGCCTAGAGCCTGAAAGTCCACCTCAGGTAGCGCGCTTCCGGAACCCTTAAATAGCAAAATTAAAAAGGCCTTTGTAAAATTGTTACAAATTGCATCTCAATTTAATATGGAAACTGAAAAAAATTGCCTCACGTGAAAGTGAAATCTCGTGGCAAAAATGTACCTCTCACTTCCAAAAACCTATAGACCTAATATACATATGGACTAGTGGAACTCGGTGTACTGGTACAAAGATGAACATTAATGAAATAATTTTGTGGTGGTGATAGGCATGTTATGAGGGGGGCATCAAGGGTGAATGGAAAGTTATAGGCTCTGATGGGAAGTTATAGGCTCTCTGCATGATTGTTTAATTAAAGCTATAGTCCATCATTTGCAGCCATCCGAAAAGTAACTGGCGTAATTATTGTTGAAAAACAAACTTGGTTGAAAGATAGTAAGGGAACTAAACTCCCTGTGAAATTATTCTTTCTGGGAAGCTGTCATTTTGAAGTAATCAACGAAAGAAGGCATTTCCAACGGTGATTCTTAAGAAGCACCGTAGGAAAATTTAAATTAGTAGTTCGTTTGTTATTCAGCGCAGCGCGCACAAGTATTGAAACGACGCACACGCGCGCGCGGTTGTTATAATTCGTCGGATCAGTGCGCTACGTCGCGTATAGCTGCAATTCAAAACAATTCAAAACATGATTCAGTAACTTTTGATTTGAAATTGAGATCTTAGAATGCTGTTTTTCTCGGAATGTACAGCTGAAACTTAGCTGAAACTTCATCAGGTTAGTTGTTCAGTATCCTTCATTAGATTTTGAACTCTTTTGTTGCTTCAAACGAACAAAATGCACAAATTACAAATGATGGACTATAGCTTTAACTTCTTAAAAAGTTTTCCGGTGTAGAAAGCTAAGGATTTTTTTTCCTCTTTTTTAGCCATATCAAAAATCCTGACGTATTCTTTCATCTTCCTCTATCACAGGGCACATTGAGTGAAGCAACCTTAGTTGCAATGTTTGCTGCCCGCTATCGTGCTATTCGCAGGGAGAGAGAACGAGGGAACCTATCTGATGACGTCAGTGATGGTGCTATCTGTTCCCGCCTCGTTGTCTATTGTTCAGATCAGGCATGTATCAATCCCTTTGTTAACAGGTCACTTTGAATTAATATCTCACGTAACACGATGTTTATAAATCGGTGCTATTTTTTCACCGACTACGAAACCTACTCTAGATTTGATGAGCTGACCCTGATATTAATGCCAATGTGCGGTGATAGGTTTTCCCGGCCAATTTCACCAAGTTTTCATTAAATTTAACCCCTGGCTCATTCAATTTAGATTGAAATTGAAAGATCTGAGATCACGCAGATCGTCATTCGACAATAAAAAAGAATCATTAAATTTCACTTTCCGAACAATCTATCGTCTTTTAGCTTCGCTTGTCCCTGTAAAAGCTGCATTCAAATTAAAAGTGTCGAATTTTCATTTAATTTCGTCTGAAACAGCAGTAAGGGGTTGATCGGGGCATTCATTTTCATTAATGGGCAAACATAATTCCACATTATTTTGTTCAAGCATCTTTTAAGAAATTCCTGCAAGTGGTTCGTGCCATCTTCAGATAGAGGGCACTGTTAAAAGGGAATAATCATGAACATTTTCGCTCTTCATCCCTGCAAATTTCCCGAAGGACGAACGATTTTTCCGACCGGCCGATTTAGCCATCACGATTTTGCTCCTATATGCAGCGTCCCGATTACGCTTTTACAAAGTCTAGCCCGTTGCAATCTGCCACTGTGCACTCCCCAACCCCTGATTACGCCAGTCTCTTGCACGTTAAGAGATCGATGGTGAATCAGCGATAAATAAAAAAAAAAGCAATTACAAAACAGAACGAAAAAGAACAGTAAACAAAGTTACAAGATTTGTTGAAATTTTTAAACAAGTATAGAAAAGATCAACAGTGAAAAAAAGAAATTCCTTATTCCTTTTCGTTTCATTACTTCGTTACATCATCCCTCATAGGCCTATCAGTTAACTTGCTACATTATAAATCTTACAGACACAGAGATTTTGGTAAAATAGACCTCAGAAGAAAATAGCAAGAATATCAATTAAAACATCTTATTAATTTTGAATGACCAAACGATGAAAATAACTGCCCATAAACGAGTAAGAATAGAAAAACGTGGTCATACGTCATATGCCCAGCGACGTTCGCTAATTTGAATGCGTCAACCGTCAAAAGATGTCAAAAACTTAAAGTAAGAATGCTGCAAATTAAGTCTTGAGTGCACCGAAACGAAATTGAATGCCCCAACAATGAAAAAGAAACCCAAATTTGATCCGATTTCAAAACCACGCGAAATGGAATGACCAATACTGAAAATGATCAGAAAAATTCGAAAATTGGCCAGGAAAACCTATACTAACAAATATTATATATTGACTCAGACTGTCCCAACGTCTAGTGTAGCGAACAGTACATTGACACCAGAAGATTGTCACTACACTGCGTGATACATGTATATACACGGCCTTTAACACTCCCGTAAGCGGGTGGGACCACACCCATAATAGACGTGGGAGTGGTCTTAGTTGACTGACCTTTAAAAGTGAACGCAGTTTACAAAAATTGCTCACTAAAGGTTAAATGTTGTTGGGCTGACCTGTTTACACAGGGTGTCCTCGAAACCAAACCCTCAAGGCGCCCTCTTTTTCACAGCTTCTTAAAAAAAATACGTCGCAAATGTTGATGCATACATGTTTTTGACACATTTAGTTCATTAGCTTTTCAAAAACGAAAAAACAACAACCAATTCTTTCTAATCGAGAGAACACATGTATAGTTATTGAGTTATGGTCATTTAAAAAAAACCAGGTGCCCTGAATGTAGACCAAACACTATAACCTGGAACTAAGTGTTGCGAAACACTCACTTGTTTATCTTATGAAGTCCATCATGTCCATGAACCTCTATAAATACAGAGTTCGGGGTCTGGATACACCACTCTGGTTCAGGGTTACGGCTGTACAGTTAGGTCCGGCTACATTTACGTATCGGGTTACATTTACCTTCAACACAAAATGTTGCATTCTTGCATGCAGGTAGATTTTGAAAGGCCACAATACCTTGTTATTCTACCTATATTTTTTTCAAAGGACAAATCTGCGATGTCCATGGCCAAATATCTGTCTTAGGACATACTCTGACATTTGTGTGCCAAGTGCTATGCTTGTATCATCAAAGAAACAATCCTCGCACCTATCTGCCGTACTATATTTACTGAAATATTTCAAACTGCCTGGTCAGATTTTGACGGTAACGTGTCTTTATTTGTCTTTATACACACAGGCCCATTCTTCCATCGAAAAAAACGCTCTGATTGCACTTGTCAAACTAAGACGTCTCCAATCTGATGAGCGTTACAGTATGCGGGGGAACGCTCTGAGGAAGGCTATTGATGAAGATGAGAAAAATGGTCTCATTCCATTCTTTGTAAGTAAAATGCGTTCTAAAGAAGAACTGGCCCATTCATTTTTTTAAATTGAAAGCTGCAATCGTTAAAAGGAGTCTCTCGAATGTATTGGTGGACACTCTTTCTACAAATAATTGCAATGGAAGTCAGACGGTTTAGTTCATTCAGTTTCGTCGAAGCAATTAGCAAGAGGATGTTCCAGAATTCAGTTTCATCAATTGTCACACTGGTGCATTAGAATTCGTTGACGTGGTAGGCCTATGTGTTTTAAGATTCGCATTTGCGCATTTACAATGTATGTAATTAGACATTTCATGGGAATAATAAACTAATGACCAAAATTAACTAAGAACTAAATAATGTGTGCTCGAAATTGAATGTCAAAGGCGGATCCGGGCGGCATCCCCGACTCACTGCCCCCCCCCCCCCCCCCCCCACTGTAATCAAGCGTTTTCACACCCGGATCATTTTAGTGAAAGTTCGAAATATTTCACGGTATCTATAAACAAAAATATACGGTGCATACGTTTACAAAAGTATGGAAGTAACAGAGAAGGGAAAGTAGGTAAGAGAAGGGAAAGTAAGTTTTTGGAAACAACAGAGAAGGGAAAAGATATTGAAGGTCATGAAAATATTTAGAAATGAAATAGATTTTTATCTCAAATATTGACGTTTAGCAAATTGTCTCCCAATTCCATTGCCCTATCGTTGAAAATAAATATAGGTTTTCTAACAAGTTTGCCAAAATGTATTGAACATGTGCAGTGGCGTACGCAGGATTTTTTCAAGGGGGGTGTTTCAAAATTGGATGTCATCATTTATGACGCTAGAAATGAAGATGGTAAATTGTGTTGGCGCCCGAAATAAAAATAGTATCAGTGGGCTAAACTTAACGCTAAAATAAAAGTCGGGAGTTTGTGTTGGCGCCAAACATAGTAAATCGAAAAAAACAAAACATGTTCTGTGTCTTATGATGAACATATGAGTAAAGGGGTCAATGTGGGCAGTCCCCTCCCTCAACAAACAGCATTTAAACAAAAAAAAGAAGAAATTCAAGAAAAAAAGTGACACAGGCTGCGGAAGTGCTAGGATCTGTTCTTGTAATTGGCTAAATTTACTCAGCTTCGTCCCCTGGATCTCATGATTCTCATCCGTTGGGAATCTAATTCTTTGTGTAAACCGCCCCACCCCTAAGGCCAAACTCCAGATACAGGATACAAACGCGCTCTGGTCACAGGGGCGGATTCAGACTGCCATTTGCCGGGGGGGGGGCCCTAGAATTGTAGTGAAGGGTCCAGGACCTGCGAGCGCGCAGCGCGAAGCCCCTACGGCGTGGGGTCCGGGGCCCGCTCAAGGGCCCCGGAAAAAAATTGGATTTTAGATGCTCTGTGGTGCAATCTGAGGCGATTCCTGGCCACTTCCACCGTTTAGAAAACGTTTTAAACAACGAAAATTCCATTAAAATTTGTTATTTTTTTTTGTTCTTCATTAAGTTTGTTATGTACTCAAAGTTGAGAACCATGTTCCATCTCCGTATTTTTTCACAATTTTCTATTTTGGAAAGGGATTTAGGCCCCTGTAGTCCGAGCCTCAGCCATTCGCTGAATGAGGTACAAATATGAGGCACCGCTAGGGTGAAATTAGCATAGAGGGAATTTGGCCGGAGGACTAATGCGAGCGCGGAGCGCGGAGCGCGAAGCACTTACGGCGTGGGGTCCGGGGCCCGCTTAACCCTAAAGGGGCCGGGTTATGTTGACCATTTCTCAGCCGGGGGGGGGGCGGATTCCGCCCCCCTAAGATCTCGGCCATCGAGTGACGAAATTTTTTGAAACTCGGCACATGCATAGAGCAACTCTTCCTAAACATACCCAAGAAATTTCATGACTATAGGCCAAAGGGTTTTGGAATTATGGCTAATTAATTATTCATATGTACGAATGGCAATTCTGCTCTGTGTACACGACGTTTATGCGAAAATTCAGTTTTCACGGCGCGTAGCGCCGGAAATTTTTTCGCTACGCGGCAACCCGTGGTCCGATTTTTATGCATTTGGTATCAAAAGATGCGCAAAGCTCGAGGCTAAAAAGTCATAACAGCTCGGGTCGCGAATTTTTTTTTTTAGAGGCTATCACGGAAAATGTTGAGGGGGGGGGGCGGGCGGATTTCCGCCCCCGGCCCCTTTAGGGTTAAGGGCCCCGGGAAATTTTGGATCGTAGATGCTCTGTGGTGCAATCTGAGGCGTTTCCTGGCCACTTTTCCCCTGATTTTTTTAGCAGAAGTTTTTAAAATTGAGGGGATATTTTGTTTCATTTGTTTCAAATACATATAGGCCTATGTATTCTTGCTCTTATAAAGTGTCTTCTGTATTCAAAGCTTAAAGTTGAGAACATGCACATAATTTGTAATTGTTCCGCGCTCGGTCACATAACTCTCTTTTCCCTCCATATTTTTACATGGCAAAGGGGGGTGTTTAACAGCCAAAACACCCCCCCCCCCCCTGCGTACGCGCCTGAACATGTGTTACTTTTGTAAACGTAACGAATTGAAAACCCAAGCGGGACTAAAATCCACAGGTCACGAAATTAAATGCAAACGTTACATTTGCTGCATACTTTTCACAGGTGAATGAAGGCACCCAGAAATATTTTGAAGTTTGGCAATTGAGCCAAGCGTGAAAAGCTTGCCCATTTTTATGCGAATTTTAATAAACAGTTTGCATAACCGAATGAGCAAGGTGTGAAATCGGACGGGCAACCCTTTCCCGGCCAATTCCCAGCAAAAACAACCGTTCCTTTTTTTACGCATTCAATTCGTGCAGAGTTTTCAAGTTAGTTCATACTGGGGTTTCTTTCCCCCTATTATCGCATTTAATTTCGTTTTCGTGCACACTTGAGTTTAGTTTTGCCATTCATTCAAACGAATTCTTGATCAAACTCTTCCTGGGGCCTTCGACGAATTTGAATGAACGAAACGACTGTTTGAATTTGAAAGAGCTCATTTATCGAAAGAGCTCAAATAACGAAATCGAACGACTCTTGTTGATGTTCGAATGCTCATATAAGGGAGCATTCGTTTTAAAACAAATTTGACTTTGCCTCTTGTTAAATTGAACGATTTTTTTTCATGAAATTGGCCAGGAAAATAATGTTTGGTTATAACATTTATATTACTTGTAATATATAGTATTTATTTATTTGACATTTTTAGGCATTGATTAAAAATGATAAGCAATGATAAACATGAACAGGGCTGTTCATTTTGGAATTAAATTAATTGTGTTTATTTAACATGGAATTAAATAAATTCAAGTACAAATACATGTACCATGCAAGTGATGCGACATACTTAAACATTTCTGTCCTTTACAAGATATAATATTTTGGAGTAAACGTAATAAATGATGTGACAAACCAAAAGACGACCCAAGTGTGTGACTTGAGAAATTGATTGCATATCTTGTTTTGTCTATGACAGGTGTGTGCTACTCTTGGTACCACAGGAGTCTGTGCATTTGATAATCTGGACGAAATCGGTGAAGTGTGTAAGTATTCAATAATGCTCGATATGACAACTCAAAACATCAAGTGCAATAAATCTTTATATTTGCTGTCTTCAACTTTTGAAATGTAAAGTAAATGTTTTCAACATGAGACATCCCGGCTGGTTAGAATTGTGCAGGATGACAATCCATCTAGGCCTATATTAATAATATAATTGATTAGGATTACTTGTAGCTGCACACACAAATACTACAATTCTGAGTTTTCAATTCTTCGTTTGTCGTTAACCAGCTATGATTCAGCAGTTATGACCCTCGTCAGTATCGTTCAATTATGAATTGTATAGATTTGAGACTTTACGTCCGACACGATGATAAAATAAAATTGTCCTGTAATTATGTTCATTGAATAATCATAAATCTGATTTTAAACTTCACTTGACAGATAATTGTGTTTAAATTGCAGACATTTTTAGCTCCAATCTGCGACGAGCAATGAATCCTTTTCAGCAAAAAGAGTATATTACATACGGCTCAAGATCGTAGTTTTATAGGTTTTCCTGTTCAATTTAAACAAATGATCACTCAAATTATCCTCAGAGTCATTCTTTTAGCGCGAGTTTGAATTCAGTGAACGGTCATCGTTCAATTAACTAAAAAGAACATTCAGTTTAGTTTTTCGAGCACGCGATCTGAAAATACACGGCAAGCGGACTTAAAAGTATGCAATCGTTCAAATATAAATTACCAGTATAGATCATTCAAATTCGTTCATTTAAGAACATGAATAATGTGGTCAAATGAGTGAACAAGCATTTTGGCGTTGGAGTTCAAATACACCATGCACTTACAGCATTTTTTTGAGAACAATCACAGAAAATTTAAAAAAATATATATATAGGCCTATATCTATAATTCCAAGAAGATATATACATTATCCAAATATGCATATGAATAAAGCAAATAAGAATTATTTTTAAGAAGTTGATATGTATAGGTCAGAAGGAATATAGAACAATGTTGAAAAAATAGATGTCGAAGAAAATAAACATAGCAAAGAAACTAAAGATAAAAATACAGCAGCCAGCAGTCCTAATGAAAGCTTTGTTGTCATTACGTTTGGTTACCTTTTGTCCATTGATGTGCATGTAATTATTTTGAATGCAAAAAGTGCTAAACCGATTGCATATAAACGGAAACTGTGATCTTTCAGACTCGACTTTTTCTATATATAAAATAGACATTACATGGTTTATTGTCTAAACGTTTTCTGTCAAAACAGACGTTTAGCAAAACATAAACCCTTGTCTTCAGGATGTTTGTTTGTAACTTTTTCGGATTCAAAAATACCAGTACTAAATCATTCTGTTATGATTTTTGGACAGGTGAGGAGAAAAAGCTGTGGTTACACGTGGATGCAGCTTATGCCGGCACTGCTTTCCTTTGTCCCGAGTACCGCCCTCACTTGAAGGGAGTTGACAAAGCAGACACGTTTGCCTTTAATCCCAGTAAATGGATGATGGTGCATTTTGACTGTACCGCCTTGTGGTAAGCTAACCAGCGCCTTCAAAGTAACAAATAGGTGCTTTGGTGCAAATTTTAGATTGAAATTAACAATTATTGTATCGTCAACATGATTAAAAACAAGTTAAAGACGTTTAAAAAAAAAAACATTTGCGATGCTTTATTGATAGAGAGCGCTCGCATATTGAGTATCAATTTATAGGTTTCCCAGTTAATCTAGCACTTTGCTATTGATATTGATATCGTTGGGTGATTTTGCTAATTTAAATTTTAAATTTGCATCAGTATATTTTTTCGTATTTGGGGTAATGTTATAAACAATGAAAATTTGTTCCATCATACTGCAAATCCGGTATTTATATTCTAAGTTGAAGATTGGCAATGTATTGAAAAGATAACTCGTTTTTTGTCATTGATTTTAGCGCTTTGGTTATTTTAAATCTAAAAATTAATGTGGCCTGACGTTGCGAACTTAGCAAGTTCTTCTTCAGAGGCTAAAACAGAAATGACAGAGGTACATACATTAACATGGGGGTGCACACAAACATGCAGGGCTGAGAGAAGAAACACAACAGGAGGAATAGGTGGGAAAGGTGTGGAAAGATGCAGGGGAGGGTGGATGAGAGAACAAAGAAACAAAGGGAGATGGCAAACCACAAGGGGTCTGGTATAAGCAGGGAGGGACCAGAAAGGGGAAGGATCAAAGGTCACAGGGAGTGGGAACGGACAAAAGAGTGTGAGAGTGAAGAGGGTTATTGGTTATTTTAATTTATTCAGTAGGCCCTACGTGCATTGCTTGCATGGCGAAGAAGTAGATTGAATGTGCATAGCTTTTTAATTTTCAACGCAAAACTCCCCATGAGACAAATTCACTGGAACTTGGACGAATTCTAATGCTTTATTCCTGGATTACACTGCAGTCAACATGAAATCTGTTGTTGCAGATTTGAATTGAGCAATCAAGTTAAACGATGTTGTGGAACGAAATTAAATTATATATTTTCATCAAATAAAAATACAGGATTTCCCGGCTATTATAAAATGTTTATCATTTAAATTCACCGTTTCTAATATTCAAATTCGTCCATCAACATCGATTAGGCTAAGTGCACTTCCAATGTTAAATTTTGTCTTTTGTCAGACAATTTCGAATTCAGTTCAAGCAAATTCAAACGATGAGCACACGTTTTCATCGCGGAGTATTCGATTTCGTCTCGTCTAGCTATATTGTTATTCAGAAATCAAATTCGTCCAATTGATTTATATAAGACAAATTTGATCTCTGAATGCTGCCATTTAGCTTAGACGAATTTGATCTGTAATGGCGAATATTCTCGACCTAGTGACTAAGAGGGTGACCAAACTTTAAAATTGAATGGTGAATGACTAAATTGGTTTTGGTAAAAGCGTGTGAAATTTTTCGTGGACGAAATTGAATGTAAGAGTTGGTGAATTTGAATGAAAAATCTTTTAAAATAGCCGGGGAAACCTATAGTATCTAGGAAAATCTGTATTACCACACCTACTGGAGTTTTCATTTACTAGAATAATAGAGCGTGCCAGTCTCGCCATGTCCACTTTTGAACGCTTTGATACCAAACTCGAGCTGGTCTTGTCGCAGACTCCCATGTTTGTCTTTCCCAACTGTAATGTGCATGATCGATTGACCGGAAGTTATAAGGTCACATTAATTGTCCATATTATTGTGGTCATCAGGTTTCACATTTTTCAAGCTTTTATCATAATATATTGTAATGTTGTCGGTTTTTGTAACAAAACTTAAACAAAATTCATGTAGATAAAATTGGACATCGCGTTCTAGCTCCTATGGGCCTACGAGGAACACGAAACTGGAAGTCACGTATATATTTAAGTAAACTCTCGCAACTTTTTAAAGTCAACTTGCACCGCACTATTAAATACACAATGTGCACGGAATACCTGGTGGTATATAGATAGCATTGAATTGTAACTACATGTATGTTTGTCGTTTGCTGGCTATAAATTAAGAGAAAAGAACTCGTTTACTTCCTTACATTAGCGATTTCAATTATATTCAGGGTGAAAGATCGAGAGGTATTGGAGAATACCTTCTGTGTAAATCCACTGTACCTCAAACATGAGAAGCAAGGGATGGCTGTTGATTTCATGGTAAGCTTTGATTGATATATTTCTTAATCCCCAACTCCTTGGACTGAAATCTGACATACAATCGAGCTATGGTTTGGGATAGTAATCAGACCATTCATCTCTCTCTGTTAATTCATTTGAAAAAAATAATTCAACGACCATGTTTTGCATTTATTGTGTTAGAGGGAAAGTTTATTGCAGGTCAACCGATCTGGCAGCTGCTTATCACTGGGTTTTCTTGCTCACTTTAATAGTCGTCGCAACTGCCGTACAAAAATCTCTTTGGCTAGTAAGACTATTGAAAGTCATGCAAAGGTATAAATTACCGAGTCATCGTAGCCTTAAGTGAATCCCATTCGCTCCCAATCCCAGAGCCTCGATCTGGCAACTTTACACATATAGCCGGTTCAGTGATTCCCATGTTGGGGTTCAGATCACTGAACCGGCTATTTTTATTGTGTAAAGTTGCCAGATCGAGGCTGTGCATGCCCAATACATGGCGGAGCGTGAAAAGAGCGAAACATTTGAATTTAAAGTAAGCTTTACAAAAATAGAAATTTACATGTGCTTATATTATAAGCACAAGTGTCTGGCATCAATACAACTGTCGCGTCGTTTGTCTTACAACGACAGTTTGCTGGCTATATAAGCAACTGATCAATTATAATTCAACATCGTTAGTTCAACTAATTCAGCTCGGTGTTCAGCTCGGTGTTTAGAGCAACTGCCGTACTAAAGAGCTGAATTCAACTGAGTTCGGCACGGCAGTGGTACGCCGTTTGGAACTGGCCTAGGCCTATATAATTATAGTGTCCTGTGGCCGTCTAATGTTAATGATATGCACGGAGTCCATATACTATAGGTTTTCCCGGCCAATTTCAGCACCCAAAACGTGAATTTTCATCAACACGTTTTCAGATCAGCGGCGTAGCCAGGGTTCTCATTCTAGGGGGGGGGGGGGGGGGGGGGGGGGGCGTGTGGGGCATGAGGCGCCCAAAAATTTCATCTGCGCTGAAAGGTAGACAGGGTTTTTTCACCGGACACCCGCCCTCCGTAAAATCAATTAGTGGGGTGGGGGTGGGGGGGGGGGGGGGGGGGGGGGGGGGCTGGACACCATCTTCCCATGGGGGCGCTGTTCAAAATGTATATCATGGCTACATTACACATTAACTTTCCAAGCGACGTTACAATAAAAAGCCGTGACTCGCGAAAACAAAAAGTTTTGGTAAAAAATACGCACAAAATTGCGGAAAGAAGGGACTTTATGTTCTCCCAGCTAATAATGGTTACTTATATGGCTGTGGTTTTCTTCGGATGCCAAATTTTCAATGGGGGGGGGGGGACGACTGGGTGGGCATGAACTTTTTATGGGCCCCCCGTAGCGCCGCCACTGTGTTACATTTTCATTTAGACCAAATCTATTTCAAATTCTGAGTGATCAATTTATATGTGCTATGGATTGTTGGAGTAGGTATTGCTATATAGTTTTTTAACTGTAAGTTTTTCTGAATGATATTTTTGTACCATAATCATTGTCTTAATTTGAATAATTCCTTTGTGTCATTATTCTGTTACAGGGTTGGCTGATTTAAATCCGACTGATTTAGGTCACTGGTTTAAATAGCTGATTTAAATCACCCTTTGGTGATTAGCAAAATATATTGATTGATGGCCATTTTAATCATTTAAATCAACTGATTCCACTTAATTACAAAGTGTAAGATTTTAACACATTCAAACACCCCTACTTCATCAGCATCGACTCAACGTAAATGTAGGTTTTGCATAATTACCTAAAATCATTGTTTTGATTAAAGTCAAGATGTGAGTCTAAATGTTTTTCTTCGAAGGTTGAATTTTAAATTCTAGTTTGTACAGTATTAATGAATTGTTCAGTGATAGTCAGCACACTCACTTTTGCATATGAATATGCAACAACTTTGCTGGTGTAGCGTTACCTAAACCATCTAAAGGTGTATTAAAGTCCCATTGATAGTCTTAGGCATATTCCTAACTTTTCTCCATAAAAAAAATAGATTTAGATTTATGTAATGCCTTTAAAGGTTAAAGACCCGATTGATCTCCCGAAGGACCGTCAATCAAACATTCTTTCTATAAGTTTCACAAGGATCAGTACTGTCGTTTTGAAATTAGAAGCATTTTTATGAAAGACATGAAGACATGCTCAGGGAGAATTGTACTCATATTTTTTTTGTTTAACATGTACCATAACACGGTTTTCATTCATATCCACACACAATCAATCAGGCTATGTACCTTTAAAGTATCTTCAGTATTTATACCCTTGTGCCAATGAGGTTGCCTACATGTAGATTAAATCAAGTGATTTTTGTTAAAATCACTTATTTTCAAAGGCATTTATGAATGTTAATTGGGAATGTTTGTCTGCAAATTTCTGAATACTGAGTTTTGTGGATGATGGGTATTATTGGAACCTGAAAACTCCTTGCTGATGGGTGTAATAAGGGTGCATGGGAAGATTTACACAATTTTTTTGACAAATCAATATTTTTAAAGTTAAACAAATAAAAAGAATCTGATTTAAATCCAAAAAATCCGATATAAATGTTTAAAAATCCGATTTAAAAAAAAAATTAAATTAAACAAACCCCAAATCGTCAACCATGTTCTGTTATCTTGGTCTAAGCCTGTCTCTTGAGTTATATGAAATCCAGACAGGATTATTGTGGTTTTTTTTTGGGGGGGGGGGTTGCTGGTAATTGTGTATACAGGATTGGTGTTATTCATTTTTCTATATTTCTGTTGATAATTATGTGAACCATTTCTAATTAAAAGTTAAAAAAGGTTTGTAGAAACAAGGGTAGGGTCAACGTTATAACCCGAAAACAGAATAAGTTTGCTTTTCTTTCCATTATAATTACAGGCAAATATGAATAAGCAGAAAACGCATATACCACATAAACGAATTTGAATGCAGATAATGTGAAGACTGTTTGCCAGTTCCTTAAATCGAATTCTCTTTCAGCCTCTGTCTGAGGCCTTTGACGAATTTGAATGAACGAAACAACTATATTATTTGAATGAACTTTTTCATCGAAAGACTGCTAAAATAACGAAATCGTATGACTCTTTTTGACGTTCGAATGCTCATTTAAGGAATTTGAATGAGCCTCGGGTTAAATTGAACGAATTGTTGGTGAAATTGGCCGGGAAAAGCTATAATCTTGAGGCAGTCTGTTGCGATATTAATGACTCATTATGAAGTCGTTCGTAATCATGGTTTAATTGAATGATCTGGGTTCAATTTGATGGCTCTGCTAACACTGAATTCACAGCTCTGCATGCACATCACGTACCCGTACCGTACGCACCGTGCTAAAATATGCCAACACTAATGGCCCTGTCACACTTCTGCGTATCCTAATTCCTTATGAGTTGCGCATTGACAATTTTTTCATACGCAGTCGTACGCACAATACGCACCTCATATGCATCTCTATCGTTTTGTGTAGGTTTTATGTACGCAGATATACGCATGGTACGGCCCAGTACGCAGGATAGTTTTGGGCATGCACAAAACTACGCTGCGTACGCTGTTACGCAGGTCATAAGCACTGATCTCTATATAAAGACTGGATAGCGGATATGCATACAACATTCACACAGTAGACTTTGCATATTGACCAATTCGCCCCCGGTCTCACGAAGATGGCCGCGTATAATACGAACGTTCTACGCGTAAATACACGCGCGTTGTATCAACAGTTGACGCGCATTTTGGTCACGTACACATATTATGATGTTCTAAAAGGGACACATTTCCGTAGTGATTATTATTTCAAAACGCCGAAAAAGTTATATTTGCGGCATTTTAGTAACCACGACGTTAGAAAAATTGTAGTTAACCTTGGTCAGTGGTAGTGGTCAAAATATAAGTCAAGTGAACCGCGACGTTACAAAAGAAATCATGCTGTCTATAAAAACGGCAACTTGTCCTTTGTAGATCACCAGCCGGTCTCACCAATATGGCGTCAAATTCGTTCATTGTGCGGCTCTTTATTAGCTATCCAGTCTTTATATAGAGATCAGTGGTACGCAGCGCCTCGGTCCCGCATCGGTCGAGTGCGTTTCGAGTACGCTATGTGTTCGTGACGCACCCCGTCAGCATATGAGCCGCCTGTATTGGACGTATACATAGCGTACTTGCAGCGCAGATGCAACGCACGCTGGACGGCGAGCGGCGGAAATGCGGCGGGAATACGCTCAGAAGTGCGTCAAGCATGCGGTCGGCATAAGTCGGGTGCGTCCGGAATACGCTCGGCATGCGCACTGCATACTGACCTATAGATCGCTTGCAGACGCGTTCGATAATTGACGCGCGAAGGTGCGCGACGCCATGTTGGCGTCGCGCGCCTTCGCGCGTCGATTATCGAACGCGTCTGCAAGCGGTCTATTCGCAGCCCGAAAAATAATGTTGTGCACTGCATACGGAACTCATACGCATCTCATACGCAATGGATGCGCTGAATTCGTTACTTGTACGCTAGATGTGCGTCGCACATAAGTCAAAGTGATCAAAACATTTCGGCGTTAATTGAGCGTACGGCTGCGTATTGAAATTTTTTGATAAGGAACTCATAAGGAATTAGGATACGCAAAGGTGTGACAGGGGCTTAACAGTGAGCTGGAAACGTTCTGCTACACGACCAATGTGTAGCAACCGGCAAACTGTGCGTTGTGCCTGCGGCAATCAACGGTCTTTACGTTATCAGATTCACGGTAACATCTCTAAACACTACAGAAGATGATATTAATTTTGTTCTAAAAAAATAACTTGTAACACACCGATTCGCCTTTGGGTGTTCTATCCTCAGAATTGGCAAATTCCTCTTAGCCGTCGCTTCCGTGCCATTAAGCTGTGGTTTGTCATCCGGTCATTTGGAATCAAGGGTCTACAAGAGCACGTGCGCAAGGTAAATCAACCTTCTTCTTTTTAAATACAAGAACCCGCAGTTAGTTCACCTGTAATCGAAAACGTTTTCGGAGCCGCATACGTATTCCTCAGGCGGAAGCCTAATGTTGCCACTTGCCACATAAGAAAATATAATGGTGCCCGAACATTTCGTTTTAACGAGAAGTTATTTTAGGAATTCATAAATGACATCAACTACTTCTGTCTTAACCAGGGTGTTCGCTTGGCAAAGTACTTCGAGTCCTTGCTTCGGACAGAACCGATATTTGAGATTCCAGTTGAATGCAACCTGAGCCTGGTTGTTTTCCGACTTAAGGTAAGTCGGGAGATTTTAGGCATCTTAATTAATGTAAGACTCCCCTGATACAAAACTTTGTTTTTCAAAATTTACTACTTTTTGTGTGACTGATTCACGGTTTTATCATATTACTTATTATCTTTCTAAATTCAGGGAAAGAATTTTTTGACTGAGGAGTTGCTGCGTCGAGTCAATGCAACCGGCAAACTGTACGTTGTGCCTGCGGCAATCAACGGTCTTTATGTTATCAGATTCACGGTAACATCTCTAAACACTACAGAAGATGATATCGTGAAGGATTGGAGATTGATCTGCAGCATGGGTAATGCGGTCATGCGTTGTCTCAGTCCTCTGAGACGTCGAATCGCCTCCTGGCCTGCAGCAGCAGCATTTGAGGCACGACCAGATGTCTACATGGCACTGTATACCGAGTCCAAGATGGCGGCATTAGCAATACCTGATGAGCTCGATGGCTACTCAAGTGACACAGATGGGGTAGATTTTCGAAAGAGTCCAAATCTGTATCCCCGTAAGCCATTTATTCCGACAGACAAAATGTCGCCGGAATCAGATGAGCAGTCCGGGGATGAAAGGCTCAACAACGGCAGTCAAAAGGGCATTGAGATGGTAAATGGTCACTCTAATGGTCTCTGTAATGATGCCGACAAAAGTGAAGATGACGTGTTTTGCCATCATATGACCAAGGGTTCAAAATCCCGAGGTGGATCTATGCCACATCTCAATGGGCTATCTGTCGAGGTTACGAAAAATATGTTCATCCATAACAATAATGTAACGAAGGGCAGTCACCATGATGTTCAGAATGGCTTAGAGGAGAAGCCGGCTGAAGTATCTGTTGCTAGCAGGGGACGTTTCGGCGCCCTCAGCGTCGCTAAGGAAAGCACATACACAGGGGTAGTGAATATCTGTCACTGCTCAACCAAGGCAGATATGGCCGCTACTCAAAAGCAGTAGACCAAAGCGAGTAGGCTAATTTAATCAGGAATCTTATCATCATGATTAAGGAATTGGACAAAAATACTATACAACCTATATAACCATAAGCATAAACCTAAACGGTATATCCGTTCGTACCTTGGACTATCTTTCCGGGTTTACAAGTTTTCACATCCTAATTAATCTTAATTGTATGATGACCAAAAGTTGTTTGAGTTTTGTCAAATTATGAAATTCGGGCTTATCTATTGTAACTAAAATAACCGAAGACGCATGAAACTCCTATAATACTGAGCGACAATAAAGACGTCGTGGGATTTTTCATCAAGGATTAATTCAAATTCATTCACTTATACAGTAATGATAAAGCTGTGTTTCGTTGTGGACTTAGATGGAAGTACTAATGCTTACAGTCATCGTCTGAATGTGATCACTTTATTTATGATGGATATGCCCCTACTTGCGGTCATTAAAGCGAAACATGTTAGTGATACTTTAAAAATAAATCATGATAATGTATTAAACTTATTGTTTTGTTGTCATTAAAACCAAGTATCACGTCTTGTTAAATGGATAATAATTAGTAATTAATAGGGTTCTAAAGGGGCTTTAAAACTATGTAGAATAATAAAGATGCTTATACTCATTGTTAATGGTAGCTGTAGAATCGTGTCAACGCCATCAATAATTGTCCATTGTCTTTTTTTGCAGTTAATTTGTTGCGAAAAAGTTATAAGATAAGAAAATGTGCAATAGAGAGCTGTGATAAAATTACTCTGTGTTGTTTATGAACTATAATCAATACATGAACTATTTCAATATGTCATTGAAGAATTTTAGTTAACTATATAGAAATAAATATATACTCAAATTTTATTGCGAGGTTTAATAACATTAGAAACGGGAAGAGTTAACTAAAACAGTCAAACATAAAAAGGTGGGGGAAATGCGCAGTGGAAATCAAAAACGTGCGTTTTTGTGAATAAAGTTCGAGGGTTACTACAGTAGAGTAATTACATTTTGACCATACATGTGCACGTACATCTAATTTCCTCTAAATAATACAATTACAGTATACCTTGAAGTAAAGGATTACGAAGAAATCTAGACTGCGGTAATATAGTTTTCAATTTTAGGCATTTAGACAAAGGTAGCCTAATTGCCTCTGTTTGGATATTTGCCTTGCCGACAAAAATGTATTTTGCGAGTAAACAAAATTCTAAACACTTTCTTACTGTCACCTCATGCTAAACAGGCTTAGTATGTGAACATGTTTACAAACTGATAGCAAGAAGACTCCGTCAAAAATTATCAGATTTGATGTCTCATTTTAAAGTGAAAAGACGTATCTTTCAAACCATACCTATATTATCTATGTTGGCTACACATTCTACGTATGATATTATGTTGTATTTTGTTTGCATTATTTTGGATACACGCTGTATAGGCCTCTAATAAGAATGTCTTAATTTTTTTCTTTCATTTTTTCTTCATAAATGTGTCATTTCTTTTGATTTTATCTTCCTAAAATAACTTTTGTTTATTTTAAATAACATCGTACTGTTGATCTTAATCTTTACTTTTTGATAACTCTTCATTGAGTTCAGTACTCTGCTTTGGTTCGAAAAGTCATGCGAGCGAATGTGCCCAATTGTGCTTGGGGACACAAGGAAAATGCTTTAGAAAACACCGGACTAATTTACTTTATGCAAGTTTCAAATTGATTGATAAAAGACGAATTTGATCTCTGAATGCTGCTATTCCGCAACAGCCTAGACGAATTTAATCTGTAATGACGAATATTCTCGACCCGGTGACTAAAAAGGGTGGTCAAACTGTGAAATTGAATGGTAAATGACTAAATTGGTTTGACAAAAGCGTTTGATTGTTTTCTCGGACGACATTGAATGTTAGAGTTGGTGAATTCAAATGAAAACTGTTTAAAACAGCTGGGAAAACCTATAGAAGACGAGAAAATCCCTCTCTTTGTATCCATCGGTAAAAAAACACAACATCCATTAACAATCTGATATCACTTCCCTCAGCATAATAAGCGAGTTAAACAGGAGTTATTAAATATGTAATGATATAAAGCATATTTTCTTATTATTAGAGAATTGTGTATTTGATTAATGTGGCACCCCTTATTACTGAGGGAGCAATAAATTAGGAGACCTGTTTTTCCTGACGACCGTTGTTTTATGTTTTGCTCTAACTGGAGTCATGCCAGGTCGAAAAAAGTGATTTGAACTCCAGAAAGATATTGGCGTCGTTTGTTTTTTATGTAACTAAAAAGCCACTAATTTATATCAAGAACATGCAATCACTATGGTGAGTGCCGTGGCCTCGTAGCCATTGCAATCACTATGGTGAGTGCCGTGGCCTCGTAGCCATTGCAATCACTATGGTGAGTGCCGTGGCCTCGTAGCCATTGCAATCACTATGGTGAGTGCCGAGGCCTCGTAGCCATTGCAATCACTGTGGTGAGTACCGTGGCCTCGTAGCCACTGTGGTGAGTGCCGTGGCCTCGACGGTAGCCATTGCAATCACTCTGGTGAGTGCCGTGGCCTCGTAGCCATTGCAATCACTATGGTGAGTGCCGTGGCCTCGGAGCCATTGCACTTCCAGGAGTAATGGGAGAGCAGAGATTGCTGTGATTGACTTTAGCTAATGGAATATGTTGGTCATAATGAGCAGGGGTAATAATGATGTTGTGCTTTGAGCACCAATTTTAGTGAGAATGTGCGCTTTATTATTTACAGGATTTTAAAATTAGAGTAGTTTGATGATGGTTGATGTTATCAATGTGGATATTTTAACGACAAATAATTATATACAAATGTGAATATATACAACCATAATTCGAGCTACGTAATGTTGCAAAGACGATACACTGTAATGTATGATTTCAAGACAGCTGTCAGAAAGTAAAAGCTGAATTTGAATAAAAGAAGAAGAAAACTCTTAAATTGTGTGTTTTAAGATTCAAAAACGATTGGTCTGGTGCTGGAAACTGAAAAATCTCTTAGTTTTTTTAGGGATGTAAATTTGATATACCCAAGTTTTTCCATAATGTCTTTACATTTACTCTGAATTCGGGAAACATCATAGTAAGACATTCGTGTTCGCCAAGCCTGTGCAGTAGTTTTTGAATCTCGAGTCCTTGAAAATGCATCTCCAGCATTGTGGTTAGTGTTTGCTTCCAGCCAGTTCGTGATTTCTTTGGACACTTCCCAACCCAGAAACCGATATATTTCATTCGTGATTTTGTACGGTTGTTCCGCAATATCTTCATAGCGCACGAGCATGTAGTTGTCTTTAAACCAATCAGGGCCTTGATGAGCAAATGCAACGTTGCGTTTCATATGCTGGCAGAGGTCCAGTGTTTCGTCACCATGGATACCTTTCCGACGTATAAAATCCCCATTTTCTTCCCCCACAAGGTGTCTTGAGTTCATAACACCCCTTGGATCTCGCACTAGATGAAGCACCTTCACGTTCAACGTTCTTAACATCAAGAATGTTTTCAATTGGGCTAAATCGTTAACGCGGATAGTTTTGAGTGCTACGTGTTTTCTGCCTCTGCATAATTCTGATGATACCTTCAAAAACTGTTGATCACTGTATCTATTCTTAGATTTCTTGCATGTCAGTTTATAAGCTACGGCATCTTCCCTACCGTTGCTACATGTGCTTGAAGATGATCTCTCAATGAACCATCCAGCAACGGGGATATGGTGCAAGTCACAATGCAGTGTTGCATTCAGAACATCTTGTACAGCTTTGTTGAACAAATTCTTGTCTTTTTTAAATAATGTGGTCAAAGATTTAAGTGGCTCTAACATATAGAAGACGTTTGGGTTTTGGTTAAAGATTTCTCCAACGAAAGATGAGCCGGACCTTTTCTGGGAGATGAGGACAAGCTGTGATCTCTCTGTAGCTGAATATACATGCTGACTTTCAAGCGATGGTAAAGACGTGTTAATCACAGAACGAGCAGCGGACAACTGAGATGGAAGGCTATGATGCATCACTGCGACTGAAGGGCCGAAGTGTGGCTCCAACTTGGTTTCTGGTTCAATCATATTTGGCTCTATAGTACAATAAAGTAAACAGGTCTAAAATTATATACACGATTTTCTATTTGTAAAGCATTGTACAGTATAAAGTCTTGTCAATACAACTATTCAAGAAATGTATCACAGCTCTTAAAATGCCTACTAATTTGACCGCATTACATTTGAAATCCCACAGTAAAGGCTTGGGTGTCACAGAGGTAGACAATGCCCTCGGACCCCTCACCCCACCCCCTAAAAAAACAGCACCCAGTGGCGTTTCTACGGGGGGGGGGGGGGGGGGGGCTGGGGGGGGGGGGTAGCCAAATTTAGTCTAGCCCCCCCCCCCCCAAAAAAAATCCATTACAAAAAATTGCACGAGCAAAATGTAAGAATGTGACGTACATGCAAACGGTCTCCCCCTAAATAAATAGTCGTGAGAAGGGTGCATTTGTACACTTTTAGTTAATATAATGGCCCTGATTGTAGGATTTTATCAGCGCTATCCACTGAAAATATGGCACGAGCCCCTCCCCCCCCCCCCACAGCCACCTATTAATTTCGGAGAAAATAACCGGTCTACATTTCAGCACGCCTCCCTGAAAAAAATCTGGATCCACCCTGCTAGCCCCCAAAAATACTGGCTCTAGAATCGCGCCTGCCAGCACCAATGCTGAAATGTACAATGTATAGCGAGCGGATTTCACATGGCTTGTTCATACTCACTAACTATAACGTAATAAAAGGTCGCATTTCCAATAATAAGAAAGGCCACGTAGACATGATGCAGTTTGCATCCGCAATGAGCTGGTTTCTGTTGGCATGCAGGGTGCTGATCTTCGGTAGTTACAAGTTCAGATGACGTCATGTTGTTCATCTTAGGCATCATACGGTAGGCTGAGGATCCTCAATGTAGGCCTATATTGCACATCAACTCCAATAGATAATACTGGAAATGCAAGCATTCCAAAAATCTAAAGTGACTACAGATGCATTATTATCCACCTATATAAAAGTATTGTATAACTAGCAATTAATTCATTTAACCCTACATCAGGAAGTAATTACATCTGGTGACGTTTGCAATATTCATGTTTATGAAACGAAGCTAGTATAGTCCTATAAATATTTGTTTCGTCCTTTATTAATTTGTTTTGTCCTATATTTATTTGTTTCACAATAAAGTCATAAAGGGCGCCTCTTAATCCCCCCCCCCCCAAAAAAAAAATGACAACATGAACATGACGAAATAAGCTTAATTTCGATGCGTGTCTCAAGCATCTCGCAGAGCTTTGAGTATTTTCCTAAATTTCGGAAGTCGGCGTATTTATCACTGGGGTCTATGGCAGATTATATACTCTGCAACCTCAACGACGGACGAACGATCACCTGAATGGGGCGCTTGTTTAAAGGCAGTAATTTGCTCTTCATGCATTTGTTCGTTTCAAATTATACCACCAATCAAAATTCAAAGTTTTAATGTTTTAATTTTATTTTGCATGTCAGGCGCATAATGGCAACCGAAAGTCGAGTTGTTTTGCTGTAAAAAAATACACAGTGGCTTCCCTAACGTTGCGCACTTCCTTGTTTTAGCCCGTCGGACTTCTTCATCTAGTGCTAAAATGTCTCTGTTGATGAGCTTTGGAACCAACTGATAATCTATTTCTTTCCATCTTTAGAAAGGTTGTGTCCTGAAATTTGGCGTGGAACTTGGCGGACGAAAAATCGGCAAATACAGGGTGAGTAAAAAACAAAAACTAAACCCAAATGGCAGGACCAACTACTGAATGCAGTCTTGCCTTCACATGCATCCCTGTGAGAATTGTTTTTGTTTTGCTGAAAGAAGTCCTTTATGTGCGATCCGTGGACAGAACTTTAAAACTGTGTTTGTATTCAAAATTCCGTAACTTGAAAAGTGCATGAGTGATTTGGATGATTCTTGTTCTCAAAGAAAGCTCATTGATTATGGGCTTTCGTATTCCAGATTTTGAAAGTGCTACAGGCAAAACTTAATTTTTAAAAAGTCCTCCCATTTATGTTTCGTGTTTTTGACTCGCCATGTAATGTACTCATAGCTTTGACACAAGGTTGTGCTGTCCTACATGATGCAACCAAGGATTATACAACCTAGCGTTCGACACTCCCATATAAGTGGCCAATTGTCTTGGACTATATACATGTAGTATAAATTAATAATTTCTTCATAATGTACGACATTTTCTTCGAGTAGATGAATTATTATTTGTATCTGTCGTTCTGACTTACCTTTACGTTGTCTTTTGTCGGTGCAGTGTTAGCAGAAGAATACGCTGTACATAGCAGCGCTTATTCATGCCAACAACTATCGACCTATCGATTGGAAGGCATGTCTACATGGTAAATGGTATAACTCTCAGGAGGAATGGGTAGGTTCTGGTAACAAAGACCGTTGTGTAATAAAAACCGATAAAAGGCCTAAAATCGATATAGCATACCAGTAACTAACCGTGACAACGCAGCCATACCACCGCAATTTTATTTTGGACTTTGCGATAAAATAATGGTCAACGAAAAAAAGTCGGGCTTGACCGAGCGATGAGTTCGGAGTCGCCAAGGTTTGTTGCTGTTGATATGGCAAAACACTCAGTAGCGTAGCACCACCAGCCATGGGCGTCGCGAGGGGGGGGGGGGGGGGGGGGGGGGGGGCAAGGGGGGGCACTTGCCCCCCCCCCCCCCAGAAAAGCCACACAAAAAAAAAAAAGGAAGAAAAAAAAAAGAAGAAAAAAAGAGGCGCGAAGACAAAGTGGTGCAAATTTAATGATTGGGGGGGGGGGGGCAAAATGTCCCTGCCCCCCTCTAAAACTGATAAATCGAGAATGTGTTGCCCCCCTCTAGAAAAAAATCCTGGCGATGCCCATGCCACCAGCCGTGGAATCGAGCGCGGTGAGGGCGGGGGGGGGGGGGGGTCATCATCGAATTTTTCTTCTCCTGACGAATTATCAACTTGTACGTTTTATTTGAAGGGAAACGAATCTACTTTTTCTATTAATATGACGTTTTAACAGAGTTGTAACGAGTCACTGATTTTTGTGACTCGAGTCGAGTCATTTTAAAGAAGTGACTCGAGTCGAGTCGAGTCATTAGGTCAACAAGGTCGAGTCGAGTCGAGTCGAGTCACAGAGTGTGGTCGAGTTGAGTCGAGTCGAGTCAAGTATTTAGATCGAGTCAATTCGAGTCACAAATATTTGAACACTAAATTACAATAAAAAGCAACAAACACAAGAGAGAAAGAATACAAGGCACCAGTCTATTACGGAAATCCAAAGACATAAAGTATGCTGTATGGTACCCAACCAACAGTTTCCATTGCTAGCTCACGTCACAGAAAAGAAGATGTGAAACTTCGGTCTTATAACTGGTTTGGCTTCGGGTCTAGATTTTGTTGTTCGCTGATCGCTGACAACGTTAAAACCTAATTGCATTATACAAAACTGTTTCTGATTATTTAAAGGTGGGCCCGTCCGTATCCATTTTTTTGGTGTGAAATCGGGACATGAATTTAGCCAGCGTTCCACCAAGAACTTCAAAATCGCCCGAAACCAATGATGAAACCACGGATTGAGAAATGCGTTTTAAGTCTGGTTCCGGGTTTAGCATTACATGCTATAGAACCACAAGGTGGGAGTCCGCGACACGGTGTATGTTTGTTGTTTCATTATGGAGGAAGGAAACAGACTGCCGCTGTATTCGCGAACATTAACGTGACGTGAACAAAAACTGGCAACGCGAACGGCGCAGCGTAAGTCATTGCAAATATTTTTCGAAAGTAAGTTTTGCTTTTATTTTGGGACTCGAGTCTTATTAGCCTTCCTCGAGTCGAGTCGAGTCATTCTGATGAGGGACTCGAGTCGAGTCGAGTCATTTGCTCGCAGTGACTCGAGTCGAGTCGAGTCATTTACCCGTCGGAACTCGAGTCGAGTCGAGTCGCCAAAAAATGTGACTCGAGTCGGACTCGAGTCGAGTCATTGACTCGAGTCATTACAACTCTGCGTTTTAACCCTCTTAAAATACGCTTCGCTGGTTGCCCGATGTCTCATTCAAAAGGAAAAAGCTTTATTGCAAGAGAAATAGCAAATTAAAAGCAAAATAGATTTTTTTCAGGTAAAACCTGTAAATACCACGGGGAAAGCAACTTTAAATAAATTATAAGGACAAAATTCACTGGAAAACCGCAAGACATTGTTCTTTTTTTTAACACAAATACTCCGTTTATATAGAGTCTAGAAGGGAATTACTGAAAACAAACGTAAGTCCATTTTGCAGCTAGAATAGTTGATATGGTATTGATTCGCACTCTTTGCAATTCCTTTTGAATACATCTATTTCAATTTGGTAATGAAGAATGGTGTTCTACATGACATGTAATAAATTTAATTCCCTCTTGTAAGCACTTTGGAATGTACCAGTATAAGACCTCTCCCAGGAGCTAGGCTTACATCACATCATGTGATGTGATGTGAACACAAGGTGGCACAAGGTTTTACCTGAAAAAAATCTGTTTTGCTTTTGTCACTTCAAAACACTTTTCAAATGTTATACTCCGGTAATATGAGCTGGCTTGTATATACTAGCCAGGCCAAAAGGGCCACTAGTTCTACCACCCTTCCCTCCCCAGTAGCGGCGCTACGCGGTGTTTTTTTTTGCAGCACAATCGTCAATGGTCATGATTATTCAGCTAGTCGATGTTTATTCATAAGAAAATAACAATGAGTCGCGCCATTTCTATAACTCAGTCATGCAGTCGTACATCGTACATTAAAGCATTTCAAAGAACGGCTTTCGTCGAGCTGCCACAGTGGCCTAGTGGATAATGGTTGAACTATGGATCGCAAGATCTGTGGTTCACGCCCATTTTCATCAAATATATTTGTTGGTTGGGATGGGTTTAAGTGAAGGGAAAACACTACGACAACCTATAATGCGCCATAAAAATGACTATATGGCCTACACTTCTAAGTTGCTCTAGTAGTCCGTGGGACGAGAGACCGAAAACGCTTTAGTTTTCGAGATACGCGATCTGGTCCGCTGAATTTATAAAACTTTCCAGACATACAGATTATGATGTACCATATCTAAAAAAAACATTGTTTCCCGATATCAACAGTTTGTTTGGGAATGAGAAAACCTGGGATAAAAAAGCTGAACATTTTGCATGAAAAAAAAGAAAGAAACAGCGCCCTCTATTGACACAGTCAGAAACCTTTTGGCACGCAATGAGCGCTTGCCAGATAATACTTCTTTCAAATTCCCTTTGAAGATCAGTACAGATCATATTCGTCTAAGCTGTTGCCGAATGGCAGCATTCAGAAATCGAATTCGTTGTTTATAAATCAATTAGATGAATTTAATTTCTTGACTAGCAAGGTTTGGCGTAGACTAGACGAAATCGATACTCCGGTACGAAAACGTGTACTTGTTTGAATTGCTTGAACTGAATTTTATATTGTTACACCGAAGAGGAAATAAAACGTTGGAAGTGCACTAAATCGATGGTGATGGACGAATATGAATATTAGAAACGGTGAATTCGAATGATAAACGTTATAAAATAGCCTGGAAAACCTATATAATCTAATTTAATCCATTTATTTATTTATTTATTCTTTTTGGGGGGATTTAAACCTGCACAGTTGTTACCCACACAAGAAGAATGGTATTTAGATTACATAGCTTTGTACTGAATGAGCATTTACTTGTTAATTCTTAGCGAACCAAACGAGATTATGAGCAAACGTACACATTACAGGCCGGTTAGATAATTGTTGTATAACATATCAAAAGTCTCATCAATGATTGAAGGACCCACTTTTTTGTTTGTAAACTTTTTTTAAGAAGAGAAAATTAATGTATATTCCCCTATTTGGAAGCTGTGAGTGGCAGCATTACCACTGCAATTTGTTTCAGCTGAAACCGTTTTACCGATTTTGTTATTTTGAATATTGTTTTAAGAACCGATTCCTTATTTTGTTGTTGATCTGTCCATTCCGTGAAACCACAAATAACCCAACGGCCCACCCGCTTCCTTTTTGAAGCTGCATCAAATTTGTATTACTTTTTTAAATTTCAGGAATAGCATTTCTTATAAATGATGTTTCAGAAGTTCAGATGCTCCATCCAGCTAGCAGATGCCACACACTTATATTATTTTTGAAAACATGTTACCCTGAGATAAGAGTTCACAAACTTATTTTGATCTGTGGTTTAACCATACCAATCGATGTTCAGCTAATACATAACAATGTAAACATTCGATCATAAATTTAAAGCGTGATCATTTCATGTTGGACAAAACTGTAACGAAGATATTTTGGTATCCCGATGAGAACTTAATATGAAAGAAGTGTCATCTAGCAAGCACTCATTGGCCGAGTATGGGCGGGTCTTGTTCTTGACACAGGTATATCATTATTGCAAACAACGACGGATAGGTGCATGGTGTGTGATCCTGCTCCGATTGCAGTGTTCGTGGGTCGTGTTCCCGCCGTTCGAGCGCGAGAACAATAATAAATTCTCCGTCAACTTGAGAACAGACCGCCCGAACTCTCGGAGTCGGACAGCCATTGCGTGAGAAAAGGTTTCTGACTTTGTCAATAGGGGGCGCTGTTTCTTATGTTTTTTTTCTCATGTAGAATTGTCGGTGTTTTTATCCCAGATTTTCTCATTACCAAACAAACTGTGGATCGGGGAACAAAGTTGTTTCGATATGGTACACCATAATCTACATGTCTGTGAAGTTTTATAAAATTCGGCGAACCAGACCGCGTGGCGAGCGAAAGAAAATGCCTTGTCCTACGGACTATAGTGGCTTATTTCTGGACCACTGATAATGGGCACACACGCACACGCGTACACAGGCTTAAGATTTTTTTTACTGGCCCCAAAAAATATTTCCTTAATATTTCTCCCAATTGCCCCCCACATTTTCTTTAGAGTCTGGCGCCGCCACTGCACCCTCCCCTTGGTAGTACTCTCCCCACTTTCAACGCATCCTCCACTGACATGCATGGAATCCGAGTTTTTTTTATACAGCACACCGAAGATCCACAGCCTGCTGCTATCTCACAAAGATCGGCAAACCCTAATATTACAGATCATGTGTAATTTACGTTTGTAATTTACGTTTTATTATATAGCCAACATGTATATACACATACATAATTTTCAAGGACACGGTACGACCCCGAGAAAAAAAAAATCGCTCCCCGGGGGGGGGGGGGGGGGGGGGGGGCCGGCGGCGGCTTTACAATCCCCCCCAAAAGATTATTAATTAAAACAAAATTAAGACCCCCCCCCCCGCAATCAAATCCCGGGTGCGCCACGATCAATGTTATATACTCTTGTAATATGAGCTGGTATACTCCGCAGTCCCAGCCATATGGTTGAAAGCGTGCCAGTTGTCAGGCAAAGCGAATACGATTACGTTCTTAGACGCTGTAACAGAACGTGAAATTCGTGAAACCCCCCAAAACAGCCTTTTTGAACGTTGTGTTTCTCAGAAAATATGCTCAGTATGAATGAAATGTTAAATTATAACGGAAGAAATCATTCTAAACTTCATGTCAGTGAAAAAAATCGCCGTCATCGATGCCGAAACGTCAATACTGGTTCCTGGTAAAGCTGACCTTCAAATCTAGAAGAAATCGTTCGAAACCCCAAATCTATGTATTTATACCAATTTCTAAGAATCTACTCAAGTTGTTATTTCACGAGTAGTTGAACACTTATATCATCTAAGTATGATACGAAATGTAGCTAAATGTGTTGTTGCTAACGCTTGCGTTACACCTTGAACCGTCTCTAAAGAAAATTTCGTCAAGGATTGTTTTGCTACCCAATGCATTGCATTGTTCAGCAAAGCGCCGTATGCGCTACGGTTGACCGATTTCGGCCCGGGAACACAAGAAGACGGGCATATTAATTAGCATCACTCGGCGTGACTTGGCGTGGGTCTCGGTATCGACCAATGGAAGCCGGCAAAAAGGGTGATATTTATCAATTAATAACTCGTGAAGGAGGCTTTTATGCAAATTTTTACTGCAATTTTTACAGAATATTACGTGAACAAATTCAAACCGACAGAACAAACATAATACAGCGCCCACGTCGAGTCAGAATATAAACAGATTGATTTAGAGCATTTAAATACGGGGTCTACCTGATGTTCCCCAATATCAATGTTCCCAATACCTGTTTTTCCCAAAATCCTTAGGGTTATGGTTAGAGGTTAGGAAACATAGGCACTGGGGAACATAGGTATGCACCCTTTTAATACTAAAATCCGTGTTGCTTTTCTTACTTCGCTCAATAAACATGCAACTTGTTGAAGGCATATTTTATCGAATGAACAAAATTTGTCGTTATTTGATTTGATAGAATCATCAAAGAGAAAAGGAAAGTATTTATTTTTTATTACAAATATAAACATTTACAATGATGACTTTTAAAAATGCTTTCTACATTAACATAATTCGTGATGACAGGGATAAGGTCGTCAATTTAACAAAAAGTTTGAAAATTGGATGAAGAGTCTGAAAGGTGCGTCTCTTTCTACACTGATCATGTAATTTTCTCGGACTTAACAAATATGATTTCAGACAAATGTCTGACAATTTTTATGTCCGTGATAATACAAATGTGTTTGTAAGCTACATGTTATGGCCCCAATTTCCATTAGTAATCATGGAAAATATGAACTTTTCTACATGCGAAATATATTGGACAAGTTTCTGTTTTTTTAATTTCTTTTCAGGTAACCCCCATATTCATCAAGGAAAGAACTTATTGTGTGTGTGTGTGGGGGGGGGGGGGGGGGGCGTCCAAATGTAGAAACTCATATCAACAAGTACATTTGCAGCACTTATTGCACAAGTAAAATAGGGCTCTGTTTTACGACTCTCCTGTCCATATGATTTGTTTATAGTCATGATTCTGTGCTGACATTGCCAAGGAAATTCTGCACTAACACGAAGCACACAATTCTCAGTTATGGCATGCATGCATGTGCAAGCCAACTTCCTCTCAAACCCCTGAAATAGGCTAACCATTTTTCACGAATCTCTTATATTTAGTATATATTTTTCATACTTACAGCAAGCAGAACCATAAAATATGTCTCTGCAAATCTGTCAGGGAACTTCCATTTACAAAGCTGGTTAGCAGACACATGACCTTCTCTTCAGGTCTGCTCAGTGCTCACTCTGGAAGACAGCACTTGGGTGTTCACAGGTTATTCAAAAACATGCCTGGTTTGGCATCAATCAACACCATGAAATTGTATAAAGCTAACTTTATCCAAAACTAAAACAAACATTTCCACAAGCCATAAAGCAAATTTCTAACACTTAATGTGTTTCCCATGTTACCACTGTCAAGAGGATTTTGATAAGTAGACACTTGATGTTACTGAGAAAAAACAAGGTGCTACTAGTTTCACACGATGTCATTCACAATGCAAGAAATACACAATAATTTATTTTAAGAACTAAAAAATGATTAGCCAATTGGCATAACTAGGGTTCATTTTCTTGCAACATACAACTGAGGGTGCAGAAATTGTTTTAAATATCCGTAGTTACGACAATTAATAAGTCTTGCCAGCACATCCCTTATTTAGTTCTAAAATGGTACAAAACAAAACAAGCATTTTGAAAGAATTACAAACTGAATACAATATTTCCCTTATGCATTATCCTCGATTCTGTTCTCATGTTATATAGCAGCATGTACATGTACCCTCCATATTAAAAAAGCATGCTTTAGTCTACAACACTTGCTTTTTAAACAGATGGACAGACTTTTTGATACTTTCATGCAGGTACATGTATATGTAAAAAATAAAGTATAAAATCCTTTTACAAGGTATTTTCAAGAAATGGGAAAATCTTAAAATGAGAAAAAGGAGCATAAAATGGCAATGTCCTGGCAATATCAACAAATGGGAAAGCCTCCATCGTGGCCAAGACTGATCATTTTGGCCAGGATGTTAAAGTCATGTAAATATAATCATAGTCCTTAAATACTTTTACTGCATGGATGCAAAACAAATTGCAGAAAATGTGATTGAGCTCTTCAAACAGTTTTCAACATTAATGGGTTGCACCCATCAGGATGATATTAATTTCATGGCAAATATGAGCATATGAGAGTGAATGCTAGTCTGCTAATTGTGTCACTGTCATACTATGAAGACATCACTCAGATTCCCATTTGCTTTCTGCCAAAACTTGTCCTCATTTTTGCTTCATTGTTACCTGCCCAATTACAACTATAAGTTTGACAGCACTCAAACATACAGTATACTTAAGACATTAAGCAAAGTTGCAGGCTTGTTTACACCTGCATTTATACACCTGAAACATCAGACACAAATGTATACGTTGTTTACTAATACATGTGCATGTACTATGTATTGTGCGATTGATCACTCCCTGATATCTCCTGTAACCTCTTGCGATAGTCCTCAGCTTCTCTTTCTTTAGCTGCAAGTTGTTGTTTATATTTTTCAGCTTGTTTTTGAGCCTTTTGTAACTGTCGATGCAATGAATCTTCATTGGTCTTACCCGTCTTCAAATCCTATCAGCAACACAGACAAAAATATCATGGTTAGGCAATGATGGAATCAATAAAATGACAAGCAATCCAAACTGACTGATTTTTGAACTTATTCTTTTATAAATATGTGGATCTGGATAGAAATTGTTCACCAAAATTACCTAGAACCTGGAAAATGACAAATTGAGCAAACATAACAGGCATAGGGCCTACATTGTAACTCAACTTTAAATATCACTCAAAGGACTTTGGTGAAATAATTACTCATTAAATGCATCCTTAACCAGTGACGGCGTCATACTTCTTGAAAAAGGGGCAAGGGAGGGGCTTAGAAACAATGGGGGGCATAGAAAATCACGAGCCGTGGGAAAACAAACAGGGAGGGGGGGGGGGGTTGGATGTCATCTGATGCTTTGCAAGCTGTTGAAATCATTCATCTACAAATTTATGTACCTACAGCTGCATTTTAGTGCCATTTTTGAGGGTTTCCAGTCATAAACATACATTTAATGTACAGTTCAGTATTGACTTTGAGTCTCTATTTTTCTCTTTACTTTTTCTTTTTTGTCCCTCTAAATTTCCCCCTTTTTTTCTTGTTTGATTTTCTTGGGGGGGGGGGGCAAACCGGGGCAAGGGGTGCCACTGCCCTCTAGTGACAATTGTGAATGTGGCCAAAAACTAAAAGAAAACATGAAGTTGCTGAATATATCTAAAATACATTCTGTACATTTATGTGTACCTGACATTCGAGACTAGAAGATAAAGACCTGGTTAACTCATATGAAGGAAAACACACAGCACAGCACCATGTGGCAGAAATGCCCAAACCTCACGTTTCTTCAAACCTCCTCTTGTTAAAAAAATAAGTGCTTTTGAAAATCCATTTTGTTTTCAATTTATGTATTTATTATTTGTTTTAATGGACTCTGAATTGTTAAAACATTCACAGAATCTCTAGAGGAAATATATTCTTCTTTTCTCAGGTGCCTTACCAGGTGCCTTACAAATGTAATAGGAACCTTACACAGCATTTGAATTTTTGAAGAGGTATGGACTAGCAGACTCCTACTTTAGTGGAGGAAGTCTGTAGCGCTAACAGGTACACTTAGAGCTGTCACTAATACACAACTGTATCCACACCTAAGAGGCAAGTACCAAGACCTATATCAGTCCTACACTTACATGAATCTATGGAGGTAATGTGGCTTGTGTGGCTTAAGATGTACAAAAAGTCATGATCAATCAAAAAAGTCTGTTATGAGGGAACCCATCTCAACATATTTAATAATGAGACCTAGCAGTCCAAGTCAGGTTCAGTGTTTTGATTTCTAAAGAAAATGGAATTTGTATTTATTCATGTGTTATACGCCATTCCTGTTTGATGGTTGAAACAAAATTAATACACATAAGAGCAGAATGTTACAACTTAACCCGTGTTCCCATTGAGCTTTTTTGGTTAACGTACTGCAACTTTTCTGTGGAATGACAAAGTTATTAGTGCAAAGAGGACAGACGGTAAACTAACATCCCTGTCAACTTACCGCAACCGTGATGTAAACTACCAGGCCGAAAGTGGTTGCGGAAGATTTCCACGCAGCCATGGTAAGTTATCTATGACGCTGGAAAGTCCAATGGGAACAGCCCCATGCTGTAAAACTACCGCCACTATTATGCTGTATAACTATTTGCAACCAATTACACTTCCTGTTATGTGTCACTCCACAGAGAACAATGATAGCATACGCGCGGAAATGAGAAAGGTTCTGTGTCGCATTATTGTGTATAGTACAGCAAGCGACTGTGTAATGGGTTTCTCTTTCAGTGTTTTTATCATTCTAAAATGACTCCTGAATGCAACCTTACATTGTTGTAGGTTTTCTTCTTTAATTCTGATTAACCCATTTTTGCAATTTGGAATAGTATCTTTCGGTAGAAAATGTGAATTTCTCACGGCCTTTCAGTTGATCAACTTGATGTTATGCAAATCAATGTGGCTTTGTGAACTCACAGTGTGAACGATGATCTTTTTATTGACAGTTTCTACATAGTTCTATTACTTAAAGTACTTTTGATAGCAAGTATTCAACAGAACAACAAAGTTAGCAAGATGAGCCAGGATTGCACACACTGACTCTTTTTCTTTATTGAATTACAAGCTATTGTTAAACTTAGGTTATACATTTATGATGTTAAACTTTCATAGTTGTTGAAGGAAGTAGTTTTTAATAGAATGTTCAGTGTGCCTGACATAGAGAGACATGACCTTGCTGAGGGAAGCAAACTTTTGGAAAAGGGTTCAAGTGCAACCCTCGGACATACAAACACCATGGAATACATCACAACAGACATAGTTGAATGCCTAAATAACTAGTTTTGGGAATGAATGCATATTTAATGTCTTATATTTCATTTTCAAACATTAACTATATAGTGATCAGTGGCGGATCCAGAGAGGTTTGTGCCGGGGGGGGGGGGGGGGGGCGCAACGGCTCATTCAAGTGAAAAATGGCCTTATTTTACAAAATTTTGGTCACTGCCGGGGTGGGGGGGGTGGGGGGGGTGGGGGCGCGCACGCCCCCGTAGCACCCCCCCTGGATCCGCCAATGGTGATGAGGGTCTCAAGACCAAGTCTTGGTCTCAAAGACCATCTCTACACTTGTTTCAGACTCAGACTTCAGTCTCAGACTTCGGTCTCCGCCCAAGACCAAACAATCCAAGTAAAAAAAACCTTTGTTAGTTGTTTTTCTTCATCAGTACCCTCGTGTCATAGTATGGGCATCATTCACGAGTTGGCAATTTTTGTCGAGTTCCCTAAACGTATGTCATTAAGTGTTAACTGTTCAATGGGATGGCACCAGACTATTTATGCAGGCACAATGCGGCCTTATTTTACTGTCTTTTTTTTATCTGGCTTTAAACATTAGGTAATTTTTAATTACAAATTTAATATTATTCATTGAAGCAGACTGAAACTTGCTTTCATTTCTGTTCCCAAGTTCCAAAACTTAAAATTTTACCTCACTTTCAATTCAATATGGCAGACTCGTGAATAAGGCCCATATGGTTGACAGAGAGACAAACGTGAAGCTGGTGCTGAAGCCCCAATTTGTAGTAAAGGCCCTATGACAGACTTGGCATAGACTGTTTCCTGCCCTGCCCCATTAGACACGGAAGTCAGAGCAATATTGGAGGGATCACCAACTAGTCTAGGATCCAGCATGAGTAATTCATCTGTGCATACATCACAACTAAAGTAAAATATAGCAAGTAAAACTAAACGTACTTAATCTCTATTTGATAATTAATGTCAAGTTTGCATTGTCAGTCTCAGTCTTGATTTGGGGATTACAAGGTCTTGGTCTGAGAGGTGTAGGTATTGGGTTCAGAGTGAAGATCTCAGTCTCGGTCTTGGTCGTTGAGTTGGAGGACTTTACTACATCTCTGATTAATTTACATGCAACATGACCTAAACATGAAACAAATTTTTAAGGACTATGGAACCCTTCGATAAAATAAGTTGCATTTGACCAAAGGGTTTATTCCAGAACTTGGATTTTTAATTAAGTTTGATTGGGGCAAATGACCACTTTATGAGGAGTCTTGCAAGTGAACATCTGAACAGTGAGCAATGTCATACATTATTGTGGATTGGCAAATTATATCTCGAGTAATGCTGAGCCCACTATCTTTGGGTTTACATGTTGGACGCCGTTTTGGACTACTGCTATTTGTGCTGACTTAATTGGAAGGTAACAGTTTTCAAAGGGCACTCGCTGTTTGTGGAAATCGTCTCGGCTCACAGGAGCTGAATCTTTGTGTATAGTAAGTCTAAATAAATTAAAACTGGTCGTTCATCACTTTCAAACTACTGTACATTTTCTTTTTTATTAGTCAGGAACTTTTTTAAATGACCCATATATACATTTATATATAAATAAATCAATTTACCCCCTCAAGTAAATGCAAATACTTTCCAGTTAAAGCATTTGCTTCATTTCTATTCATTCAGATGTAAGGGGTCATATATAATTATCAACATTTTCAAAAGTGTACAAACATACACTTTGGGGAGGGGGATAATGACCAATGTACACTTTCAAAACGTTGTAAAAATGTTGATCAATATTTTTGGTTCAGTATTGTTTTGTATTGGCCTTTCAGAAGATCTTTCATAAAAAAAACCCTGATTACCTCAACTTAGTGAACTACAGACCAGCTCGCGATTCATGGGTGCAGCTGTATTTGTCATTCAGCTACACCCTAGTGACAAACATACGCAACGCAGCCCTTTTCATCCGCCACTTTCTGTAGCGATGAATTGCGCGCGTACGGCAAGAGCCTCGTGAGACTAGCATATCTTTAAGACGCTAATATTCCATAACTCATTGCGGCGCTATGAATGAACTGTTCATTCCAGGATATCTTTGAAAATCAACATTTTGGAGAGTACTCTTTCAGAGAGCGGGAGGAGGTCTGCCAAAAAGAGTATGTTTTGTTCGCTTTTGAAAATGTTGATAATTAGGGATGACTCCTCATTAATGCTTAAAAACTGTAGTAAAAGTAAATGCTTGTTTTTCTTCATATGAGCCAAAGTGGTTGCTTGCGTTGCACTATGCATGGATTGAATGGGATCACTGAGGGAAAGAAAAGAGAAGGATGTGCTGTGAATGTGTGGATGCACTGTTCTGCTGATGCCTGGCCACAGACTAGGACCTGTAATTTATTCGCTCAGTATTTCATCACAAAAGATAAAGTAGAAACCATTATTCTCAAACTAAATATTGAAATTCTCACCTGTAAATCTTCACCGATGAAGGAAATTGTCACCGGTGTGGAATCACAACTGCTTTTATTTAAAATGATTTCTGGTTCTTCCTCGCTGTTTTGAACAATAGTAATAACTTTCTGGGTTGATTCTGAAGAATGTACGTCCTGAAAAAACAAAATAACATGTAGGGTATTATAATAAACACTTGAAAGGTATTAGAGCTGATTGACTATACTATATACCTATAGTACATGCAACATAGAAAGCTGGCAATTAGACAACTGTCTAAGGTACTGCAGTCCTATAGGTCTCGTTCAAATGACGTCATTTCCTACAGACCAACCGCGTGCATCGGCATTTTGAGCATCAAATTGCATAACGCGCATTGGCTGCGTCGTATTTCGAAATATTTCGGGCAACAAGGGCGTGTTTGGAACATTTTTCCACACTTCACAATGCGTGCTTGACTGCGTAAACTGCTGTAAACTGTAAACTTGACTGCTTGACTGATTGCAGTTTTCCTACAGAAATGGCCATCATTGAGCGAGCCCTATTGAATGCACAATCAGTGACATCTGCATGTATCTCATGTGTAATGGCCCATGACAAAAACCAGGCTGTTTCAAGTAAGTGACATTCGACTAGGGAAAATACTGTCATATTTTCTTTTATCACTGTTTACATATTTCTCAACCTTATGACAGCACATTAAGTCTTCCGGTGGGAAATGCCTGGTTTTCACATGGGGTGTCACATATATTTTTCTATTAACTCTGCATTTATCAATTTGCAGTCACAAAAGGAGCCATCCAATTTAAGTGTCAGTAGATAGAACAGAGTTAGGCAAGCTTTGTGGATGAATACATGTGTTGTACACCCTCAGCTCTAAAAATGTAAAACATTACTACTTTCAATGAAGGATACTTGAGTGCCATAACAGTAATTCTTCCAGAACTTTGTATAAATGCTACGGCAGAGAGAACATATATATGAGGCAACAAAGTTTACAATCAAAAACCGACAAGACTGATGTCAAGTCAGGCACAAAGATATCAGGAGGGGACACTAGCTGTCGCCCACTGATGCTTCATCTGAAAGGAGCCATAGGAGACATGCCCCCAAGGCCCCAATAGCATTGCTATATACCATGGTTATAGATTGTTATTTTTTGGTCGAGAACCGAGCGCATGATGTGCCACAAACACACATGTACTGTGTCAGGGGTGTATACCCCATGGTAAATGAGTGATGTACCCCACAGGATACATTACCTTGATCGTCCCCACTGGTGAAAGTGTTGAGGGTAAGAGGCTTCAGACAGTGCGCACACGCATGCACGCAAGTCAGATGGACGTAGGCGCATTTTATCTGATGAACGCACATAGACCATGGTCGCAGCTGTGATTGATACGTAACGGGGCAGGGATTAATGGACTGGTCTATTCTGGGAAAAGGTTAATTAATCTGTGTTCCTGTGCAATGAAAAAATATCACGGTGCAGTAATCGCGGATCTTTTCCAAATAATACTGCACGGCAACTGGAGCAAATCCACAATTTCAGACGCTTGGAATCTATTACCATGGTATAGCAAAACAATTTTTACCTGCCGTAATTGGGGTCCATGGGTTTTGTACACACTCAGGTGCGAATGGCACCCTCAGGTGTCCAAAACACCATGGACCCTGTCACAGCCGGTAAAAACTGTATAATGTCTAGTGCCCCCCAAAGTGTGGCATTTTAACTTATCTGATTGGAAATAACTCGAGATCATTTCTGCAAAATTTTAAATAATTTGAACAAAAAAATTTGAACCTATGCCAGCCTAGTTGAAACTTAAAGTTGGAACAAGTTAAAATGTCAACTGGTTTCAACAGATTTCTTAAACTTGAATTAACTTAATTCTGATGGAATCAACAGAAACAAGTTGAATCCAGATGAACAAACCAGTCACACACTGGTAGTTCTTATTGAGTCATAAACAGGTACCAGTTCACACCAGTTGAAGGAACCAGTTACCACCTATGGAATTGTACAAGTTCCAACCAGTCAAACAAAGTAATTGCCAACATGTACCGTAGTCAAATTGAATTTATAACGATGCATCACATTTTTTTCAATCTTACATGGTGGAAAGGGGCCAGTGTCCATGAACTTGGGACTCTTCCCAAGTCTGATCCAGTCTTTGTGCTTATTCAGACAGCTGCAAAAATGTGTGATCATAGCATTGAATTTGTTTTAAGAACACAAACAGACAATGAGACTTGATAAAATGATAGACCTTCATGTCTTGTTTCTACCAAAGTACACTGCATTGAAAGGTTTCACATATAAGTGTATGTGCACGCACACACACAGATCTGGTGAGTGAAATATATACATGTACATGCAAACAGTACCTTCAGTTAATTACGAAACAGATTGGATTTGACTATGGTTAAAAGGAATATACAATGTATACAACATTTGCAAACATCAAAAAACAAAACTACCAAATTATTACGAATACCTTACTGGCCTGTTAGTGAATGACAGTGTAAAGCATCCTGTAAACTCATGGCACCTGGTGTGCGGACAATTTGTATCAATTTCCAATGTTGGTCAGCTGACCAGCGTTGGAAATCAAAATGTTTTTTTTTTTCAAATACTGCCCCCAATTTACCATATTTAATTAGTCCAAATTTTGTTTGCAATCGATTACACAGCAGAACAGGTACAAGCCACTTAGACTGGTTACCTGACCTTACAATTCCCAAACATCTCTAAATTTCTTCGTTTCATCTTAAGTGGGGTCAGGGAACCAAACTACAAGAACATGATTGTTTTTCTTGGTTTTTCCCAGCATCGACGATCACAAAACTTGAAAAGCGTTGGAAAACTGTTTTTTTTTCAAATACTGCCCCCAATTTACCACATCCAGGCCAAAAAAAAAATAGTTCTGCTTCCAATTACATGGCATTTGAAAATAAGGTAGGTAGGTTGGGAATTTTTTTGTGTACGATCATATGGAGGCATCTACATTGTAATCAACGGTAAAAGGTAAAAATTTATGGTTTTGGGTGTTTTTTTTCTCTCATTTTTCCCATAAAAAAAATCAGGGTAGGGGCTATCAGAATAGGGTAGGTAGGCAAACCGGAAGCACAAGAACTTTTTTTTTTGGCCTTTAAGTTAATCTGCATTTTGTTTGCAATACTGCTCCTTAGGTGGGGTCAGGGAACCAGACTACAACAATATGATTGTTTTTCTTGGTTTTTCCACCATCTACAGACACAAAACTTCAAACAAGTCAGTGTAACAACATTTTTTATATAAAATACTAACCCCCAAATCCATCCTTTTCTGAAAATTACAGCAAAAACAAATGTTGTATATTCCCTCAAACAACACTATTCCACATGGAGTCATGTACTGGAAATTTGATGGGCATGAATCTTTTACCAGCCTTCATTTTAGATTTTGTACATGTATCTCTCCGGATGGCATCTTAGAATGTCCTATAAATATCTTGGCTTTATTCAGTGGCGGCGCCAGACTCCAAATTTTTAGGGGGACGGGAGGGGGACATTTGGAAGGCAAGAAAATATTTTTTTTTATGGGGGGGGGGGTAGTCAAAATATAATCATATGATATCAAAAATCTAAGGGGAAAGTAAGACAGAGCTCAATAACTAAATAACAACTAAAAGCCTGTGAACGCGCATGCGTGCCCATTGTCAATGTAGTGAGGTACATGTACCTTAGTGAAAAAATCATGACATGGTGGACAAAAGCACCATTTTTTCAAAGCATCTCCATAGTATACCTTTTCGAAAAAAAAGTAGGATGCAAACAAATTAGATTATGGGAAGGGCAATATATGACGTCATTATGACGTCATCAGCTATTTATTACAAGAAATAAATATAAATTGATAATATCTTTAGAACTACAAACATCACAACAATAAATGTGGTATCAAATTAAATGGGACAACAAGATCTTTCATTTGAGTGGTATGTCAGTGTGATGGAATGTAGTAAAGGGTGTTTTTTTTGGCAAAAAAGACATTTTTTTGGGTCAAAAGACCTTTTTTTATGGGGGCTAAAATCATGGATTTTTGGTAGTCATTTTGGCACCTTGCTTAACATGCAAACCGTATGTGTTATTGTGAGATTTTGTTTTAAGTCAGAGAGAAAGGTTCAAATTCTATGCCAAAAGAGTATTTATAATTGATTATTAGTATCTAAAATATTTAAACTTGTTCCAAAGATAAGTGACATAAGTTACCATAAGGAAAGTTACCACCACTTTAGGGTATGGGCCAAGATTTCCTGTATTACCCTGATAATACATACTTTAGTTATCAGCAAATAGATGGTATACATTACCTTTTTCAATGCATGTCCAGTTTGAGGAGACTTTTGAATCAAGACCTCCAATAAATTATGCATGTTCTTTTTATATAACAAAAATTTAAAAAGTTTAAACTGTTGTGCAATTCACCCCACAAATAAAAGCTTTCCACTTTGTATTCATTATGATAAAACTGACTATGTGACAGTGTTCAAAGAAAAGTTTGACTGTTGAAACCAATGCATTAGTTGTGAGACTCCTTTTTGCGTCTCAAAGTGCCTGAAAATGTAACAAAAGTTGTCGTGGAATTGCCCATAAACAATCAGAATTAGTTGGGAGTAAGCCTAATCCATATGGGGTCAAATCGGTTAGGATGTGCTGGGGTGAAATGGAGAAATGAGCAGCCCATCTTCACTGAGGTACTCCATTGCATAGCACAGCGTCTCAACATTAGCCTCTTCCAATAAAATTCTAAGGACCAGTTCTACAAGGAACTCAACACCAGTGTTGTAGTCGAGACCGGATAGTCCGAGACCGAGACCAAGACCGAGACCTGAAGATTCGAGACCGAGACCGAGACCGAGACCAGCCCCTTCAAGGCGGACCGAGACTGAGACCAATATGGTCCGAGACCGAGACCGAGACCGAGACCGCTGATAATAAATAACAATAGTCTAAATAAAAAAAACAAGACACGTTATTATAGTTGAAAAATGTAACCTTTCTATTCACAAAGAATACAGACCAAAATTTTGACCAGTGGCAATGTTGACAAATTGATACATGACACCTTACTTGAGCAAAAAGTAGTTACACTTAAGAAATATGGGCTTTGACATGTTGTCTGCACCCAATCGCGACAAAAGTAAAAAGTTAAAGGTAGATGTTTCATCTGTTATAGGAACTCGGATCCTAAACTCCACAGTCACCCCCTTGGTTTCAGCTATGACTTCTAACGGATATTTAAAGATGCAATTTTAATTTTACATTGCCTTATTTTTCCTAAAATAAATTTAGGACTTAACTTCTAACAGGACTTGTGTACTTGATTTTAAAAAATGGGAGCTAGAAAATGTTGAATTAATTTTTAAATTTTTGTCATAGAATGTGGACTTGTACATGTAGACCCACAAGTTGCGAGGTGGTAGCCAGAATGTGCCAGATATTGATTTTTAATTTTTTTCTGAACGGGATTTTTAATTTTTGAGGAATAATGGGGTACTTTAAAATGAGCAGCCAGAAAATTGGGTCTCATCATACACTCTCATGGCAACAGTGAGTGGTAACTGGTAAGAGTGTGTGAGTTCAAAGCTGGAAAATCAGGTAGAAAAATTTACTTTTTCTTCAAAATACTGTCCCAAATTAAAGAAAACATTGTGTGGGGTCGAAAATATAACTAATTTGAAGCACCTCATTTATTATCAGAATACAAAATGCAAGTGATTACGCCCACAGGGGTGGGCTAAACTACACAGTCCCCGAAAATGGTTGACCCTTATTGCATAAATTGTTACAAGTTTATACTTTGCTTTATGTGGCCGACTCAACAGATAAATGCCGAACTTGTTCCAAATCGTTCAGTGACTGGTACTGCTGCAGTTTTACATGTACTTTGGGGACTTTCCAACGTGCAGTCGAGTCCAAACCGACCGCGATATATAACAAGCTTGATCTACGGGCTAGCAAATGTTTTAAATAACAACGGCACTGAACGAAGTGAACACAAAGTAATCGATCGAGCTGTAAAAGCTACATATTGCCGGTCTCGACCCGAGACCAGCCAAAATATCGAGACCAAAGGGGACCGAGACCGAGACCAAGACCGAGACCACAGCTTCCGAGACCGAGACCGAGACCGAGACCAGCAAAAAGTGGTCTCGAGACCGGTCTCGAGACCGAGACCGGTCTCGAGACCTACAACACTGCTCAACACCACCATCAGAGGTATCCCTGTTATAAAACAACTGTACCTACTGGTACTTGGCGAATTCAATGCCTGAGTGGGATCTGACCACAACTCCTGGCCCAGCTGCATCCCTCACTTTGGCATTGGGAAGCTAAATGAGATTTGTGCAACAACTAGGAAGGCCCTGTAGTGCCCTTGTAGTGCTGAACAGATTGCAGCTGCTAGCTGAATGCATATCCCCTGAGAGGCAGGGCGGTTTCAGAGCTTGAAGATCAACGATCCACATTGACTTCTCCATTGTCTTCGACTTACGGCAGCTCCAGGAGAAGTGCCGAGAGCAGAGACGACTGATGTACTGACCGCCGACCTAGCCGATGAAGGCCTTCGACCTTCGTCAGTAGAAAAGGCCTCTTCAGGCTACTGCAGAAGATTGGATGTCCCCAAGTCATCCAAAACATTCAACTCCATTACCTTATCAGCAATAATCAGCATTGGACATGATGTGCACAACAGCTGAGCACTGCCGAGGACCAGTTGAGGCCCTCACCACACTGGATGTGATCTGTCCAGATCATCTCTAGCAACACCTCTGCATCAAGCTTAACAAAAAGAGGGGGGGGGGCTTTGGCCCCCCAAAAAGTTTGTCTAGCCCCCCCCCCCCCCAAAAAAAATCAACGAAAAAAAAATTGCACTAGCAACATTTAAGAATGTGACGTGCATTTTGTACACTTTTAGTTAATATAGTGTGCATGACTGTAGGATTTTATCAGCGCTCCCCATTGAAAATATGACACAAGGCTCCCCCCCCCCCATTGATTTTCGGAGGCCTAAGTGTCCGGATAAAATACCGCTGTACATTTCAGCACGTCTCCCTGAAAAAAATTCTGGTTCCACCCTGCAAGCCCCCCCCCCCATATATTGGCTCTAACATCGCGCCTGGAGTGCAAATAGCTTACCAGTTCAAAAGACCATAGTGAACTTAGTGGATGCGCCAAATATATGGAGATAAGTGGAGAAACCAACCCTCCCAACCCAGACCAGACTGAAGGCATATATATATACATAACGTTTCCAGAATCATCTGCCATGGTTCGATACACCTTATGTGTATACCAGCAGAATGACTGGAAATGTGAGAAGTTCGAAGTGGTCAATGTGCCAGGACCAGCTATCATTGTGCAGCGTTCATGTCAAACCAAAACCGCAGACCAAGCTGAAAAAGATGGAGAAAGACTGGGTCATACGAAAAGTCTCCCATCACATGGACGGGTGCAGCTCAATCACAGCAGGGTTCGCTCATAAGTCTCGACGCCTCATAGGTTCGACGCCTCATAAGTCTGACAAAATCGCATCCCCCAAACAAATAAAGGCCCATAAGTCCGATGCCTCATAGGTCCGACGCCTCATAAGTCCGACGCCTCATAAGTCCGACGCCTCATAGCTCCGACGCCTCATAGGTCCGACGACTCATAAGTCCGACGCCTCATAAGTCCGACGCCTCATAGGTCCGACGCCTCATAGGTCCGACGCCTCATAGGTCCGACGCCTCATAAGTCCGACACCTCATAGGTCCGACGCCTCATAGCTCTGACGCCTCGTAGGTCCGACAATTAAATTTACTTTTATTTCTGTCCATATGACACCTCATAAGGCCGACGTCTCATAAGTCCGACAGCCATTATTAATTAATACAAACATTGCGTAAAATTTCAGAATGTTAGCGCCTCTAATTGTTAGAGTTAGCGATTACACACTGACATTAAGGGATGCACCCCCTGGATTTACCCCCTTAGCATCAACCCTTAGCATCAACCCTTATCAGTAAGCCGGGAAAATAGTCCAACAAAATATTGATGGTGAAATAAGCTAGATGCTTTGATGCATTGGAACAATCACCGAGACGACGTTGCAGTATTCAGTCTCCCTTGGGGAGCATGACGAGCGGCCGAACGTCTCATCGCCCTGATGGAAACCACTGCTTCCTTAGCATAGTCAACATTGTCTCACACTGCACTCCAAATTGTGCAGACAAAGTTGCTCCCTTCAGAGATCTTCTTTGAAAAGATGTACAATTTCTCTGGCAAAAGGACCATCAAGCTTCTTTTATAACCCTTTCACTCAGTCCTGGCTCTGATTTTCCGACCCACAGGTATAGAAACCATAGAGGATTGGGTATCACCCAGGAAGTTAAACCCATTGCATTTTCCTCAAAGAGCCTATAGATCCTCTTCCCAGAGCATATTCTCGAATATCGAAAGGAAGCTGTGGCACTGCTGCAACTTCATTCGGCTGCAACTTCATTGTCGTCACAGACCATTAAAACCATTGGTTACGATCTGGCGCAAAATCCTAGCCAGTGCACCACCCCGTTTGCAGCGTCTTAAGCTACAAGGATACGACTTCAACGATGTCTACAAACCTGGTGCTATGATGGTGATCTCAGATGCACTCGGCAGATTGCCCAACCCCGCCAAGCTCGACAACGTACCACGTGATGAATCTGTACCTGAGATACACTCGGATGGGCACCCGACTGTAACTTATGTTACGTTTTTTTTGTCCCCCTATCTTTGGAATAAGTTTAAACATTTAAGATATAAATAATAAATTACAAAAACTTTTTTGGGCAGAGAATTTGAACCATTCTCTCAGACTTAAAAAAAACAACCCACGATACCACTTACGGTTTGCATGTTAAGACAAGGTGCCAGAATTATTACCCCAAATCCATGATTTTAGCACCCAAAAAAAGTTTTTTTGACCGAAAAAGTTTTGTTTTGACCAAAAAACATCCTTCACTACATTCCATCCCACTGACATACCACTCAAACGAAAGATCTTGTTGTCCCCTTTCATTTGATACCATATTTGTTGTGATGCTTGCAGTTCTGAAAATATCAATTCATATTTTTTTCATGTAATAATTAGCTGATGACTTATGACGTCATATATTGCCCTTCCCATCATCCAATTTTTGTATCCTACCTTTTCTTTAAAAGGTATACATGGAGATGCTTTGGTGAAAAAAATGGTGCTTTTGTCCACCGTGTAACGATCCTTGGCATTTTTGTTACTAAGGTACCTCACTAATGGTCTGGAAACTTAGAAGTGCAGTCGTTTTTATTAAGACCAAAAAAAAACATTTCTATTTCCAGTTTCCCTACCTACCCTATTCTGACAGCCCCTACCCTAATTTTTTTATTGGTAAAATGAGAAAAAACACCCAAAACCACCAATTTCTACCTTTTTTGACTACACGCAGCAGCCTCCATATGAAAATACACAAAACAAATTTGCAAAAAAAAATCCCTACCTATTTAACCTATTTGCAAATGCCATGTAATCGGAAGCAAAACTATTTTTTTTGGCCTCATGAGTAATGTATCCAACCGTAGAATGATGTATAACAAATGATACCCCATGCCCCCCCGTAGCGCCGCCACTGGCTTTATTCTTTCATTTCTCTTTACCTGCTTTTGGTTCTCATCATTGCTTGATTTCTTCCACTGCATGGCTAACTTCCCAGCTTCTGTTAGTGTGTACATCTGAAGTGATTCACTACTTGTACCATAGAGAGAGTTGCTCCTACTGCTGGTGGGTGCTGTGAATAATTAACCAGAAAACTACACAATGAGCCATATTTCTGATGCAATATTATTGTGTGGAAAACAAATGTGAACTGATTTCTTCTGAGTTGGTTTCTGGCTCCATTTTAAAGTGATTAATTGAACATTGCTGAAGCGGAGCAATCTGATTTCAAACTGGTTTGTAACCTCCACAATATCTACTGACTGGCGCTTTCCAGTTTCCGTCCTATATGTTGCCAGCTAGGCTACCATTTTGCTAATGTCTGACAATTAACTTTTGTGGTTTACATGACTGTTTTGCATGCCATGTAGCAGTCAAAAACATTTCTTGTTGCCCTATAATTTTTGTCAAAAGGTTTTGGGGATTTTTGCATCAAATAAAGGAACTGGACTTGCCTATTACACATCTGTATGCATTTGATAGGACATTCAGCTTTAATGATTGCAATAATTACATGGTTTGTTGAGGGGTGAAGAGGCCTCCGCTAAAGCTGCTAATGTTGCTAGCACTGATGTAGAACTTGCTGTTGTGGGTACTTTAGTGACCACTGTGTAATGAGAAAAAGAAATAAAAATACAACATCATCTACTGAACCAAACAAACGATCATCATGGGAGATGATTTGACAGGGTTAAAATTAGACTTCCTCAAAGAAATTGGACATACATGTATGTACTTCTTACTCAACATTTGCCTCTAGGATGTATATGATGTACTTACTTAAATTAACTTCATTTCCAATTCCAAACAACAAAACAGAGAGTATGGATAACATTATACATATTGCAGTGGGAAAGAAAAAATAATTAGAAAGGCAATAAAGTTTGGAAATGGAGGGGGTCCATAAGAAGCACAGCTTGTCAAGTATGGGCCTAGGTGGAGTATGATTGTAGATTGTACATGTTGTGGTGTGATCAAACCTCACTGTGTAAATGTCATGTTTTATTTCTCAATAAAAAAGAAACAAACGTTTTTCAACGTTTCATTAAAACATGTATTTTTATCCTCTTTTCACCCATTTTTGAACGATTTTTATCATTCAATCTGCAATAATACATGACTCTACCGTCTACGTCGTCACTCATGTTAATGAATTAGGTACGTAAATGTTCATGATAACTTTTCATAATAAATGTACTGCTGACAATAATATAGAATCTTACAAATTTTCATTTAAAAAAAAACTTGAAGCTTTAGGAAAATTGGAATACACATGTGAAGATGTTTGCAAAGCACTTCAGCCCACCACCATCTGCGTGCCTAGCATGAACATCATTTCAATGTGTTTCTAATGATACAAATAGAGTTTAACAGATCAAAAATGCTGATATCAACGGAGCTTCTGTCCGAGCACAGGGATTCTGTCTGAGTTAAAATCAAAGCAAAAACACAAACGGGAGATTTATTTTGAAGATTTTCGATATTAATCCTCAATATCAAAAATTATGATATTTTGATACGATTACAAAATTAATATCGGCAATATCGATATCAAAATAATATCAAATAATCGAGTAATAATTGAGAAATGGTTTTACATGGATTCCCAGTTCATTAAATTAGAGAAAAGCTGTGAAAAAATGGAACCATTTACACTGTGAGGTTTTAACAGTACCTCAAAAATGTTTTCCAATGTACATGTATATTTAAGGTGACTCGTGACTTGCACTCAACCTTTGTGACACGTACTCGGACTTAGACTGTACCTGTATGACTTGGTACTTGGACTCGGACATTGGGAAGGGTGACTTGAACTCGGCTTGATGTTTGGTGACTCAAATACAAGTCTACCTCAGACCGTCGCTAGTGTTTTATTTGGTTCATCAGACAAAATGAATCTAATAATATAAAATATTAATTAGCTATAAACTTCTTGATCCAAATTATTAATAAAGCATCGACTTTTAAATTGCAACAAGAATACATGTACGTATAAAACATTTGTGAGAGGTTAATTCCTACCTTTGCAATTAGCCTTAGACTTGGCCTTTGCTGCTGCCGTGACAAAGTTCTGCAGTGCAGTAGATGCTGGAGTGGAACTGCTAGTAATTGATGAATCACAGTCTGCTGTTGTGATGTATACACACGGCGCTTCCTCTATAGTCACCTCACTAGTCACTCCCTGACAACACAAAAAGTTGCAGAAAACATTTCATATGACTGGACATTAGCTATTTTTTTAGTGGTAAAGGTATTACGAGTCAATTAAAAAACCTTTTATTGCACATCTAAATTCTGTTCAATAGTGACTGGGCTCTCACGTAATGAAAATAGCTGGAAAAATCAATAAAAAGTATAATACTGACAGAAAATTACTGAGGAGAGCCAGTCACCCTCCTTAAAATAAAATGATGCACCGGAGTGCAAAAACATGATAAATCTGTGGGTTTACATTCCTGCAGGGGCCCCGTACTTTAAAAATTTGACACACTCCCTGATTGATGCAGTACGGGCTGCTGGTGAAACTTTTCTTCTCAATTTTATTATTTATGTATATAACATTTAATATTTTTAAATGTTTTTCATGCTTTAATGAAGCAACTCATCATGTGCATACATTTTAGTCTGCCAAGTGTTCAACCTAAAACTCGACACAGATTTTCTTTGATGCATGACAAACAAAACCTGTACTGAGGTGTGGAACACTCTTGCATATTAACAAACACTTAAGTGTTGGTAGTGACCCTTTAACAGTGAACCCGACAGTTGTCATTTCAAACTTGGATATTCTCAATTCATGAACAATCTCACCTGAGCCAATTGTAATAAGGCGATGACCTCTTGATGATGGTGATCTGAAGCTATGTCCAATGGTGTCTTCTCAAACTAGATAATTAAATGAAAATAACTATCAAAGGTAATAAATTGCCATGCTTTTATGTAACTGTGCCTTTGCATGGTTGGTCAACTAACTGTACTGAAGAGTGACTGAAGATTTACTGTCCGTGCTCTACAACAAACTTATTATTCTTTTCTACTTACAAAGTTTGAACCTGTATCTTTTATTTTAACGAGGGGGTGGGATCTCTTCTTTCAACTGACCAATGTTAATTACATGTATTTACAGAAAAAAAATCCAAATTTTCCTGAATAATCACTCAACATTGAAAATGTAGATTCATTCCTTTGGACCTTTGACTTTTGATAGGTTGACTGCAAGGCCTCATCTACCCCTTTGAACATTCTTGGACTTCAACACACCATCTCCCTCTGGAAAACCTGGATTCACCAGTCACTGGATCGGTTAGTCATCGGTAAATTCATTTTAAGAAAAACTTTTTTCAAGCATCGAGTCAGTTGAAAACCAGCACTTTGTCAACACTACTTACCTTGTTTACAATGTCCAAACCTGCGCCATTTTCCAGTAATAATTTGATGACAGGAGCATGCAGTCGCTCAACTGCCCAGTGCAGTGGTGTCATTTTAAGCTAAATGTGAGAAGAGTTCAAAACATCACACCTGTTAAGTTCACTAAAAAAAATCCATACAGAGAACTTTGCTCCATGCATATGACAAACGAAAGTTTATTATGCACACAAAACAAAAAGAACTGCAAATTTGAATGCATTGGTTTCAAGGTAAAAGTGATATCCAACCCATTACAACATAAGGTACATGTGAAGATGCATGTTCTCTCATTTGATTATGGACACCTGTAGCATGTGCCTGTTTAACACCATGGACCCTGAAACTTGTCAACTGAAAATCTCAATGTTCTCAAGAATGCTGATTTGTGACTGTTTGATGGAAGCAGCCATATCAATCATGACCATGATAATCACGGAGGGGACAATTTGAAATGGGCTTCAGATAAAGCTAAGATAGGTGAACCTACTAATAAGTGTACATGTAAGTATAAGGGTGAGGAGGGGTAATCATTCTTTGCAAATCATTCCAACAATTTCAAAATGGTGAGGAGCCGGGCCATCCAACAGGCATTGAGAATTGTGCATTTTTTTCCCACAAGATTTATAGAAAGATTGTCAACAGTTCAACAATACAAACAAACTCTTAAAAAAATACTTATGATTTCTTTATCGCTTTAATGTCTATATATTCATGTTAAAAGTTATTTTCTATATTAATTTCTATAATAAAAAGTTTTAACTTGTTTTCTAGATTTCACCTTTAACTTTTGGCATCATCACGACTTCAATTTTAGATGCAAAATTTAGTATGCTCATAGTCTTTGTCCATGCAAAGTTAGATAAGGATACGTGTCTTCTAAATGTCTACATACATTTGTAATTCTAATGGTCCGTAATTGCCGATTTGTATTAACCTGTACCTAATCTCATGAAAATGAAAACACTTACCATGTCTTTAGCATTGATATCAGCACCATGTTCAATCAGTAACTGAACAATTTCTTTATGACCTTCTTGGGAAGCCAAGTGTAGAGGTGTCCGGTCAACCTTTGTCCTGGCATCACGACTAACTCCAGCTTTAAGAAGGACTTCAGCAGTGGGTACATGACCAGCATGTGCAGCAAGGTGAAGGGGGGATGTGCCAAGCTGTAGCAAATGAAAAAAAACATAACCTTCAACAGCTCTGTGGTAACCAATGGGCAAAAAAGTCCAGACAAATGAGTTTCATATGTAGTACTACATATAAATTCTGCATTATATTCTGCTGATGGCTGATGCATTTTCAGTGAAATTAGGCAAAACACCACTCATTTGGGGAGTGTGGCCTAGTGGTTTAGGGTCTGTGACCCACAATCTGAGGTGGGATTCAATTCCAGCTGCTGGTCATATGTTGTGTCCTTGGGCAAGCCTCTTCACGTCCACTTGCCTCTCTCCACCCAGGAGTATAAACGGGTACCGGCATTAGCTGGGGAGAAACCTGCGATGGACTAGTATCCCATCCATTAGAAATATTCTCAGTCGTTTCATGCCACTGAAACCAGAGATAAATGCCGGCGTGATGGCCATATTGGCTCGTGACAGACTTAACTACTTATTACTGATAATTACCCTCGCCCTAAACGGTCTTAAACAGAGTGATAAAAACCTCCGGAGCACACATTTATTCCCTTATTTTTATTTTCTTTAAACTAAAAGTGTGATTTTGATTGCCATACTGGTGACATGGGGACCTCTTTGGTGGTTTTTAACCCGTGGTGCCACCAACAATGACCAATTTGGACCACTCTAACATTTAGGCCTATATTGAGGTTGTCAGGGATTTACCCATATTTTGGGGGTAAACATCAATATTATCCAAAGTGCCATATGGGCTCTGTGCAAAAGTACCCCGTGAATTGTTACAAATGAAGAGTTGTAGGAGACCAGTGTGAGTAACATTCCAAAAACCATCAGTGCATGATGATGCTCACGCGAAGACGACACAGGTTTGTGCACACTCACAACTTGTGTACTGTGCGCCGTATGCACATGAACCAGTGCACGCATGTGGTGTGTCCGTAAAGCTTTTGAATGTGGTAAAAATAAAGGCCATGTACCGTTTGTGCACAGAGTCCATATGAAATCTCTGACATCCATGCATGTGTAGTATGAACCAGAGGGGATAGCAGCAACAAATCTGAAAGTCATACCTTTCAGCATGAACATGCATTTAGAGAGACCCATATCTTCAGATATTGGTTACACTGATTTTGAAGCCAGACATTGAAGATTTGGGCTGAATTTACCCAATGTAGCCTTATGCAGCCCTGTATCACATTTTTATCAAGATTTGAACACACAAAATGCACTACAAATCGAAACAAATAAACCTGCTAGGGGGAAAACCGAGGGGTAAGGTCCAATCTTCAAGGGGCCATTTCTCAGAAATGGCAAGGAGCTGGGGGCTGTGGTTTGAACTTTGTTCTTTTGACTCCTAGAAGTATGACATTCTTGATTTCTAACAACATCTGAACCAACTAACGACAACCCATTGGTTGATTTGGCATTGAATGACCGCAATGAAAGTCCATGCACCTGCGACCCAAACCAAGAGAGAAATTACCAGTCACAAGAAGTCAGCAACCAAAGAACTACCGGTACATGTATCTATCAGCTCATGGAAAAGTATGTGTAGGCTGATTTTATGAAACAATTAGACCATGATAATATGCTGTGATTGGATATCAACTATCGACAATCACATTTTTCAAAGTCCTATATCTAGAGAACTACAAGTTTGATTGGGTTGAAACTTTGTATGTACATAGACAGAGATTTGTTTTTATATCCGTTCTAATTGAGATGACGGTATCATCGTGTGATTTGTTTTATTATTGGCTGGTTTCAAACAATGAGGCCTAAAAGAGAATAATGGATGCGCCATTATCAGCGACCAGGCCCCCAGCCGGTTTTAAACAAACCTGCTTAATACCGGCCAGCAATGTTTCTTTCCCACACATTTCAGTCAAAAAGTTAAAATAAGTCAAAAATTATAACTTTCGAACCTTTTTGCTCAAAAATTTTACTGCACATTATGTGAAACACCCCTCTAGCTCTGTTTGTTCCATGTGCCACTCGTGACTAGTCCTAAAAATCTCTTTATATGGAGATAAGTGCATGCACGCGTACTGTGCGATGTGGTGCTAAGAGCAGTAGTGCTGGTGTAGTGTAAATTTAGGACTAACAGATTCATTGGTAGTATTGCGCATGCTTAATTAAAGATTGTGAACATTCAACTAATAAAAGGCTAAAATGGACTAGATTTCATAGTAGTCCAAATTCATGTGACACCGGGAAAAAGTGTTTAAAACCAGTTGGTGTTTTATCAACCTTTTAAAACCACCTACATGACAGGCTCTCATCTAATAGGAATGGGTAAACTGTCTTAGGTTTGCATTTATAAGGGGATAATAGTAGGATGGCGTAGTTATAAACGTGATGCTTAAGAGCAGTGTGGGGCCTGGTTGCAGATAATGGCTCGAGCAAAAGACAAGGGGGTATCATCGGTAGCCAGGCCCCTGATTGGATTTAAGCATCACCTTTATAACTACTCCAGTACATTATTATCCCCTTTCATAAATACTTTTTTGATAAATAAAGTTGGAAAAGTTGGAACCATACCAAGTGGGAAAGTTAAACTTCCAATGATTTTGTTCTACCATTTCACTCCATGTTCAGACCATTTCTATGGTGCGTGTTGCACACTTCATGCAGTATGCATCACAACATTTTTGATGGAATCATGTCAGTGGTTCTCAAGCACTTGATTGTAGCTGGCGTATGCAGCGCAGTATGCAGGCACTCTCAGCCAGTCTTAAATTTTGCTGATCAGTATTAAATGGTAGTTTAAGACCACCCAGTTGAGAGGCTGAGAGCTCTTGACCTATAGGAATATGTAAACTGTTGCAGTATGAATTTTATGAATTGATAGTACTTGTAAAAAATGCATTTAAAAATATCTAAATGGAAAATGCAAGTTGGCAAAGACTTACCCAATCAGTTGTAAATGGTGCTCCATTGGCCATGAGAATCTTGACTTCATCTTGCAGGCCCTGCCGAGAAGCCTCTAATAACTTCTTTCCCAGATCAACAAGTGACATCATGAGTATGATTACAGGCCGGCAACTACAAATATTTCAAAACAGGATGGCTATTTAAAAAGGCAGCACATGACACTTCAATTAGTGGCTTTCACACACGTACTGGTATGTAAAAGAAAACAATCTGTTATCACTTTAAGATCTTAGTAAGGTAATGTGACACTGATTGAATACTTTTTGTTTGCTAGAGTCTTATTAGCCTTCCTCGAGTCAAGTCGAGTCATTCTGATAAGAGACTGGAGTCGAGTTGAGTCATTTGCTCGCAGTGACTCGAGTCGAGTCATTTCTTAGGGACTCGAGTCGAGATTGTGACTCGAGTCAGACTCGAGTCGAGTCATTGTCGAGTCATTACAACTCTGAATTGTAAAGCTGCTGCACTGCGTCAGATGCCCCTTTTTGTTTTTGTTTTTTATACACCAGCAAGTTAATTACACATGACAATCTTGTAACTACAACAGACACATGGTCAGTCGACTATCGGAAAAAAACTTGACTTTTGTTCAAATACATGTACTACCCCCTTTCACCAAATATAGTTTCGTTTGCAATCGATTACACATCTGTGAACAGATGCAATCCAGCTATTCTGGTTTGCTGACCTGACAATTCCCTGACATCTTAGGTTAAAATTTGCTCTGTTTCATCTGAAGTACATGTAGCTAGGGTCAGGGAACCAAACTACAAAAACACTTTTTTTGTCTTTTTTTTTTTTCAGCATCCAAAACTTATTTGTTGCATAGAACACTGCAACGCACAAGATTGTACGAGTACCCGGACCTGCACGGCTCCTACCATTTCGCCGTGCATGACTTGGAGTACCAACGTACACTGCATGACCTCAGAAAATCAAAAGTTAAGCTCATACATTTCTTAATTTGTTAAGGTCATTTTTTCCCCTCAAATTTCTTGGCAATGCAAGATTCGACACTAGCGTGAATTTACAGAAAGCTTTGTATGCAAGTACTTATTATACTTGTGAAATGATGTGCCACATGACAATTTCTAGAGTATTTACGCGAGGATGGAGCAATGCCACGTTCACTTCATGGGGGTAGCTATTGTTAAACATGCCCAACTGTATGGTCAAACTATTGTCAGGACTAGTACCCAACTGTGGATGAGCCATACATGTAGTTGGCGCAGTGGCACAGTTGGGGTTAGCTCGTAAATTTGGGACCTAAATACTGTGTACGAGTTAGGGTGTAACCAGGATAAGGCCAAGAAAAAAACTGCTTCCAATTACATGTCATTTGAAAATAGGGTAGGGACCGGTAGGTAGGGGTTTTTTTGGGCCACTTTTTTTTGTGTATGCTTTTTTTTTTTTGGGCCACTTTTTTTGTGTACGATCATATGGAGGCATCTGCGTGCAATCAAGGGTAAAAGGTACAATTTGATGGTTTTGGGTATTTTTTTTCCTCGTTTTCCAATAAAAAAAATAGAGTACGGACTGTCACTAGTGTCAGAATACATGTAGGGTAGGTAGGGAATCCCGAAGCAGAATTTTCATTTCTTTTTTGGCCTAACATAAAAATAGGCTAGGCCAGCATTAGACCCGTGCAAAAAAGGAGAAACTGACTGGCCCATAGAATAAATCGCTAACTTTAAGGACCCATATCTTGAGATTGAAATTGAGTTGGAAGCTGAATTTGGCTTGAGAAGCTGACAAATAACATATTTGTAACACAAGGGGATGTATAAAGGCTACAATTTGGACATATTGTGTGGATGTCCATGTAGTTTTTGGACCAACATTAGGTAGAGAGGCATACTGAGATACACATAAGCCAAAAAAAGAGTTCCATTTATGCTTCTGAGCTGAATTGGGGTCTGTCAAAATTGCCTGCACATGAACAATGTGTGTCTAACACACACATTGTCGCCCAATTTGGGGTTGTTTTTGCAGATTTGATTTTTCATGAAAATGCCAGATGCACATGAATTTTTTTATATATCTTAAAGATGCATTCTTTCCTTAAAGCCAGAGTCCATCATTTGCAGCTATCCAAAAAGTGACTAGCGTATTTATTGTTGATAAACATACTTGGTTGAAAGATACATGTAGTAAGGGGACTAAACTCCCTGTGAAATTATTCTTTCTGGCAAGCTGTCATTATGAAGAAATCAATGAAAGGCGGCCTTTCCAACGGTGCGTCTTAAGAAGCACCGTTGGAAATTTCCGTTAGTAGTTGTTTTTTTCAATCGGCGAAGCGCGCGCAAGCGTTGGCACGATGCACACGCATGCGCGGTTGCTATAATTCGTCGGATCGGTGCGCGACATTGCGTAGCTGCAATCAGCTCAGTGAGAACGTGTCTCGGGCGCTGAATTCAGGCCCAATTCAAAACATGATTCAGCAACTTTTGATTTGAAATCGAGATCCTAGAATGTTGTTTTTCTCGAAACATACAGCTGAAGCTGAGCTGAAACTTCATCAGGTTAACTGTTCAGCACCCTTCCTTAGATTTTGAGCACTTGTGTTGCTTCAAACGAACAAAATGCACAAATTACAAATGATGGACTATAAGTTAAAAAAAAAACCTAGAAAATTATATCACCTGAGCCACAGGGGATTTCCCCCCTTGTTTTTGGCCAATTTTAAGGCGGATTTCTGGCTCGGGCCATATTGGGGGTCACCCAAATCAGGGAAGACATTTACAATTGCTCTTTCTTTCACAAAAATATCAATAATAGTAGTCAGAGATAACATTAAAATTGAAATTAAAAAAAAGTTTATGCAAAGTTCCAAGAAAAGGGGCCTTCAAAATTTGAAAAAAAATGCATGTGACGCATCATAATATTAAGGTGTGAGGCATGATGGGTATTATTTTCCTATATTTCTGCTCTACTACATGTACATTAGTTGTACCCATGTATCCAAATTCAGCTTCCAAATCAATTTCACTCTCCAGATATGGGTCTTTACAGCGATTCATTCTATGGGCCAGTCAGTTTCCCCTTTTTTTTGGCAAAGTTCATTGAACTTTATGCTACCATAACACCTCAACAGAAATCAATTTGAAGTTTTGCTTTCGACCTCGTCTTTCGAATAGCCCTAGTCTATGGCCCGCACTGGAGTAGACTCTGCATGCAGAGTCTACTCCAGTGCAGGCCATAGACTAGGGCTATTCGAAAGACGAGGTCGAAAGCAAAACTGCAGAGTCTACTCTAGTGCGGGCCATAGACTAGGGCTATTCGAAAGACGAGGTCGAAAGCAAAACTTCAAATTGCTTTAGGCCATAGAACAATCTTTCCACCAAGTTGGAACAAAATCTGTGACATATGGTGCCATGTCCTGTTGAATTGGCATGGAATGACCCATCTGGGAAAGAATGTTGCAACCTGCAAAGTCTACGGAGAGTCAAGAATTTCCAAGCCAAGGTTGGACGACGTCTTCATTACATTACGACTGACGTCCAGGGTATTAATTCTACCACCATAGCGAAAAATATTCTTACATATTTTTACCTGAACGAGGAAGCTGAAATTTCATTTACATATTCCTTGTGTCCAGAATTGTGCATGCCCTGGGTTTAGAAAAGGCAAATATGTCCGCGGGCGACGTGTTTACCGAAAATAAACCGCAGATCCACGGTTTTGTTGAAAACATTTTTATTACGAACTCCCCACGTGAAGACTTACGCGTACACGCACGTGCCGTATGCAGCTGCGGACAGGGTGTGCATGCAAGCGCACGCGTAAGTCTTCACACGGGGAGTTTGTACTGAAAATGTTTTCAACGAAAGCGTGGATCTGCGGTTCATTTTTCAGTAAACACGTCGCCCGCGGACTTATTTGCCTTTTCTAAACCCAGCGCATGCACAATTCTGGACACAAGGAATGTGTAAACGAAATTTCAGCTTCCTCCATCAGGCAAAAATATGAAAAAAATGTGTTATAATTTTTTTCGCTATGGCAGCACACGTTCATACCCTGGACTCCGTTGCGTGTTACGCAACAGAGTCCAACCTGGGCTAGCCTATTTCCTAACATAATAATGGAAATAGTCCCAGATTCATGTCTTAATTATTTTTGCAATGACTGACCTTCATTGAGATGATATGGAAAAAAAGGCTGCGTCCGATTGCAACATTCTTTCCTAAATGTGAAAATAAAAATTTGACAAAGTTCTACATTTTCGGATACATGTTCCAAGTGTGGCCTTTTTTTACGGAGGTAGTCCATAGTCCGAGAAACTTGGACCCAACTTATTGCCTTTTTAACATTCGGACATGGTCTGGCGATAGGCCTAGTCCGAATGTTAAAAAGGCGATAATTAGTAAGACCATTACCCTAGGCCACATGCATGGGTACCCCTAGCCAAGGTGGACTCCCTTTCCTCCCTACGTAACAGAGGGAGTCCAGGGTATAAAGTGCTCAAAACCGGGCGAAAAAATTTATGACCAGTATTTTCAATATTTTTACCTTGTTGGAGAAGCTAATTTTTACGTCGTAGTATTCTATGTAGTCTTATCTATTGGGCTGCTGGGTTCAGAAATTCCATATGCGATGTTCACCGACCTTAATCTGGAAAATAAACTCGAAAGCAACGTTAAACTTGAATGTGTTTGTAGACTCTTTTCATCAGTTTCTCACCGCCGAGTCTATTCTAGTCGTACATGATGTACGTCTGTGCAGCATGTAGTCTGGTTCCCTAGACCTGACAATTATTCTCGACGCTCATATCACGTCTGGTCCGGGGGCCAGACTATGCAGCATGAATATGCAGTGCGCACGCGCGGTTTTGTTAGTAACCACCCTCATACGCACGCGCACTTACTTGAAGGCGCGGTCGCTAATCCAATGACCGAGCGTGTTTTCGCGCCAGTTACCAGAAACACGTTTCGGCTTTGGTCATTGGTTGAGCGTTTTCGTGACATCGGTTGGCTGGAGTGACGTCACGGTTCCAACCAAAACTAAACAAATGAGGGCGCTAGTGTGCGTGCGCGCTTTCGTACGCACGTACATTGTACATGACGTACGACTCTGGGAATAAACTGATGAAAAGAGACTACAAACACGCACAAGTTTAACGCTGCTTTAGAGTTTATTTTCCTGATTAATGTCGGTCAGCATCACATATGGAATTCCTGAACCCAGCGGCCCAATAGGTAAGGACACAGAGAAAATGTAGGCGTGAAATAAGCTTCTGTAACGAGGTAAAACGTAACAAAAATCTGGTCCAAATTTTGAGTGGTCTTGTGTAGAGAACTCTCACCCTGGACGTTAGTCGTAATGCAATGAAGACTTCGTCCAACCTGGGCTAGGGTACCCCTAGAACTATGGGTATTATGTTACTTGTAATATTACAAGTAACATAATACCCATAGTTCTAGGGGTAATGCTAGTCCGAGTAACTTGGACCCAACTTATCGCCTTTTTAACATTTGGACATGGTCTGGCGATAGCCGCCAGACCATGTCCGAATTTTAAAAAGGTGATAGGTCATGTAAGTTGGGTCCAACTTACTCGGCATGCTCGGACTAGGGTAGCCCAGGTTGGACGAAGTCTTCATTGCAATACGACTAACGTCCAGGGCAAGAATTCTCTACATGAAACCACCCAACATTTTTACCAGAGTTTTGTTATATTTTACCTCGTTATAGAAGCTTATTTCACGCCTACATACTCTATGTGTCCTTATCTGTTGGGCTGATGGGTTCAGGAATTCCATATGCGATGCTGACTGACGTTAATCAGGAAAATAAACTCTAAAGCAGCGTTAAACTTGTACGTGTTTGTAGTCTCTTTTCATCAGTTTATTCCCAGAGTCGTACGTCATGTACAATGTACGTGCGTACGAAAGCGCGTACGCACGCTAGCGCCCTCATTTGTTTAGTTTTGGTTGGAACCGTGACGTCACTCCAGTCAACCGATGTCGCGAAAACGCTCAACCAATGACCAAAGCCGAAACGTGTTTCTGGTAACTGGCGCGAAAACACGCTCGGTCATTGGATTAGCGACCGCGCCTTCAAGTAAGTGCGTGTGCGTATGAGGGTGGTTACTAAGCAAATCGTGCGTGCGCACTGCATATTCATGCTGCATAGTCTGGCCCCCGGACCAGACGTGATATGAGCGTCGAGAATAATTGTCCGGTCTAGGGAACCAGACTACACGCTGCACAGACGTACATCATGTACGACTAGAATAGACTCGGCGGTGAGAAACTGATGAAAAGAGTCTAAAAACACGTACAAGTTTAACGTTGCTTTCGAGTTTATTTTCCAGATTAAGGTCGGTCAGCATCGCATATGGAATTCCTGAACCCAGCAGCCCAACAGATAAGGACACATAGAATACTACGCCGTAAAAATTAGCTTCTCCAACAAGGTAAAAATATTGAAATTATCGGTCAGAAATGTTTTCGTTCGGTTTTGAGCACTTTTTACCCAGGACTCCCTCCGTAACGTAGGGAGGAAAGGGAGTCCACCAGGGCTAGGACTAGGGTAATGCATAGTCCAAGTAACTTGGACCCAACTTATCGCCTTTTTTAACATTTGGACATGGTCTGGCGATAGTGGGGTCCAAGCTAATACCGCGACCTGGACAACATCATCCTGTCACTGTCCCAAAAACCAACATTTTGCAACAAAAAACATCAGATTTCACCTTCAAAACGGCTTCCAAATTACTAGATATGCCACCTGAGGTACAAGTAGACATCGATAATTAAAGGGAATATACAACATTTGCAAACATCGGAAAATAAAACTACCAAGTTTTTGCGAAATACCTTAATAGGATGTTGGTAAATGACAGTCTAAAGCATCCTGTAAAATTATGGCACCTGGTATACTGTCATTTTCAAGAAAAGTGGTATTTTTGTATCAATTTCCAACGCTGATCGGCCGATCAGCGTTGGAAACAACTAGCTTTTTTTTCAAATACTGGCCCCAATTGACCATTGCACTTGTCTGCAATTGATTACAAACCTATGAACGGGTACGAGCCAGCTAGACTGGTTCCCTGACCTGACAATTCCCCAATGTATGTAAACTGCTCTGTTTCTTCTTATATGGAGTCAGGGAACCAGACCACAGGAAAATGATCGTTTTTCTTGGTTTTTATAGCATTTTCGAACCCAAAACCTCCAAAAAGTCAGTGTAACTATATTTGCTTTATATTTCCAACCCCCCAATTCCATCCATTTCTGAAAATTACAGCAAAAGCAAATGATGTATATTCCCTTTAAGATGCATGGGGCCGGCTAGGTAGTTCACAATGGTACTCACCCCCTATCTACTCGAAAGGTGTTGCCTCATGTCATAAATCTGTCAGTAACAATACAACTCATATATATGCATTATTACGAAAATGTTAAACTTTTCAATTTGTACGAAAAAAACCACAACAAACTGTTTCAATAGCAGCTGGCAAGCGGAAGCTTTTCTTTGTGCTTACTCCATGGAGAAATAAAACACCAAAGATATATATGGGAAGATCGGACAGTCCGATGAAAGAGTGAAACAAGAAATTGTTGATCATGGGCAAAGGCGCCCCTACGCGTTGGATAGGTAAAAAGTAATTTTGACCCGGTCACTTTGTCAGTGTCAAAGCCACTATTTTTGGTAAATCATGCAGATATGTAGCATTTTTATTCTCTAATTAATATCACCGCTCATGTGCTTCATGGAGAAATGCCAATATGTCATAACAAAACAGATTACTGTAAATATGCTGAGCCAACTGTCTGCAAAATGCTGCATTGAGAGATCACGGGGTGGATGGTAATATTTCCTCCAATCAATCAATCTTTTCATCCAATCAATCAATCAATCAATCAAATCTTTAATTTTTCCCAACACATGTACATATAATATTACTTAACATTTGAATTATTGTGTATGGATGGATGGAGGTCTCTAAAAAGCATAAGCTTTTCGAGTGGAGACCCCACTGTAATAAAGAACAATTACACAGTTACAATTACAAGTACAACGATAGGAGTTAAAATAACAAAAACAATTGGTACAGGGCTAGTAATACGAAATAAACTAAAATTATTTGGTCATGTGTGCATGTATAATTATTTATGACTTACTGTTCAACCGGATTTATTAAAGAAGTAAACAATTGGTACAGGGCTAGTAATACGAAATAAACTAATGGTGTTCTAAAACGGACAAGCAAACGTATTGCTTCAACTTTTCAAACGTCGTACTTCAATAAACGTCGTGCTTCAACTTTTCTAGTCTTGGCCCAATGCGTCAGTGATAAAGAGTGTGTCACAGTTGATGCCAAATTCTGTCTTTTCCCCCTTATTTTCAAGTAATTCCTTTTCTTTCTTTTACTTTCCTTTCCTCAGGTAAGTATAGCTATCGGCTACGTTGATTTTTCTGGTGTTTTCACTTTCAGTGTCTGTGTATAATGGCGTACGTAAAGAACAATACCTACGTGCGCACACAACTGTCCATAGCCTGTACGCGATGTATATGAATATTTATAAGTTGATGGAATAAAGCCGTGGAAACTTTTGTTTTTTGCGTGCGTGTCTTTGTAATTATTTGTAATGTAAATAAGTGTTGTAGTCATGTGATGAAAGAGAGAGTTACCCCCGCGAAAGAAAAAAGAATGAGAGGTTGGTTCGCAATTGCGATGCACATTTGAGCAGCTTTTTCGCTGATTTGAGACCAGGATCGGTCGTGAAGGGCCAGATGTCCAAGGCACCAAGACCCTATCTGACTGTAAGTATGGTTGATTTCATTATTTTGGTGTATTTTGATTTTTATGAAAAAATTGCATTTATTTTGAAATGTATTGTCGGAAACCTGGTTTGAACAAAAGAATAGTCTGGTGACTAAGTTGATTTGTGCTTATCACGATGAGATATCCGTTTCACTAGAGATTAGAAGTGTGATTGTAATTTAATGTTTGCTCCTTAATTCTTAAAATGATAATCAGGAGAAGATGTGATTTATTCTGAGGCATTTTGTGATGCTAGATTGATTTTATGAGGATTTGCTTCACGAATGAGATCGAGAGTGATCGCTTTGATATAGCGTTTGTCTTCTTGAAAAGACATGTTTTATTTATGATAATTTGAGATAGATTGTTGCAAGTTGCATTGTGTAATATTTATTTGTAGACGGCACTTAAACCGGAGCTGATGTGAGGCCAGCGACTAGCTTATGAGACAAGACAGGTCCATAAAACCTACATAGTCGGGGTGCCGAGCGCACCACACAGACGTCCAGGCCGACTGACGAGTGACACTCATCAGCCGGGAAGTTCGCCGAACGTGGCTGGCTGAATAGCTGATGCTCATCTGGAGCAGAGATCGTCCGACCATAGTTGTGACGATCGAGATAGCTATAGATCGCCGGACTCTCGACGAAACCCAGGACAGTCTAGTGCGACAAAACCGCGGTGGGCCGATTTAGTTAGACAGTGCACATATTCCGGAATATTTTATCGTTTATTTGTATGTTTATTGTTTAATTAGTTAGTGATCTATTTACTTGAATTAAGCAAACAATAGAGTCTTAAGTTGTAAGTTTAATTTATTAATCTGAGTTTATTTGATATACGCATATATTTTGTATTTCCGTTTAATTCTTGATCATTCCTTTTTCTTGGTACTTTTCATTGATTGGTTGATTTTTTTGAACATTTAATACGTTGGACCTATCAGCTTCCAACAGAGGCCTACAAGTAAATTCTAGCTTCTTTATTTACATATTCCACAATTCACCAGGTTGACTAGATTTACTGTATATAATTGTAATTATAATTAAAGTAATTATCATTTTCTATTAATACATTTTGTACATATTTTTCTTGAAATTTAAATCATTTTTCTGATTGAATTCTTTCTGTCTTATGCAAGTTATGCAAGTGGTTTGGGTCTCCAAACGGGATTCACTTAAATTGCAACAGCTAAACGGGTGTGACAGAGCGATAGTTGCAATGTTGTGTAGCGCCTCACATAATATATTTTATTGTACTTTCTCTCACTGTTAATATATGTCTTGCTCATTTCGCAGCAATGGGGCCGTGGCCATAACAGACCGTCTGCATAAATTCGAACAAAACGGCACTAGAAGTTTCCACTTGCCCATGGGCGTCGCCGGGATGTTTTTCCAGAGGGGGCTGCAATCTACAGCATTATTTTACACCAAAGGTCTCCTCTCGCTAGTCGCTGCCATTTTGTCTCGTCTCGCGCGCGCTCGTCGCAGTTCGTGGTCCAGATCCCAATAATAATTTTGCAATATGTACAACTAATCCTAGCAGGCCCCCCTGGATCCGCCCCTTTCACTATTGCCTTTAATGAGTCCTTATAAATTATAACAGCATGTCTTTAAAAAATTTGAAGGGTGAAGGGTAATTTTTTTTTACCAAAACTTGAAAATAATCTCGAACACGCATTAAAAAAACCCACTTTTTTCTGATTTATATACATATAGGGTTTTAAGAATGACCTGATGCAAGGCATCATTTGATTTTCCAAATGAACTGAATGGACCGGTTATAAATGTATTGTTTAAAATCTTCTTCTTTAAAATGTATCAGTTATAAATGTATTGTGTGGAGAATTTACCACATCAGACTACGCCATTTCAAACACTGACTTATCAAACAGCCCAGCTACAAGCACAAGTTTCCGCCTTGTCCAGTCGATATCAGCTTCGAAGCAGCAGTCGTAGCCGCACCAGCAGTCCATATCCTCATACGGTCTGCTGGTATCATCGCAAGTTGGTGCTAATGCCCATAAGTGCACCAAAGCCTACTCCTACACTACACCTGCCTCCTCAACCTCGAGAAACGGCCAAGGTAGCAACTAGCGGCGATAAACTCTGCTGGCCCGTCCTTGTCTAGTCGCCTATTCTACGTTACGGACAGAGCAACAAAACAGCAATTTCTCATCGACACAGCAGCAGAGGTAAGCGTCATACCATGTTCCTCTCGTGAGCATGCTCATCGTCGTCCCGGTCAAGATCTTCAAGCAGCCAATTCCTCAACCACTGCTACTTACGGAGAAAGATCTTTGACTCTGGACATTGGACTCCGGCGGCCATGCCGCTGTGTTTTCATTGTTGCTGATGTCCAACATGCAAGCATAGGCGCTGATTTTCTGCCATAGCCTACTTCAATTTCCTTGTCGATCTTCGCAATCGCAGATTAATTGATGCAACAACTACCTTGAGTGTTACAGGATGTTACAGTGCAACCGACAAGTATATAATTATTTTTTGCCGATCATGTGTTTACCGCGTTCCGCTCATTATTGTTTTATTTTGTATATACCTGTGCACCCCGCCATAGGCCTAAATGAAATCGTCCGAAAGTTTTAACCAATAACGTGTCAGTCAGTCCCTCGTAGACTTTACTCAGCCACTTAGAGCTAAGGCGTTCGTGGAGTGTTAAAAAAGCCCTTCTATCTTACGCAACAGCATTTGTACAAGGCCATGGTAATTGTCAGAGAACGCCCACCCTAATTGTTGAACAAATCACGTCAGTCAATAAAGAATAGATCGTTTTGTACTTTTCGGAAACGCCGTTTAGGGCCTTTTGTGTGTGGTATGTTGGAGTTTGTTTTGTTGTGAGAGAGAGAGAGATAGAGAGAGGCAGAAGACATTTTGACTTGTTCGAGAAAAGACAGAGTTTTGGAGAGCGATCGTGTGCTTGAGAGACCGGTTGTAACTTCCCTTGCATCAGATATCTGAGAACAGCAGATCATAGCCTTTGTGGATCCGTTTGATCCATATGGGAAGAGAGAACGGAAATTCAGTTCCGTATCTAGAATTTGGTAAATTCAGGCCAAAGTCCAGCCGTAAAACTGTCCCGGTCGTCTTTGACATTTCCTGGCAACAGTTCGCCTCCCCAAGAAAGCTGCACAGCAAATTACCGTAAGTAGATTAAATTTGTGATTTTCCTGCCTATTATATCTAAGTTCAAGTATGTCATGAACTGAGTTACAGCCTTAAAGATTAGTGATAAGAATTATTAAGTTCATTGTGAAATAACGATTCTGATTGAACAATTTCGAGGAGACTGGAGTTAACTATTTAGCAGTGAGAATTTTGATGATATGCAATTGTGAAAATTGAATTTGACGATATGACAAACTAGATCATAATCTATGTAGATATTTGAGAACTAGGAAGGTTTTGGATTTATATTTATGGCCTTTTTGTTGAGAGTATTCCCCTGTCGACTCTAACACCGCCTGGAGAAGGAGTCTACCACTGAGGTGCTGTAGACGGATGTAGAGTATTTACTGAGGCGTAGCTGGCCGAGTCCTGTGAGTTGTGCCCACCACGGTCTTGCGAGCCCTCACACGCCAGAACTCCAACGCTTTAAAGTTTGTAGAAACTGGTAAAAGGGAAGTGCCCGAACTATAAATAATTAAGAGAAGTCTGGTAACGGAGTTACATTTGGAAACAAATTGATAGTGTCTGTTTGACTGAACAGTGGTTTTTTTTATGATTTTGTAATTAATTGATTGAACGTACTTTTTATGATCCTTGTCATCGATTGATGTAATAATTTGGAAGTGATTTAACTGATTAATTGAACATAAGTGTTTTTATGATCTTGTCATTGATTGATTCAATAAGTTGGAAGTAATTCACCTGATCTGAAGTTGAATTGGGAATCTTCTTCCAAGATCAAGAGTGTGATTTAAATTGAAGAATTTGATTATAAGATTTTGCTGTACATAATTATAGTGCTCAGAACTTGGAGAGTTGTTAATATAATTGGAAATATTTGAAGTTTGTTCTTTCTTGTCATTTATTGTGTCTGTTGGCGTGTCCTATAGGATCCGGGGTTACCATTCCCAATTTTTAGAATTAGCCAAATTTTGGAGTGGTGACACAGGAACATCCTCGAAAACTGCTCAATCCTGTCCTCGCGACGCTAACCTCATCACAGTTCGCGGACATTCTGAAAGATTACCCCGACGTGACATCACAAGAACTTGCTATCGTGACATACCAGTGAAACACAATGTCACACATCACATCGTCACGGCAGGTCAACCTACTACCGCACGCCCACGCCGTCTTGCACCGGACCGTCTTAAAGTAGCGAGAGACGAGTTCCAACACATAATTTCTATCGGACAGTAACTGGTCATCTCCATTTCGTCATGGTCCCCAAGAAACAACCTGGCGACTGGCGACTATGTGGAGACTATCGCGGACTCAATCGCTCTACTGTGCCTGACCGATATCCTGTTCCTCGCCTCCAATATTTCGCTGCATCACTGCACGGTATGACAGTATTTTCGAAGATTAATCTTGTCCGTACTCATCATCAAATCACAATGGTAACCTGACTGAATCTCGAAAACGGCCATCACTTCACCCTTCGGACTATTTGAATTTGTCCGCATGCCATTTGGGCTACGCAACGCCGCCAAAACATTTCAGCGATTCATGGATGTAGTCACTCGTGTACTTGAGTTTTGCTACGCTTACATTGACGATCTGTTGGTCGCTAGCACATATGCCGACCAGCACGCACAACATCTCCGTCTACTGTTCGATCGTCTCAGTCAGTACGGAGTCATCATCAACCTGGCAAAATGTCGGTTTGGAGCGAACTCACTTTAGTTCCTCGGACACCTTGAACTTTCGTCCGGAAATCTTGAACTTTCCTCAGCCTACTACACTGACAAAGCTGAGAGAATTTCTTGGACTTGTTAATTTCTACCATCGCTTTATCCAACGGTGCTATTCTCACAGAACCTCCATCCTCTCACAGCTCTGCTAACTACAACACTGCATAAAATGCAGCACCAATAACATTGAATGACGCAGCTACAGCCTCATTTGAAGAGATCAAAGCTGCTCTCGCAAACGCTACCCTCCTCACATAGATGCTTCGGATGTTGCAGTAGGAGCTGTTCTTCAACAATGGGTAGATGATTCATGGCAGCCAATCTCATTCTTCTCCAAAAAGCTCCCACCAGCCGAAACGCGCTACAGCACCTTTGGGCGAGAATTCTTAGCTGTGTATCTGGCCATTCGCCTTTCCGTCACTCGCTAAAGGGCCGAGAGTTTCACGTGCTCACTGATCACAGCCACTCACAATGTCATACGTTCTGTCGGCATCAATGGACAGACATTCCCCACGTGAGATTCGCCATCTTAATTTTGTTCCACAATTCACCTGTGACATCAGAAAGGTGATGACAACCCATTACGACAGTGTGACGAACTCCAACAACTTCGCCAATCCTCATCTTCGCTGTCTTTCAAAGACGTGCCACTCCCATCATTCGACACAACCTTTACCTGCGACATGTCCACAGGTAATCCACGACCATTCGTTCCAAAGGACTTGCGACGTCAGGTATTCAACGCATTTCATTCCTTGTCACACCCTGGTATTCGTGCACTCAACGCCTCATCACAGACCGCTATGTCTGGCCAAATTATCAACTTGATGTAAGAAATTGGACAAAATCTTGCGTACCGTGTCAGCGAGCTAAAATCCATCGTTACACCGCTGCACGTCTTTCCCGGTTTTAAGGTCAAGTGCACGATTTGATCGTGTAGGCCTACACGTCTATCTTGTTGGTCCTTTGCCAACTTCCTAACTTGCATTGATGGCTTCACGCGGCCATGCAGAAGTCATCCCACTGCCTGACATCACAGCAGAAACAGTAGCCCGTGCTTTCATTACCAAATGGGTTGCTTTTGGTGTACCATCAACGATCCCAAATGATCATGGTACTCAGTTCGAATCAGCTCTTTTCGGCGCTCACCAACATGCTCGGTACCAAACAGCAGTCAAATCTGATTTCCATCACAGTGTTGCTCAACTCGTATATGGCACTATCTTTCGCTGACCAGACGAATTTTTCAACAGTTCTAGTGACATTGCTGAGTTGGAACCGACAAACTATGTTCATCGCCTGAAGCGTACCCATGCATGAACTTCAGCCACCAACACACCGCGCGTAACATAGCCTTGCTGGTCAAGGCGTTCGTCATTTTTCGTCCACGGGTATGGTTTTCGGCGGCATATCCTCGCTATGCACTGCATGTTAGTGTGTTCGTACCCCGCCCTGCAAACAGGACGCTGGGATACGCTGATGAGCTTCACAGAATCTTGTGAAGGAAGTATCCTATGACCTATGTATAAAGCATCTGGCTTTAGATAGGTTTTACAGAATTTCCTACATTATTACGGTTTTCAACGAAAAAAAAATCTCTGAACTGGAATAAAAGAGTAATGAATCAGTCTTAACGGCCGTGTCAAACCTTGCAGAGTCATGACCGTGATGACCCGCAGGGTCACAGGTCACGCAAAATCCAACCAATCAGAGCGCGAATTCATCAGATCCCAGCGTCCTGTTTTCAGGGCGGGGGGTACGAGCGGAGTTAGTGTGATCAGCGACCTCATGCGGCCACTATTATTTTATGCAAATAATTTGGATCCGATCGAACGCCTTGGTTCAATCGTCGGCGAAAGCTTATGTTTTTCTTTATTTTGCGCTAGATTTCTAGCGCACGACCTCATGTGCAAATACAGATAGGTGTAGGCGGGGCCGCATTTGGAGTGTCCAATCACACCTTAGTAAATCCCGACGTCATCAAATTATTTGCAGCTATTCGTCTCCAGTTGCGGACGTGTCAGAGAACCATATTTTTGTGTGCATTGATGGTGTGTGCAAAAATGTGAGACACACAATAAGACCAATAAGAAAACGACTTTGAAGGTCAGCTTAGGCTATTAGCATAATAACACCATCCCCAAACCTCAAATGGACGATTGAAACAAGGCGTTCGATCGGATCCAAATGACTTGCATATAGATAGTGCGCGCATGAGGTCGCTGTTCGCGCTGTATTTTGACATGCACTGCAGGATATGCCGCCGAATACCGTATACGGACGGATACGGACGAACGCCTTGACCAAGGCTACGTGCAACAACGGACAAAAACCAACTTGACGTTTAAGACGATTTACATTCATATAACCATGTTTTCGTTCGCCGAGAATCTGTGCGTAATTTCGTACGTCGAGATTATGTGCGTAAACGTTAACCCGTGCAAAGTTCTCAACCGTTCCGCTAAACGTCTTTGTCGTCGATTTGAACAATTATCGCACAGACACTATCAGCATTGACCGACTGAAAAGTGCTCCAATTTTACCCGTCTCTCTTCACCCGCTTGAATGCATATCGATTCTTCTGTTTTCGTTTTTGATTTGCTGACACCAAGCAGCGAAAACACATTGCTAGTCTTTATAATTTGAAGTATGAAAAGTGAAGGAATCATGACTGCTGTCGATGCTGTGCTGTGTGCTTTATTTCATTTTCTTAAGTCGTTACTTTTATCTTTGAACAAAGGAAAAATTCGTGATTTTTTTATGTTTACATTCAATGGTGACTTATAAAATAAAACGAATCATTCTTCATACGCACATTTGTTTACAATCTTATTTGTTCAAAGCTGACACAGCTTGTATAGATCATAAGGCGTGTCATGATAAATGCCACATGGTTATTAATTTCCACATACACCTGTTTGTTTCAACCAGTCAGCAGTTGTCATATCGAGTCACTTCCAGATGCGATATTACGGTAGAGGAAAGTATTGTCAACCATCTCAATGAAATCTGTGGATTGTTTTTTCCCTCCACCTGTCGATGGTATTCTAAACATAGTACTCAAACACTGCCAAACCCAACTCCATTATTGTGAGTATTACATTTATATATTTTTAACTGAAATAACGGTGACCGCTCGATTGACCGAAGGTTTGATAGTCCGAAGGTTCGTTCGTCCGACTTCACCGGCAGGACTTGTGGGGAAGGAGCATTGTTGTCCTTTTATCTCTTTTTCTAAATATTTCACTTGTGGGGTACCGTTCCCCACAAGTGGTCCTGGTCAGTACAGACGGACTAACGAACCTTCGGACTATCACATCAAATGCTCGGATTAACCATGGAGCTATAAAGCTCCATGGATTAACTAACCTTATTTCATTTTCGGACTGATGAACCTCCGGTTATGGGAAATGTTTGTACATGTATATAGGGACTATGGAACCTTTGGATCAATAAAGCTTCGGACTATGGAACCTTCGGACTACCAGGCGGACCCCGAAATAACACCCTTCAGACAACGGCTAATTTGATGAGAATTTACAGACTTTCACAATCCCCATATAGCCACTATTTAGTTGTCAATGTACACTTCTTGCTTTTTTTTTTTTTAATTAATCTTGTATACTTAACGATTTCTGTGTATTACATCTACTACATTACTATAAACTACATGTTTGCGAATATGACTACAGTTTGTGATTATTAAATACTTTTCTAAATATCATATGTTAACTCTTATATTATATTACTATTCTCTGCACACTGTAAGTTGGATCTGTACTTTCCATGTCTACAATGTTAAAAAAGTATAGAGTATCAAAAGCTCTTTAGCATAATACCATTAGATTGTATTTTTACAAAGGAAAAACAACTTCTTTACAAACACAATTTGGCTCCAGCTGCTCAGGAACCAGTCTCTTATTCAGTGAGTTTGTACACTAACCATTATAAACAAGTTCTCAAAATTGGATAGATTGGCCACCATTACTGCTGTCTGCTCGTGAAAACAATTATCTTTGTCCAAGGATTACGGTAGACAATTGAGGCTGCTACGAGTTTAGTTTTACACTGCTTGTGCTTATCAAAATTGGAAATCGGAATTGTTTCCTCAAAAGCCACAGTGAATGAAGAGTCTGTCACATTCAACGACAATAGATGAACAACTGAGGCATGGCCTGGATCACTGTTACTCAAATGTGCAATACATTAACCATCACAATTAATCACCATCACAACCATCACAACCACCACCACCATTAACCATTGAACACTAATGGATGACATGGGCACAAGTTAAGAAGATCACAAACTATTTTCACCATTTAAAATATCTTAGATATGGTGTACCACAACCACCACAAAGAATTTCAAAATTGGTCAACATTTAATACATATATTCCAGAATTACACGTGATGTTAAAAAATAAAGGCATATCATTATAAGTCTCTGTTATTATTTAATCCCAAAAGTTTGGTAAAAAACTTTGTATTCAAAGTGAATGAAAATGTACGATCCCAACTCACACTGTGCAGATATCAAGAAATACAAAGCTTATTAATCTTATATGCAGTTACCTGTCTACATAATAGCATAATATTTTCCATGTCCTACTTTAAATTTAATTAATTCTACTCAATATACTTTGATATAGGCCTATTACTACAGATAGTGAAAGGCAAGTACAGCCTGCTTTTAGACCAGTAAATGCTACCTACTGCCTTGGTTCATCTCTCTACTTAACCTATATTCTACAAATGAATTAAGTCGTTTTGAATCATGTATACTATTACTCAGCAATATGTACATGCAGAAAGTCTTACTTCAAATGTATTTAGACTTTTAAATTAAGTCATACTACTCTTAAATAAGCATTGATACCTACAATTCTTTCGCTGTGTTAACTCTTCATAATGATAAATATAAATGTGTTTTAAAATAAATAAGTACTACAAGTCCTCTGACCTGTTAAATACATTTTATATATTACGGTGCTCTTTACTGTGTTTTACATTTTGTGTGCAATTCATCTGAGGTACAATAATAATTCATGTTATAAACACAATCTTTGCCAACTGAAACTCATACTGTTACGTTTTATAATAAATACTTGTCAAAATTAATACAAACAAAAAACGCAAAGCAGCTTGTCTGGCAGTGAAATTGCAGGAGTTGTAATCAGCATATGAAACAGTGCCAATAGCAAACATAAAACACTGAATTAATCACGAATCCATAGGACATGCACATAAATCCATAGGACATGCACATAATTGATATACAACTATTATGAACTGATTTACTATTTTACCATTCTTCAATAAAGTAAACATTATATTCTAAACTCTGTTCATGATGTTTACCATGGTATCCAAAAACAAGTTTAATAATTAAAACAACTTTTATTCAAATGTTTTCTTAATCGACTATTTGTTTTTAAGTAGAGGTATACACAAAATGGTCAACATGTTGTGATTAAGTACTTCTTTCAAGTACAATCATTTCATATCCAAGAAAGAGCAGTATAAATAATTGAACTAATGGATAAATAAACAATACTATATAAGTGTTGTTTAGAACATAATTTTGAATTAATATTGTTATAAATAATGTTTAAGTACAAAACTTCCAAATGAAAATACTTCTAGTTTATATCACTGAGTTCTAATGTTATGAAAAAATGTTACTCTTAAAACATCCTTCTGATGTCTCTTATTCTCAGCGATGCCAACTAATACAAACAACAGTACCATTACTGGAATGCAATTGTCAATGAGGAATGAACATCTTTGGTCACAGTCCAGTAATTCATAATTGCCAATTTCCCCTGCACTCTTTCTCACTTCATCATTTAAAATGGTACATGTGACAAATACAGGATTTCGAAATGAAACAGCAAGGCATGCACTGTGTTTGGATGACTGTAGATCACTGTTTGCTACCACACATTTAAAGCTTTGTTACCCGTCCATGTCAATGTGCAATCATTCAACTTATGTGTGGTACACTTATGGTAGTTACATGGTTTTTACTATTTCAACAATTCTTTTCCTACATTTTGAAAAACCAAATATTGCACTTCAAATTATAAACATATATAAACCTGTGTTGGCTTGAGTAATGAACCCATTGCAGCACTCCCAAGCCACAACTATACACTGAATCCACACCACGAATACAAGTAAGATTTCTGAATGGATATTATTTTGAATAGATTCTGGATACTAGGGTATGAATACAAAGTCTGGAAAATTTAATTCTAAACCATATTTAACATTTCAGGCACCAACGCCTCATTACTAGTAACATTTTCCAAAGAATGACATACGTGTTAAGTGACATGTTTAAATTAAACCCACTAAGAACCACAATTGATGACAAGAAATCATTCCATCAAAACTTCACAAAGTGTGTTAACATGATATTGCACACATCACTCGTGTATCTCAAATTTGGTCTTTTTAAAATGGGCACAGAAACATGAATTTAAAAATAAATACAATTTCTCAAAAATATGTATATGCTGCCATAAATTGCACCTTTGAATTAACTGGTCTAACCAAGCCTTTTGAATTCACAGGAAACAAAGGTGAAATTCTGGACGGATGGAATAGTACAGAAAACACAGTTGTAACATTCAAATTGAATTGGATATCATCAAATTTTTCTAAATCTCAAGGAAGCAGACTATTGCTGTCGTTATGATTTAAGTTGAACAGTCAATAAATTCACACATAATATATCAAACCCGGCCACATGGGAAAAAAAGTCATGCAGAAAAGTAAAAAACAACTATCAGTTGATAGTACATAAATGGGCACTCAATACGATTACCTGACATTTAAAACTCTCTATAATTGGCTGTCCATGCAAGCCAAAAAGTCTGTTCAACTCCCAAACTTAGCTGGAAAGAAATACTTCTTGGACTGCCTACTATTGACTACATATATGTTTACTACCCTCCTTGCATGACAACCCCAGTATGTTTTGAGGCATAAAATGAAAGACCTTACAGATATTAGATGACTCTTTTTCAATCAGAATTCATACAACAATGTTAGCCAGCACTTGCGTATTTGGCGCAAATGGCAATTTTTGAAGAAATATGTGAGGACTACTTCAAATAATGAAGTTCACTATAACGACATACTTGAAGTTTTCAATAAGGTGGGAGTTGGTGAGACCATTCCTTAATGACTCATCTAATTCCTGTTTGCAATATGTGTTGAATCTATTTTCAAATAATTAAATTAAAGAGGGAAAAAAGGGGGTATAACATGTTCTGTATGTTTGCCTTGTCTCAATCTTGAATCGTTAATTGGCATGTTCAGTTACCCGTGGTTTTGCCATCACTTCAGCAGTTGTAGATTCAGTGATAAATTAGCATGTTTGGAGTTCTTTGTCATGGATGATGCTGCTGCTCTTTACAGTCCACATTCAAGCTGCAGTTTACCTACACAGACAAAAAAAAAAAAAAGACTTTCAATAAGTGATCACATCACAGACATTCTATTCCACTGACATGCACAGTTCAATCAAACATAATGTAGTTGTTTTGAGTAATAGTATATTGACACCGAGGAAAGGAAACCGACTGTAGATGCGTTTCTCAATAAATTTCAGATGTCCCCTTACCAAACAATGCATGCAATCATGGACCCAATTTAGAGTTCATACAACTAAAATTGGCCTTTATGGGAGCTATCACTTCCATGTCATCTCTGTCACAGTTTTTTCTACTTCAACATGCAAATATGCATTACATAATACATAACAGTTAATAAAAACAGCCAAATATGGAATAAAAGTGCATGTGCCATCAAATGAAATCTAGCTTTTGAAGCAAATCATACCAAAGAAATGATGAAAAACATAAGAAATTTTTAATTCCATAGAACAATTGTAAATTACAGTTTTTTTGTTGTGCATATCAAAACATTTGGCACACTTACAATGTACTGTTTATTAAGCAAGTAACATGTACTTTTGATATGAGCCGCATGAATCACATGATGAATGAAAACAAAAAAATTGGCAGCCCCTCTAGCAGCAGTGATGCTATGTGAATGCTCGGTCATTTCAATATGGCCATTGAGGCCATGTCACACTGTCTGCGATCATTATGCACTCTCACTGCATCCTTGAAAAATAGCTGGGGCGCAACAACAACTACTAGATCGCCAGATGGCGCCAGTGGGTCTTAATGGTCTCTGATGAGCGCCAAAGTTTTTGAACATGCTCAAAACAATAGCAACACCTCTGCGCTCTCGCCCGGGCACCGTTATGACGCAACTCGGGCGTTGTGCGAGCGTGAATCGTGCGACATTCACGTGGCATTGACACAGCCTAGGCGCAAGGCAGTCCATGTAGTCTCCTTGAGAAAGTAACTCGACTGAGATGAACTTGTAGAATAATTTTGAAACTGGACTTTGGATTGACCGTTTTGTCGTGGTATTTATACAGTGCAAGTGACGACACGTGAGCTTATTTTGGATGGATAGAGAGCGCGGCGCGAGCTACTAGGACGTATCAACAGCGAGCAGGGCGTAGTGTGAGCGCAGTGACAGCGCAGCGGCAGCGACTAGATCGAGTAATTGGGCTTGACAGGGGCGCATAGAGAGCGAGTTCAGCACATCGTAAGTGCGGGATGAGCACAGTATGAGCATAGCTTGAGCTACTTTCTGGCCACTCGAGACAGAAAATTGTCATTTTCTTGCCTCCTCGGTGCGATTATTAAATCTATTTAATTATTTTTGGTCGCCGTAAGGTCTCCTATGAGAGCGCATATAATGTAACAGGCCCTTTAACAACAAACCCCTCTCCCACAAACACACACCCACCCCTTTTACATATTGGGTTTATGGGGTACCACTATAAGCCACCTTTACTTCCCTACTACTGTTCTCCTTTGTTTCTATTAAAATCCCTAACGCTATGGCTTTTCAGCTGTGGAGTACCATTGACCCTTTTGTTGCTCTTTGTTCTCAGTACCCTGTAAGTGCCCATATGTAGTAAGTACCATGGTCGCACACATATCTTCAGATTTTAAGCTCAAGATAATTGGCTCCCTTGACCTGTACCAAAGTGTACATTAAATGCAAATAGTTAAAAAGAGATGGCATTCAAGCCACTTTCTAAAGCAATTGAATTGAAATAATCCAAATTTGCATTAGGCCTATACATTATTATTTCATTTTTTTTTAATTAAAAGATCGTAAGGTTGGTTATTTGGCTATAGTATTTAGTTCCATTAGTCAACACTGTGTCGTTTTTTTTTGCGGTCGATCCTCTATATGTTTCATGTTCTTAACGGAACTGTTCGTTTTCAGTCGAAGAAATGATTGGCTCCTGGAATGTATTTGTTTCTATTAAACAATAGCATTTCACATTGTTTCCATTATGAATTATGAATTATGACCTAAATTGACCTCTGGATGACCTTTGACATTACATCGTCAAAACAACACATCACTGTCAGCAGCCCTAAACCTTTATTCTCAGCAACGTTAGCGAACACCCATTTTCTGTCGAAAAAAGTCAAATTCAGTGCATTTTTAAATGACCTCAAATGACCCCTACATGACCTTTGACCTCCAATTTCTGTAGAGATCCCAAGGATCAATCCATCCAAGTTACATTAAAACCCATCAAATTCTGTAGACAAAGAAGCATTTAAAGCATATTTGAACAATGACCTGTAATGACCCCTAAATGACCTTTGACCTCAGTAATCTGATGAAGACAGTATCTTCCCACCCAAGTGTCACTGCATCCAAGTTTCAACAAAATCCATGTGAAGTTATACATTTTTTCAAAAGCTTAACCTATTAACTTTAACATACAAGCGGGGATACAGTCATACTGGGGTTACAGAATTTAGGACTAGATAAGTGTCCCCAAAAACATTGTTTAGGCGACCGACAATGAAACCTCTGTGGATTTCACCAGAAATAAAAAAATCTATGAAAATCTCCCAGACTTGTGGGCTGATTCTACTTGACCCATAGAGCATTACTAAATATGCAGTAGACCCTTATGGGAAGCTAGCCATTCTTCTTATGAGAGACTGGTTGGTACTGCGGGGGGCAGATGGCTGCTCGGCCAGTCTTCTCTTCAGATTACAGCACAACCCTGCGGCAGCAGGTCATGGTAGACGGTATGCCCTTAAAAATACTGCAAGTGAGACTTGCACAATCCCCCCGACATGCTGGCATTTAAAAAAAATAAATTTATTATATTTTTTTTTTTTTATTATAATTTTATACATTTATGTCCCTATCCAAAATGGAAGAATTCTATTGTGTTAGCAATAGTGACCTTGACCCTTGACCCAGCGGCCCCAAAAGCAAAAGGCTTGATAAGACAACCAAGAGCAACCCACAATTTTTGAAGTTCTTAAGTAAAGTATTTCTCAAGCAATCGTGCTGACAATATTTCTATTGTTTTAGCAATAGTGACCTTGACCTTTGGGCCCCAAAAGCAATAGGCTTCTTAAGACTACCAAGAAGACCACCAAGAAGGTATGGGGCAAGTGTCGCTTTGCTGGCAATAATGGGGGGTGTGCCAAACTGTCAAGATTTGGCAAGTGTACATCACTCCCCTTCAAACAAAAAAAACCAATTGGTAGTATTGTGCAAGTGGAAGTACGATAATATGCTATTTTTAGGATCATATGTGAGAGAGTGACCTGCCACGTGCGAGGGATTAACCAATACTAGGGAAAAGGAGTCCGATTATCATAGGAGTTGGATAACACCGGTGTTAGCAAATGTCAAACGACTTTGTGCCCGGGAATCCAAAATAACGCCCGAGGCAATGTGTAAGCCATCACAAACAATGAGAACGGTACTCCATTCATTCAAAAAGTTATAGTTCAAAGTAATTATTCAAATTTTGATCCTAAATAGCTTGTAATTTGATACCTGATGACGTCTTGATGACGTCATGATGACGTCACAAAGTTCTTCACATCTGCGGACCAGGGTTCAATTTCATACCAGTTTTTTTTAATTATCATCCCCTTAACTGTTTGGAAGAAATTTGGTTCGTTTTGATTTTGAGGCTTCCGTCTGTATTGAATATTCACTTAACTTAGACCTTCTAGTAGACCTGGAAAAAAGGTCAAAAATGCTATCAATTAATGGTCTATCTGATTGAGTATTAACATAATGGATTATTTTATTTAAAAGGTACAAGTGATAAGTTGGTCATATTTTGAACTAAAATAACTTGTAATTTGATACCAGATGATGTCATCATGACGTCAAAGTAATCTAATATACACACTTCCAGATCAGGGTTTATCTTTGTTTAAAGTGTCACGATTTAATGTTTTACTTTTTAGAAGAATAGTTGTGCAGAATTATCTTCCTGAAAAAAAAAATAAAGAAAGAAAGAAAAACTCCAAAGATTTTTGAAGGTGATCGGGTCATACCTTATTACCCAATAATCGTTAACTTGTGACCCTAGTTAAACAAAGTATATATCTTGGTGGTGAAGTTAATGCAATGCGAATGTGCCAATTTCTCATTATGGCAAAAGTAACAGTGTATATGCACATTTCTGAATCCTCTTGCTTTTAAGATTCTAATCCATGAATGATTTTAGAGGTTTGATTCAGACAACTGACTGGAAGTATGAAAATAACAATAAAAGAAAAGTTAGCCCAACAACAACCATTATATTACACCTATAATGTATTTGGTAATGTTGAGAGAGGAGGTTGTGACTCAACACTTGAATAGAATGCCATGCTCCAATAAGTGGCAAAAAGTACTAATTGCAACTCGTCGAACAGCTGCTGAAGGATGACAATATACATGTATCTGAGGAAGAAAAGAAGGGAGTACATGTAACTGAATCCTTGCTCTCTCCAGCCTTAGACGTTGTCTGGGTGGTAGGCGAGTCTGGATTGGCCAAGGAATACCTGGACTGCCTAACAAAAGCATATGGCTCCACTGCAGATGGGGAAGAAGTTCCGCTGTGAATACCAGCGTGAGGGGGAGAAGGCCTCAGACTGGGGGTGTGAGTGACCACTGATAAAAATAGCTGAAAACAGCTGAAAAAGGTGTAAAAAAGCTGAACTTTGAAAATCTCCTATACTTTTGTACACAGTAAGTGAGGGGAAAAAGCTGAAATCCAAAACAAAAAAAGCTGAAATCAGTTTTAAAGCTGAGATTTAACACCCCTGTAGTCAGACTACCTTTTGTGCCCCCACACCATGCTTATCAGAAAAATGGAGACAGGTTAAGAAAACAAATATACCTGTGTTTCCTGCTATCCCACCCAACCTAACAACTTACGCAGAACCTACATATTTTTATTGCAAAAAAATAAAACAAACTATTGTACCACCCCCACCCTAGTTTTTGTCCTGCATTTTTGAAATTGTATTTTTTTTTTGTATTGAATTGTATTTTTCTGGGGGGGGGGGGGGGGGATTGGTCTGCAGTC